AGTTAATCCGTCTCGCCCTCGCCTCGGCCGCGCCTCGCCCGCAGTGATGGAGATGCATCCGATAGTGTCGGGCAGTCAGGCAGGCTGGCCTTAGGCTGGCCCCGGGGCAGCGGGACCCAATCAAAGCGAGGCGACGCTCTGCTGCAGGCCGCCGGCCCGGTGACTCGTGCTGTCGTCGCGTCGCTGTCTCTCTCGCACTCGGGGGGCGTGCCCGCGGGTGCGAGAGAGACAGACAGCGACCGGCCTGGACCGCTATCAGGCCGGCCACCCGCGCCACACTGCTAATTGGGCGCGAGGTGTTCGACCTGCGACACGGCCGGCTTGGAGGAGGCGACGCACAGTGGGCCAGGAGTCCGGTGGAGGCGGCCGAAACTCTAGACGCGTTTTGAGCTTCAGAGTTGCTAAATGGGACTCGAACGGAACGTGTGACCCCACCAATGGATTCCTCGTCCGGAGAGCAATCCATTGGTGGGGTCACACGTTCGGTTCGAGTCCCATTTAGCGACTCTGGAGCTCAAAACGCGTCTAGAGGTTTGGCAGCCTCCACCGGTCTTCTGGCCCACTGTGCGACGGCGGCGCACCGCCAACGCGCGGGGTCAGGCCCGCCAGGCCGGTCAGGCGGTGCACCAAGTCGGGCCGAGTCTTCGGTTCGGGTATTGAGAGGGGGCGGGACACCCCCCCCCCCCACACACACACACACTCAGTCGCAGGTGGCTGTCCCAGTTCCTGGTGTACAGCACAAGGCCGTAACGGTAACCGGGCGTGCCGGCCGTCGGCTTCTGGGGCGGTGGGTTAGGCAGGAGTACCTGCAAGGCACTCCATGGGAAGTTTGAGCCATGAGCCTCGAGCCGCGAGCGGTGACGAAACAAAGAGTGACGCTGTGCGTGTGAGTGTGCGTCGGTGTGTGTGTGAGTCTGTGTGTGTGGGGGGGGGGGGTCTCAGCACTACGTACTAAACTTCATGCCTTAGCCTTGCGATATTCATCAACGGTACACGGACACCTCGAAATCGTCACGCTGCAGGCCTGATTCCGAGAATCGCTTTCGTCGCTCTGTCTCTCTCGCACTCGTGGGCCGTCCCGTCTAGGTGCAAGAGCGACGAAAATGACTCTGAGAATCAGTCTGCTGATAACGAATCCACTCATTCGACAAGTAACGTTCGCTCGGAATTTATATTCGAGTCCAATCGTGCACCACAGGGCACCTTGGAGGTTCAAAGACCTTTCGCCTTACAGAGGAGACGCACTTGGCTGGCTTAAATACCTAAACGTCTTTAATTAACCTGAATTAAATGGCTCGCGGAGCGCAGCAAACCGCGGAGACCTTCAAGAGACAGAGACTTCCTTTCGCAGACCGAGCCCTTTTAGCATCCTCTAAGGACGGACGCTCAGCCCTTACAGGGCCGACCCGCTGGGTCGTTCCCTCCTGCACTGTAAAGGCCTGCACAGCCTGCACTGCATGGGACGCCAACAAAGGCAGGGAAATGGCGTGGTCCCGAAGTCCCGACTTGCCAATGGTGTGATTTGCAAAGATAATGTCGGTGTTCGCAAGGCAGGCGAGCAAGGCAAGCAAGGCCGGCGGAGCTGCCCGCGCCCGCCCTGCACTGCCGATCAAGAGGAACCGCGAACGCCAACTCACACAGACACACACGGACACACACACACACACACACACACACACACGGACGCACACACACACGGACGCACACACACACGCACACGCGGCGCTACAATACCTGCAATCACGGCGCGTGCACTGGGCCGGCACGCACCGCCCTGCCTGGCCCTGCCCCCAAGAGCCCCACGCTAACGCTACACTGTAGGCGGCGCGTGCCGCGTGCGCGTGCCTCCCCGTGCCGGCCGACTCGCGCTCAGCTCGAAATCCTCCTTTTTTGCCACAATAATGGTCGGGCATCCGGCAACGCCGCCGCCGCTTCGCGCCTGCACACTGGTTCCGAGAGTCGTTTTCGTCGCTCTGTCCCTCTCGCACTCGCGGGGCGTCCCGTAACAGGTGCGAGAGAGACAGAGCGACGAAGACGACTCTCGGAATCAGTCTGCCGCTTCGCCGGCTCCGCCGGCTTGCAGCATTCCTGCAAAGCGATTCCTACTGTTGCTACAGGTGTGGCCGCAGCAGCAAGGCCCTGCCCTGCGCTGCGCTGGCCGTCGTGGCGACGACGCCTGGACCGCCGCCGCCCTTCCCCGCCCCGCCCCGCCCCGCCCCCCCCTGGCCGTCCGGACCACTGCCGCGGCCCCGTTTGCGTGGGCAGGCCTGCCTCGCCTGCCAGGTCGCGTGCTGGATACACCCATCCTGGAATCCGAGCTCTCGGTTCACTCCCAACCCCCTGGACTGCCCCGGACTGGACGACAGCCATGCGACAGCCATGCGACAGCCTTGGCATCGGAATCCGAACAGTCATTATTCGCAGGAAAGCAGGCAACAGTCCATCCCACGACAAGTCACTGCAGTGCACTATTGGCACGCACCCCAAGCTGCGGACTGATTCCGAGAGTCGTTTTCGTCGCTCCGTCTCTCTCGTACTCATGGGGGCGTCCCTTCAAGGTGCGAGAGAAACAGTGACAAGAACCTCTCTCGGAATCAGTCTGCTGGATATGGGCTATTAAATAGCTTAAAAGAAATTTTCTTCCTCCGTGTTCCTGGGGTCGACGTGGTTTGATCAGGCTCACGATGCCGCCAACCGGGGTAACTTTAGGCGCAGCCGGGTAACATGAGCAACATGAGACACTAGATCTTAATCTTGATCAAGATTCATGTGATGACTCTTCCCTCGTTAGCTCCGTCCAAAAAAAAAGTAGTAGACGTAAACAAGAAAAGTGCACGGTTTTTTTTGGAGCCAGTGACCAAACGACCAAACAGAAACACGCGGGTTAAAAGTTACCCCAAATCTGTCTCAAGTTCCTCACATTTGTCCCAAGTTATCCTTAATTTGTCTAATTTGTCTCCAGTTACCCCAGTTTGGGCTCTTTTAAAGGCAGTCATCTCTTTTCCATTAATTAACTGGCCTGCATTTTCGTCCATTTCTTTGTCGATTCGCGGAGCTCCCGCCGTTGAAGCTGAAACGCCATCCCGTTAGACCCGTTGTCGGTTTGCTTTTGTTTATTTTTTTCTCTCTTTTCGCGCGGCGCCTCCAGTGCGGTCACACTCTTAATTAATTACATCCTCGGATTTCTCCGTCGGTGGGTTTGTTGTTGGCAGCAGGCCGTGAGCCGAGCCGGCTTTTGTCTTCGAGGTTCGCCACCGGACCGTCTTGATTGGACCGAGAAAGTGTTTAATCCGTAACACCAGTGCGTTGGGCCGTCGGGCGGTTGGGCCCCAAGAAAGCTGCTTTTGTCGGCCCTTCCATCTCTTTCCAATCGAAGCGCCATCTGGCGGCGTGCCTCGAACTTGGAGTAATACTGTGGGGAGTCCTAACTGGCGCGGCGGTGGGCCGAGCTGTCCTGACGAATGCTAGAGAGAGAAAACCACCCGGTCGGAACGGCACTCCATGAAACCGACCGAATTCATCGATGCTGATTACATCCCGTCCATCTCCTTCGCCTTCTAAATCCATTTTTCAAAACCAGAACCTTCTAAGTTGCCCCAGTCAGGAGCTATATGGTGGCAAAGTTCAGAAACTATCTCTTTCTCTCTCTACGATTCGCCGGACACCTAGTGCCACACACAGAAACGCCCTGAACTCCGAAACGGTATGGGTTAGCTCCAAACTGTTTGCATCCCGTAAATCCTCACTCTTTTTGTGACAAGATGAGCTATTGGGAAAGTCTCTAAGTTGAAAATCAAGCCTTCAGGGCGTTGGCAAACAGAAAGGTGCAGCTCTAGTTAGGACTCCCTAACAGTATTACTCCAAGCCTCGAAGCACGTCAGGCCATCCGTCACCCTCCAGTGTGGTGCGCCAATGGTCGTGCGCCCCGCGACAACCATCGCTGCAATCGCGACCACCTGCAGACTGATTCCGAAAGCGCTTTCGTCGCTCTGTCTCTCTCGCACGCATGGGGCGTCCCGTCTAGGTGCGAGAGAGACAGCGACGAAAACGACTCTCGGAATCAGTCTGCTGGCGGCCAATCTGGGGAGCCACCGTAAAATATACACCGACAGATCTTTACTGCAAAGTAACGGAGCGAAAAAATGCGCATAAAACGTCGCGCGCGCTTTCAGGAACGAAACAACGAAGCAGCGCGCGCTTTCCTTCCGTTGTCTTTCACGATCATCTCCGCGGAGCCGCGGAGGGAGGCCGCGAGTCTGTCTCTCTCGCACCCATACGGGACGCCCCATGAGTGCGAGAGAGACAGAGCGACGAAGACGACAGGGCCGGTGCGCTGCCCTCCTCCTTCCATGACAAATGGTACTTGGCGGCCTACATAGGACCGGGCCGCGCCGTGCCCTTCGCCGCCTTCGCGCTGGCCGTGAATTCTGCACGCGCAGGGAAATAAAAAGAAAAGGGTGCTGCCGGCAAGGCGGCGTGTCCTGCGGAGTCCTGCGGCTGGACTAGTCCCGGGGAGCCTCGCTTGAGCGCCGCTATGCGGAACTGCAGCAAAAAATGACAAAAATCCAAGACTATGTCTGCGAGTTTAACAGTTGTCATTGCTTATCTCGCTAATGTTGGCCGCGCTATATGCATGCGAGGGCGGATTCAAAGGTAGCAACGCCCGCCACGGGTTTTTTTGCACTCCGTGGAGCCTTGAGACTCCCTCCTCTCAAGGTGGAGTGCACGGTAAACCGTCGCTAGGCGTTTTGTAAGACGCCAAGCCCGGCTAGCGAATGTGCCGGCACTGTCACATTGTGTCAGGTCGAGTAGGCGGAATTTTGTATCACTTTTGCTAGGTCTACCACATTTTAAGAAGAACCGCTTATCTTCACGGGACCTCGTAACTGCTGCCAGTGGGCGGCTGTAGGCGACTGTGGTAACTCCAGTAGGCGATTTCGCCTAGAGCGCCCCGCCGCGCCGTCGCCCTCTGGCGGGACCCTCCCCAACTACGGATTCCTCCCCGCTCCAGCCCGCTCCAGCGTCTCTCTCCCTGAAGCGCGCGCGTCACTCACTCGTCATGTATTCACGGTCTCATCGAAAAACTATTTGAAGTGAACAACTTACTGGCCATAGGTGGCCTACTTCGCAAGGCTTGAGAGCACAAAGGATGGGCAGGTAAGTGATAAACTCGTAGTATTCGTTTTATAAAAATAAAACCTTGAAAGGCGAAAAATCTTGTGAAATGTATAGAAGCGTACTTTGGCCTCGGTCCTGTTTCTTCCTATTTTGCTTAATATTACCCTTCAATTTGCCACAATCTGAATTTTTAATCCGAGAGCCTTTGCTTTGGTTTTAGAAAATGGTTTACCTTTGATAAATAAGTTTGCAACTAACCTGAAAAGTAAACATTCTGAAAACAGGAAACTAACCTTTACTCTAGCCAGGATAATGTAGTTTGTCCTCAAATATGTTTTTAAATACATGAGCGGGCAGAAGGCTTCCTATCTTATCTTTTAGCAATATGTTATTAACTTTACTCTCATTTTATATAAATTGAGCTGACTTTTGTCTTTGATGTTTGATTGTAGTTTATTTTTCTTGTTCTAGGCTTTCGATGAACAGAAGTCATGAAACTTGGCCTTCGATAAGGATACTGAACACCAGTTTAATGTTATCACTTGCCGTAGCAGCTACCAAACAATGAAATTATTGTTTCATGGAATCAAATTGGCCCAGAGAACCTACAACTTTCCATCTTCTTATTTTGTGGGCTATATTAACAACATGTAAGTACAAGTTGCTCTCGTTGTATAAAAATTGAGCTGACTTTTGTCTTTGGTGTTTGACTGTAAATTTATTTTCCTTGTTCTAGGCTTCTGATGAAGAGAAGTCACGAAACTTGGCCTTCGATTAGGATACTGAACACCAGTTCATTGTTTTCTCTTGCCGCAGCGGCAATCAAACATAGAAATAATATTTTCTTGGATTCAAAATTTTCCCAGACAACCTACAACAATCCATTTTCTTATTTTATGGGCTATTCAAGCAAAATGTAAGTACAAGTTTCTTTCATTTTATAAAAAATGTGCTGACTTTTGTCTTTTGTGTTTGAGTGTAATTTATTTTTCTTATTCTAGACTTCCGATCAAGAGAAGTCAGGAAACTTGGCCTTCGATAAGGATACTGAACACCAGTTTACTGTTTTCACTTGCCGCAGCAGCTACCAACTTTCATGGAATCAAATTGGCCCAGACAACCTACAACTTTCCATCTTATTTTGTGGTCTATTTTAGCAATATGTAAGTACAAGTTGCTCCCATTTTATATAAATTGAGCTAACTTCTGCTTTTGGTGTTCGATTGTAAATTTATTTTCCTTGTTCTAGGCTTCCGATGAAGAGGAGTCATTTAAAAATAGAGGGACAAAATTTAAGTGTTAAAATTATTTAGATGTCAATAAACCTAATTTTTTAATTTCCTGTTTACTTCCTCTTTTGTATCCTGAGCCAATGTACCAACTCAGCCAGCCTGGTCACGTGAACAGGACTGCCCACCCGGCTTGCCGGGGGACGGCCCGCCCGACTGCACATCATTGCCTGCCCGACTAGGCGAAATGTGGTAGAGGCTGCTGGCAGAAACGCCAGCTCCGACCAGCGCGCGGGAGGACGGCCGGGCGGTATGAAAAATTCAGACTGGCGACTAGGCGGTTTTCCAAACCGCCTAGTCGAGTTGGACATCCACTAGGCGCCAATGTGCTACTGTGACTTACCAGTCATGTAACAATTATGGCTAGGCGAAACCGCCTAGCGACGGTTTACCGTGTGCAACTGCAACACTGTGAACCTGTGAGTGTACAGCAAGAAGTGCCCGCCTTCCTCAGGGCGATGCTTGGATCCGCCCTAGCTTGCATGGGGAACTTCATTTCCGAATTCGGTTTCCTGATTTGCCGCGCATGACGCTCGTCAGTGGGCACGCTGACGGACGCCTTAAATTCGTCTTTGCCGCGTTCTCACTGCCGGAAAGACGCTCGGCTTGCCTGTTCCGCTCCGCGACGCCCAGCCGGCCGGCCACGGCCACACCACTGCCAAATGGCCAAACCACTACTGCACCAGGTCTGCGGCTGTCGCGGCGGTCACTGCCAAGTCCAAGGCGAAGGACGCCGTCGTCCCTGCAGTGTCGTCGCGGCCGCACTCCCACAGCGATAACGCGCAGACAAAGGAAGACGGGGATAACGTCGTCGGCGACGTCGTCGGGGCTTTCGTCGCTCTGTCTCCCTCGCACTCATAGGGCGTCCCGCAGGGGTGTGGGAGAGAGAGACGAGGCGACGAAAGTGCTGTTCGGAATCGGCCCGCTGGCCGCCACGCCCCCGCCCAGTTACACACGACAAGCCAAAACGCGTCTTCGGGCACCTTCGGGGCGCACAGTGGGCCAGAAGACCGATGGAGGCGGCCAAAATTCTAATCGCGTTTTGAGCTCCAGAGTCGCTAAATAGGACTCGAACCGAACATGTGACCCCACCAATGGATTGGTCTCCGAACGAGGAATCCATTGGTGGGGTCACACGTTCGGTTCGAGTCCCATTTAACGACTCGGGAGTTCGAAACGCGTCCAGAGTTTTGGCCGCCTCCACCGGTCTTCTGGTCCACTGTGGGGCGGTCCAGTTAGGCCGTGCACCCTGCATACAGGAAGGGCGCCTCTCCCTCTCCACCTGTCCGCCTCGCGGCCCGGCCGCTAGGTGGCGCCAGCAGCGCCAGCGCGGCCCATTACGGTCCGATGATCCTCATTATGCCCGGCCGCCGCGAACCCCCGCAACTCTCCGAGTCCCCCAAGTCCCTCGAGTCACCGGCCGCCACTTGCGAGGTTGTTGGCGCGGCCGCGTGGCCCGCGGACCGGTCAAGCAAGTCCAGCAGGCTGACTCCGAGAGTCGTTTTCGTCGCTCTGTCTCTCTCGCACCTACACGGGACGCTTCATGAGTGCGGCAGAGACAGAGCGACGAAAACGACTCTCGGAATCAGCCCGCAGCGTGCCGCCGAGCCCGGTCAAGCGTGGCCAAGCGGCGGGGCAGGCCTCTACGAGGGCCTCTAGGAAGCCGGCCGGCTTTGGGGAGTCAATGACACCGAGGACTGGGGACTAGGAGGGACCAGGGGAGGCACGGCCGCGTGAGTTATGCCCCGCGCCGCCGAGTACTACCCGGCCAGTCCGGGCGCCGGGCCATGAGGCAGACTGCAGCCAGGCCGATGGAGATGTTTCTCCTTGCGCAACGAGCGCGTTGCCATGGCGTTGCCACATCTCGCATCCACTCCACTTGAAGCAGCAGCTCTGCTCCTCCTCCGTCGTCGTCGTCCTACTCCCTGCGGTGCCCTGCGGTGCCCTGCGGCCCGCGCGCGCCTTCACATTCACATTCGCATCGCAATGACGGAAGCCGGGTCAACCTGTGGGGCTGTCTGTCGCCGCTGTCGCGATGCTCGCGGGTCGCGCGCCTTCCGGGGCCGCGCCCACCTGTCACGCCCTGCGGTCGCCTAACCGAAGGTGCCGGGCGGATTGTCTACTACTCAGAGGAAGCTTTCTCGGGCACAGACTTGCGTCTGGTGGATTGCCTACGCAGAGGACGCTCTATCAGGCACGACATTTAGTAGTTTTGCGACGGCCTGGTGGGCTGCCTACCCAGTGGAGGCTTTGTACTGTAGGTGTCCACGTCCAGTGTGCCCAGATTCGAGGCGAAGGCACCAGGCAACTGGTTGAGGTTGCCTACCTTCTGAGGGTTCCCTAGGCAGGCTCGATGAACCACATGGGAAATAGACATTCAGATTCAAACCTGCACCAAAATTTCTCGCCGCTGCTCCACATTCAGGTTTGCGAAGACACCCGGTGGGTTGCCTATCTCCCGGGCGGCCCTCCCAGCGGGCAGGGCGGCCGTCGGTCTGTCCCATTCCGGAAGTTCCACGAGTGCGAGAGAGACGGTGAGCCTCCTGCGGAACTCCCAGCAGGGTGAACCCGCGCAGGGCGGCCGTCGGTCTGTCTCTCTCGCACCCGTACCGGAAGTCCTACGAGTGCGAGCGAGAGAGAGGATGCGCCTGCCGCTCCCTAATTGGCGCCTCACGAATCGGCAGTGTAGTGGCCGCGGTTTAAACAACGGAGGGACAATGACGCTGCACTGGGAGGGAGGCTGGCCGGGCTGGCCGGCAGGCACAACAAGCATGACTTCCCCTTTCGGTCATTATTTGGCCCCGCGGCATGGCACGGCACGGCACGGCACGGCATGGCACGGCCACGGCGTGCCACGGCGCTTGGCGCGCTTTGCCGATCCGCTTGGCCCGCGCGCTCTGTTTCCCCTCTTTGTCTGCGTTTCAGCCGCCACTCCAAAAAGCCCGAGGCATTTTTGCGGTTTCTGGCTTCGATGTCTCGATATCACCGCGGTGCTCTTTCTCTCTCTCTCTGCTTCCGTTTCGAATCGTGTCGCGCTGCCGCCGAGGAGGCGATGCTGGCCGCGGCGCAGATCGGAATCGAGAGGCTTTCAGACGACCGGAGGGCGATGGTTGGCGTAGATACAGTACGGATTTCTTTTCTTTTTTGCGTTGAGATTAAGACGGATTCGCTTCATCTCCTTTCACCCCGTCCAAAGCGCAGGCGGCCAGGCGGCGGCGGCAGATAGACTCCAGGCACTCCGGCAGCTCGCTGGAGGCAGGGACTCCAGGACTCCAGGACTCCAGGGTCACACAGTCACGGCCTGCCTGTGCCGGGCCGCGCCAGGCTGGCTCGGCGGACACGCAAGACCTTTATCCTTTCCCTCGCCGTGTGCGGTCCGCGGCTAGGCTCCGCCATGGCTCCGCGGCCCTACCCGGTGCATCCATTTCGGAAGGCATCACGACGCACACTGGAAGGAAAAACAGGGAAGGCACACAAGCATGCGCTACAACCTTTCGAGGTGGCATCGACCGTCATGACCTACGTACCCTGTTCAGCAGACTGATTCTGAGAGTCCTTTCCGTCACTCGCCGTCTCTTTCGCACCGACGCGGAACGCCCCAAGAGTCCGGGACAGACAGCGCGACGAGCTGTGGCAGTGCACCCAACCCAGAGGGAATGACCTCCTCAAAGAACTCCGAAGGCAGGCAATGTGCAATGCAAAAGCACCCGCTCCCCTCACCAAACTACGTAAAGGAAAATCCTGGGTACGCGCCCAGCCCTGATCGCAATTTTTGACAACACCTGTTTCACTTGCCTTGCAGTGTTTCGAGAAAGAAAACGGAGCAGCACGCCTTTCCTTTCCAAGGCGCGCGCTGTCGGGAGACTTGAGACGTTGAGGCACAGATTAGCCTGTTACCTTTCTTGCAAAACCCTTTCCCATTCCACTCCACCCGCTGCGGGCTCCATCCACTCCGCTTCGGCTTTTGGTTTAATTTGTTTTTCTATTGTGGTCGTGCCCGCCCATTCATCCATCCATTCCCACCCACAACCTGTTCGCTCCATGCAAAACTTTGCAGTGGCGTGCGCACGCAAACGCACGCAAACGCACGCAAACGCACGCGGACGTGCCTTATTTTTTCCCCTTCACAGTTAGACACCTCCCCCCCCCCCCGTGTTTCGCAAAACAGGTGCGGGGAGGGGGAGGGGCAGCCGTTCCCAGTTGTCGATGGAAGCCGCGGTCCAAACCAAACCACCACGTCGGCGGCGGCCGAATGGGTTTGACGTTTGACACCGCATCTGCCTCCGGCGAGCAGCTGACTGATTCCGAGAGTCGTCTCCGTCGCTCTGTCTCTCTCGCAGCGACACGGGACCCCCCCCATGCGTGTCAGAGAGACGAAAACGACTCTCGGAATCAGTCTGCGGCGCGGGTCATCGCGAGTCTATGGACCGCATGGACCGGCTGGACCGCGCGGGTCGCTGCTGCCGCTGCAGGTGACTGTCATACAGGTGTGGCCGCCACGCCGCCGCCCTGGTCTCCCTGGTCGGACTCGCTGGGCCGTGCCGGAGTGCCGCACGCAGCACCAGCACCGCAGCCGGCGGGGCGGCCCAGTGGGCCAGAAGACCGGTAGAGGCGGCCAAAATTCTAGACGCGTTTCGACCTCCAGAGTCGCTAAATGGGACTCGAACCAAGCGTATGACCCCACCAATGCATTCCTCGTTCGGAGAGCAATCCATCGGTGGGGTCACACGCTCGGTTCGAGTCCCATTTAGCGACTCTGGAGCTCGAAACGCGTCTCGAGTTTTGGCCGCCTCCACCGGTCTTCTGGCCCATTGTGCGGCCCTACCTGGCCCATCCATCCGCGCTGCGCTCTCCTCGTCTGCGACTCACATTCCAGGTGTGGCATGGGTGGCGCGGCGAGCACCGCGAGGCCCTGGCGGCCCTGGCCCGCCGGCATGCTGCCGGGCCACTGGCAGCCACAGGCCTGCCGGCCGGACTTACCCGTTATTCCAGCGGGCGCCTCCGTCTGCCGGACGGCCGGGACGGGGACGGCCCTTCGCGGAGCTCCGGCCGCTCCAGCGTCGTGCACACCGTCGAGCAGTCCGCGGTCAGCGAGCTGCAGACGACGTATCCTTTGTCATCACTGTTATCCCAATGCACACTGACACCACCACACTGCACTACCACTGCCCCCGGCGGCGAGGGGGTCCACGACGGTCCAAGACGACGGACGACGGCGGCGGGGGTCGCCGGCGAGAGTGTGGAGGCGCCGCGACGCGGTCGTGTGTGTCTGCCTCGCGGAGACGTCGCCGGGGAACTAAACTCAAACTGGCGGCGTTTGGCGTTTAGGCCGTACGGTCGAGGAGCTGCGGAGCCGAGCCGAGCTGCAGACACCGCCGGGTACTCCTACTCCTACTCCGCTCCTCCGGCCGGCCCGCACGCCAGCCAGCACGCCAGCCATCAGGGGGTCGGGGGGCACGGGGGGCGCGGGGGCCGCGGCTTGTACGGCCGGCCACCACCGCCACCGCGGCTGCAGCGTACGGGCCCAGCCGCCGCCGCTGCGGCAGCCACCGCAGCGGCCGCCAAGAAATAATGCCTTGTTCGCCAGCTGTTCGTGACGGCCGAGTTCAGCCGCACGCCGCCAGAGCGCTGCACTTGTCGGTGTCGGCAGCGTCTCGCGGTCTCGCGCGCTGCATCTCGGCGGCTACGCGCTACGCGGCTACGCGGGACGAGGGGTGGGGGAGTTGGGGGTGGCGGGGACCGCGCCGCAATGGGGACGCCGGCGATGGGACGCGTCCTACGGCCTACGGCCCTATGCGGGCTGGCCGGGCTGCGGCTTCCGTTCCGTCGTCGGCGTCCTCGGCGTCGACGTGTCAACCCTTTGCATGTCCATGTCGAGCTAGAGTCGGCTGGAAGCCTTGACGAGGGTCAACGGGCCCGCGAGGGGTGGCTTAGGGGCGGCCCTTTAGACGAGGGGTGGGGCAGGGCTGAGGAAGGGAAGGGGGCTTTCATTCATGAAGCATTTAAATCGGCCAAAGGGCGCGCGGATTCGACCACGACAGCGAGGCGCACTTGCGATGACCGGCACGCGATCGAGGAGTTTGGAGAGGAATTTGCGGCCCTTCGGTTCGCACAAATCACACTGCGAGTCTGGGGAAAGGTTTTTTAGTGTCGTTCATGTTCCTAAAAGGGTTGTCACTGTCAGGAATTTAACTTGTTTAAATCCTGAAGTAGAGCGATCGAATTCTTAATTAGTCCCGTGCGCTTTTCTTTTGTAAAAAACTATTAAGTAAAAACCCCCGCACGTTGACTCGAGTAAGCTTGAACCAACTCCGCTACGTAAAGTCGATCGTACGCAGGTCATCGTCTTATTTTTCCCGTCTTGCTCTCCAAAATGCAGAGCAGTTGCTCAGAGACCTTGGTGTAAAAGACGCCGTAAAATAAAAACAACAGGGAAGACGATAATCTTTTCTTGATCTAGGACTGTTTGCCATAGGTCTTATTTTTGGTTTCGAGCCAATCGTAAATTCGCCGCGAACGCCGAAAAGAAACTAGACTCGTCTAAAAGTGCAAAGTGCTGCACTTCCCGCCAAGAAATTATTAGGCGCGCCACCTTGCCTCGACGCCAAGCTCGGCGGCCCATCTTTAAAAAGGCTGCTTCGCGGTCCCGCCGCTAGAGAGCGCCACCGGCGGCGGCCGAGTCGCGCTCCGATTGGCCGAGCCGCGTCACGTGACCCGAGCAGGCTTCGGCGTTGTCCGTTACTCTCTTGTCGCCGCTCCGTCGCATTTGGCGGGTCCGCTCTGCGTTGCTTGGTCCCTCGTAGAACACAGTTGCACAATGGTTAGTTATCCAATAATTTTCCCGGAAATATTTGCCATCGGTCCCGGATTTTTGTGCATTCGGATTCGGGAAGACTTTTTACGCCTGCTGGCGAAGTTTGGGTTCGAAAGGACCAGTATTAAATGATATTTGTCGTGTTTTCTAGGCTGGTGGTAAAGCTGGAAAGGACTCCGGTAAGGCTAAGGCCAAAGCCGTCTCTCGCTCAGCGCGGGCGGGTCTGCAGGTAAGCCTAAAATTTCTTTGGACGATTGGTTAGAAAATCTGAGAGTTTTAACTTTCGTCCCGCTTGCGTTCGTCAACTTTGGTGGGTCTTTACGTCAGAACTGAGTTACAAGATCGTTTGCCTCCGAGCTAGTCCGTAGGCAATGGATTTGTGACAACAGCCTAGCCGGCGTAAAGTTTATTAATTTTCTTGAGTCAATGTCTTGTTGAGTTTACTTTTGATTCGTGTGCTGTCCCTTGCGTATTTCGTCCTCTATAAATGTGCGATCGTTCTATTTTGAATTTTATCCGTGTCAATAGCTTCTGTGTTGCCTACCGATTTAGCTGACTTCAGCACTCGGACTTTCTGTGTCGCATTTCTCTGCATATACGGTTTTTCCACCCTGTGCGCGCTTAGCTGCTGGGTAATTAGTTTCCTGGAATCGTTTCCTTTCCCGGCGCTTCGTAGTCGGACTTAGTTTTCCCCCGAAAATTCTTTGTAAACAAAGTTAACCTGTATGTGTCGTCTTTTCCCTCCATTTTTGTTTGGGGTTGGGTCATCTTTGTTAACTGTGGCCAGATCTGACAGAGACTTGTTCTGTGTGTTTCCAGTTCCCTGTTGGTCGTATCCACAGGCATTTGAAGAACAGGACAACGAGTCATGGACGTGTTGGCGCTACAGCAGCTGTTTACAGTGCAGCCATTCTGGAGTACTTGACTGCTGAGGTAAATTCTGAACCTCTTCTCTCTGACAGCAATGCATCTTCAGAGTGTCAAGTTGATCCCTGCATTGTTCTGTTTGTTGACACTTGCTCCGATATTGTTTCTGCAGGTCCTTGAGTTGGCTGGCAACGCCTCCAAAGATTTGAAGGTGAAGCGTATTACACCCCGTCACTTGCAGCTTGCCATCAGAGGAGACGAAGAATTGGATTCCCTCATCAAAGCCACCATTGCGGGTGGTGGTACGTATTTGTCCTTCCTCTCTTTCAATCCTTTTTTGAATCATTATTTTCTGTTCATTCTTAACTTTCTTTTCAGGTGTCATCCCTCACATCCACAAGTCCCTGATTGGAAAGAAGGGTTCGCAGAAACCTGCTTAAACCTATTCCCTAATTCGGAGGACAAGTCACCAGTGTTTGTGCTTTTTCCCCTTTCCGACCATTCTGTGACGGTTACCTTACTCAGTTTGGCTGAATCCAGAATCTGGAATCATCAATTTGACTTCGGACAAATATTTATTTGGAAAGGGGCAGAGTTTGCATGAAATGTGTTCTGTAGAGGATATGTTAAATATCTTATTATCCTCACCTTATTAGTGTTTTATATTTCATATTTTGTGTGTCAGAATGTTTGAATTTATATGAGAGTCAAATGAATGTGAGGTGTGTTTGTGCTTACCAAGCAGCTTGGTTCTTATGTGCCTGATTTCTGGCAAGTATGTGTGTAGTGTGACTGACGCGTGATGTCATTATCATTTGTGAATTTTTCATTATTTACATCCCTTCTTAGGTGTGTACTCAAGCTTCATGTATATTGTGGTTGAATGAAATGTGGACTTCAATAGATTTGTTTTAATGAAACTTCAAAAATTTGCATCATGAGGTTTGAGACGTCTTGGCTCTTCTACTTCGATCTCATTCATATCCATAACCAAATTAAGAGCCACATTGTAAATGGATTTCAAATAAAACCATTTTTTTATTTATAAACTGTTGTTTTGTCTATTTATTTTCATTTGTCATATACTCCATTAGAGCCTCATTGCTCTACATTGATCTAATCATGATTTGAGGTACAAATACGTCATTTAAATATAGTTTGATACTGAATAAATTAATGGCAGTGAACACAATACTTCTACACCAACCAAGTGATGTTAAGTTACATTTTTGGTGAGCAGCATTTCAGTTCTTGTCAGAAACTGAGTTATCATTCTTCTTCTCCTCGGACTTCATCACACCTCTCCTCCAAATCATCCTGTCGAGATATTTCAATTCGTTAGTTTTCAAAGGGCACACCGTTAATTTCAAAGAATATCACTCTTAGGCTGTACCTCTTCAAGTTGAAGGCATTTACCCCACTCCTTGAGAGAGATCATGTGATCATCATCTGCATCGCACTTGTTCAGGAATGGTGCAATGCAGTGCTCCAAGGCCATAAGAGGTGCACGAATTGGGAACAGTTCATGTCGAGACACAGACCTATAACATGTAGCACAAGCGTAACATTTCCATCAAGCAAATTATGACAGAAGAATGATGGGTGATATCACCTACCTGTCATGTGGGTGACCATCAAGATCACACCATTTCCAGATGGCAGCATTAGTCCAACGACGGGTAAGGTTGGTTTCAGCTTCACGCTCCAGCTTCAGGAAGTAAGGAGAAAGCTCTTCACGATCAGCCATGTCCCTCATGACATTGAAAAGCCAGTCGCTCATACGACGGGGGAAGTCAGCCATCTCCTCAGGGGAGCAGTCCTTCATGTCTCTGCACACACCGTAGTACTCAATGTGAACATGCTTGTATTTCTCTCCACGGCACATCTCAGAGCCCTGGTCACACAAGCAGCGCATTTGGTAGACTTCGCAGTCTGATCCCCAGGTTTCATTGTGGTTGGAACACACCTACAGAGGGGGGAAAAATGTTATCTTATCACTTTTAGACAGACATCATAAAATAATGAACTCTCAAATAAACGAAGGTAAGTGAAGTATGCCATGCCATACCTTCCTTCGTGGGTCAACTTCTACAGGGCAGGTTGGAATGCAAACACATTCGGCTTCACCAGCTGCAGAGAGCTGGCACACTTTGCCAGCACCACAGTACTTGTCATGGCATGGATCTGTGCCAACAGAACACAAAAGCTTATAATACAAACTCCAAAAAAAAAATCAACTTCTAACTAAAAATATAATGCATTTAACCATACAAGAAGGAAACTGCAGAGGCAAGGCTTTGGGGGATGGATTTAAAAATGGGAAATGCACCCGCTCCGAGCAGGCCATTGGTCTTGCATAAAGCGAGGGAAAAACGGGCAGCCAATCGGAACGCCGCCCTTCCCTTTCCGGAAGTGGGCAGGCAGCCATGACAGTGCGGCTGCCATGCCGGCGGGCACGTTGGGCTGCCTACCCACCGGGCGGGAGTAAGTAAGGGCGTGCTGCCGTGCTGCAGCAGACTCATTCCGAGAGTCGCTTTCGTCGCTCTGTCTCTCTCGCACATATAGGGGACAGCTGCTATGAGTGCGAGAGAGACACAGAGAAGAAAACGACTCTCGGAATCAAGCGATAGGCTTCGATAGGGACCGAAGCCGATAGAATGGGACGTATTTATGACCCGCCTCGATAAGAGAAGCCTTTCAGGACGGAGCTGCTCAGCAGCAGACTGATTCCGGGAGTCGCTTTCATCGCTCTGTCTCCCTCGAACTCATGGGGCGTTCCGTATGGATGCGAGAGAGACAGAGCGACGGAGACGACTCTCGGAATGAGCCAGCAGGCCGCGCTGGCAGAGTCTCGGGCACTCATTTTCGGACAGCCGTTGATGCACCCACCCACAGTGACGACCTCGTTGAGCCTGACGTCCTCCTCCTGGCGCGCCTCCTTCTCCTCCTCCTTCTCGTCCTCGGCCAGGATGGTCATGACGTCCTGCTCGGCCTGGGCCGCCACCACGGCCTCGGCGGCCACCGCGGCGTCGGCGGGCTGCTCCGTCGTGGTGCTGGTGCGGTGGCGCTTGCCCTTGCGGTGCTTCTTGTGCTGCAGGGGAAGGAGTAGAAAGCCAGGGTGAGATCGTTGGAGGGACTCGGTGACGCACCACAGTGGGACAGAAGACCGGTGGAGGCGGCCAAAACTCTAGACGCGTTTCGAGCTCCAGAGTCGCTAAATGACACTCGAACCGAGCGTGTGACCCCCACCGATGGATTCCTCGTTCGGAGAGCAATCCATTGGTGAGGTCACACGTTCGGTTCGAGTCCCATATAGCGACTCTGGAGCTCAAAACGAGTTCACAGTTTTGGCCGCATTCCCGGTCTTCTGGCCCACTGTGCGCACGAGCACTTACCACTTTTTCTGCGGCGCCGAAATCGACGACCAGCAGGGCCACGAGGGCCACCACCAACAACACCTGCAGCTTCATGGTGCTGCTGCAACAGAAAGCAGTCGTTATTTTTCCGGAGGGGAAAGGCCATTCCGCCTTTCAAGTGCCGTGCAGCAACACGGTTGGGCGTGTCGGAAGGGTTGTCTACCCCGCGTCTGCCGCCCGTGCCCGTAGGACCCTACATTACCCTAGGCCTCCAACCGGCCGCACTGCCGGCTGGCTGCTAGTACCCGTTTGTCGCTCTGTCTCTCTCGCATGCGACAAAGACCGCGCGACGAAACGTCTCTTCTGGATCGCTCTGCAGTCCGCATTGCAACGAGGAAGCGCTTGTGCTCGCCGACCAGGCCGTCTAGGCCATCGAGGCCGTCATCGCGCCTGGCGTGTTTAATTCATCAGAGCGCCGCTGTCGGCCTGCCCGCCCATTGGTCCGTGATTGGTTTGATTGGCGACTGCCATGCGGTTCCCCCCTTCTGCAGACTGCTTCCGAGAGTCGTTTGCGTCGCTCTGACTTTCTCGCACTCATGGGGCGTCCCGTATGGGTGCGAGAGAGACAGAGCGACGAAAACGACTCTCAGTGTACTGCCCCCCTTTCCGCCCCTCGCCGCCGCATGCATGGAGAACGTCAGCACGGAGTGAGTACGGAGAGGCATCGCAGAGCCGGCAGAGCCCCCAGAGCGACGCCAACCAGTGCAAGTCGCGGGACTCGAGGGCACGCGGGGGCCGGGGTTAGGCCGGGGGAACCAAGCCGGCCCCGCTGTGGGTGGGAGCGAGGTGGTCGATACGGCCTGTCCGAAGGGGATGCTGCGCCGGCCGGAGAGAGCGAGAGTGAGATAGAGCGCGCTGAACGAACGCTGTCGGCAGTTTGCAGTGTGACGCCGGTGGATCACTATTGCAGCTGCAGCTTCGCGCTTTGCCAGGCCTTGCCCGGCAGCCACCCACCACGTCGTCACAGCGGCCCCGCGGACGCGGCCGAGCAGGGGGAGGCTCTTCGCCGGCCGCGCCGGGGCAGGTCATGTGCAGGCCACGGTGGGGGCTGGACAACGCGGGGCTGAAGTGGAAAGGGGGTGGGTCGCCTGTGCAAGAAAAACCGAACGGTGCTGTTTACTCGTTTTTCGTTTCGTTTCACGGGCTGAGTCGTTCGATAGAGAGGCAGAGTCTGCCATGCCTGCCCCTCGACCTGCCCTCCCCTGTTCGGTGAATTCCAGATTTCAGCGGCGTCGATGGGCGGAGCGGCTGGCTGGCAGCACACTGCCACACTGCTAGCACACTGCCTGCTGCGGATCATTCGCTCCCTGCTCGCCATGCTCGGCATGCGGCCACGCACTTACAAGGGAACCTATTCAGGGGGTACACTCAGATTTCGACCAAACTTTTTTTTTCGTAAGGATAACATACAAGATTAAGAATGCACCTCAAAGTTGGTGCCAAGATATATATCTACACCCTTTACCAATTTTTTAAAACCTAAAAAAGGGGTAAAATAAGCCTTTTTGCATTGTATGGGTCATTTTCGGACATCGAATCGGAAAATTTGAAGTCGAGTTTTTTGTCATTTCCTTCAATGTTTGGTACCCTTGTGACGAAAATGAGAGAAAATTTTGGTCTGTTTCATATATTTTCATATTTTGCACAAATTTGGTGCGACTGCCCAATTACGACCGAAAATCAGCTCGTTGCATGTAAAATCATGGGCCATTTTACCCCTTTTTTTGGTTTAAAAAAGTCAGGAGGGGTGTGGATATGTATCTTGGCACCAACTTTGGGGTGCATTCTTAATCTTATATGTTATTCTTACGAAAAAAAAAGTTTGGTCGAAATCTGAGTGTACCCCCTGAATAGGTTCCCTTGTTAGCCGAAAAGAAAGAAAAACGAGCGGGCTGCTCTTCTCAAACAGGGCGAGTCTCTGTGCTTGGGGACTCTATGTAGGACCGGCGCGCCTTCCAACGCCGATTTCGGTGCCCTGTTCCACCATCCCGACCACAACCGGGAACACAGTCCGCGTAGCCCTGAAAGTCGCGACCGGGCTCTTCCTTCTTTATCGCCTGAAAGCCTGAATGCCCGAAAGCCTGAAAGCCTGAAAGCCCTGGAAAGCATCAGGGAGGGACGAAGAATTTGACGAACCGCAGAGCGCGCGCTTGTCTCTCGTGCCGGGCAATGCTGCCACAAAAGAAGGCGAAAAATCCGCACCACAGTTACAGGTTTGCCAACCTGGACTTTGCCTACAAGGCAATTTTTTCGAGGGCAAAGCCCAGATATAGTCTGTAGGGCAGTTTGAGGTTTGGCAACCCTCATTTCGACAGTGGTGCATCGTGGGAAGTTTTGCCAACTTATGTGGCAACACTAGAGGCCTAATATACTGCTCGCGGGTGGACTTCCACGGCGAGGGGGTAACCACTCGCGTAATACCCTGTACACAAAAACCGTGTATTACGCGTAATACACGTGGTCGTAATACCTTTTTCGGGTCAAATGTGCCAAATTTTTGCATTTTAAGGCCGTAATGCACGTGTAGAACCTCCGTAATACAGCGTAATACCGAGTAGTCTGTACACGATTTCTTGAAGTGTTTACCCCCTCGTTCCACGGCCAGCCGGCCTGGCCTTCGTGCCCTTCCCTGCTCTTCCGCGTGGATTTGGGCTTCGGCCTGCAGACTGATGCCGAGAGTCGTTTTCGTCACTCTGTCCCTCTCGCACTCATGGCGCGTCCCCTAAAGGTGCGAGGGAGACAGAGCGACGAAAACGACTCTCGGAATCAGACCGCTGAGCGCCCAGCGGGTCAACTCTGATTCCCTGCTGCCCTCCCGGCGACCCGAGACGATCATGTGACACGATTTTCGTCTTTCGCAACGCGGGCTCACAGTGATGTGGCACGCATACGCCTAGGGGGCCGTCCGAAAAGCGCTCCCCGAGGCGACTCTATCTATCTTGGCTGGATTGACGGGGAGGGGAAGGGAAGGCTCCCTCGAAATACGCTTCGTGAAGCACGGAGTGAACACGCATCCGCAGCACAGTGGGCCTGAAGACCGGTGGAGGCGGCCAAAACTCAAGACGTGTTTTAGCTCCAGAGTGGCCAAATGGGACTGAAACCGAACGTGTGACCCCATCAATGGAATGCTCTCCGAACGAGGAATCCATTGGTGGGGTCACACGCTCGTTTCGAGTCCCATTCAGCGACTCTGGAGCTCAAAACTCGTCTAGAGTTTTGGTCGCCTCCACCGGACTCCTGGCCCACTGTGCGCAGGGCGCAGGGCTCGGCCCGGCAACAGGCTGATTCTGAGCACCGACCGCTCCGTCTCTCACTCACGGGGCACCCCGAGCGAGTGAGAGAGGGGCAGAGCGACGCTCGCGACCCCGGGGCCGGAAGTGCGGGGAGTCCGGCTAAAAGTGTGGCACACACCCCCTGCTCACAAAATGGAAACAGCGCCTCTTGCAAAACGGCCGGCAGGAAGGTAAAAGCAAAACAGAAAACTGCTCGCGGCACCAGGCGACGACGCCTTCTTCGCGCTTCGCGCCCACCTGCTGCGTGCTGAAAAACGCGCTGAAACGCCGGACGGGGCCACATCAGCTGGAAAGCGCGCGCGCACCAGCAGACTCATTCCGTGAGTCGTTTTCGTCGCTCTGTCTCTCTCGCACTCATGGCGCGTCCCCTACAGGTGCGAGAGAGACAGAGCGACGAAAACGACTCACGGAATCAGTCTGCAGCCCCCACAAAAGGCAAAAGGGGCCGCCGCTTGCCGTTTCGCATTTCCGCGCCGTCAGACATCGCACCGCCGCGGCCCATTCAATCGCAGTACAGTCCGTCACAAAACGGCCAAACGAAATTCGGCGCCCTATCAGTGGTCGGTCAAGTGAAACTCCCTCATACCTTTCCCGGCCGAATTTCGTTAATGCCCGCTACTACACTACACTTAACTGAACAGTGGCGGATCCAGGGGCGGCCTATGTGGGAGGGGCGGGGGGCAAAGTTGCGCTTTTGCCTACTTTCAGGGGGCAAAGTAGCACTTTTGGCCTACCTTTCAGGCGGCTGTCTGCATCTCCCCAGCTCCCGCATTGGATATCCCCCAATGTCCACGTCTTGATGAACCTCGAACCTCAAACACTACAAATCTATTGGCGGTACACATGGTGTGGAAAAGGCGGTAAAACCTGTACCGCCTTTCTATTGGCGGTAAAATCTGGAGCCCGCCAATTACGCACCCTACAAATTGAACGAAAAAGGCGGTACAAAGTATTACCGCCCATTGCATGCCATTTAGATGGTGCGAAAAAGGAGGTACAAAATATTACCGCCTTTTACGTTCTCTCAGTGCGCCAAGAAATCGGCGGTAAAGCTCTCCAAAGGCGGTACAAACGGTTCTGTAAGGGCGGTAATTTCTGTACCGCCTTCGTATTGGCGGTAAAACCTGGAGCCCGCCAATAGCCAATTACCGCCAGTAAAGGGTGGAAATATTACCGCCTTTCGATTTGGAGTGAAGGGGCTCTCCGAACGTTAACTTTCCCTCTATTTTCTCTGCATTTTCCGAGTTTCCCTGGCTTGGCCGGAGGTTTGCCAGCCAGATCCTGGATCGAATTGACTTGGCCAGGTTTCGCACAAGGTGCACAGCAGAGCGTTCGGCGCGTGCGCCCTTATCCGCTCGCCGCGCACCAGTCTCATTCCGCGAGTCGCGTTCGTCGCTGTCTCTCTCGCACCTACACTCTAAATGTAGGGTGTCCAGAAACTTGGCGCCTTTGTCGCCTGCTCCACTTTTTAGGGTGCCAAATGTCGCCCAGTTTCTGGGCACCTTTGTCGCCTAGTCTCGTGGTGGGCAAACCATTAAGGAACCTGCCTTCACCCATGGCTCAGCAGCGACTAAGGTGCCAAAGGTGCCCAGACTCTGGGCACCTTAGTCGCCCAGGAACTAGACATCTGTGCATGCTCTACCATGGGAGAGGGCCGGTTACTGCATGATTAGTCCACCCCGAGACTGGGCGACAAAGGTGCCCAGAAACTGGGCGACATTTGGCACCCAAAAAAGTGGGGCAGGCGACAAAGGCGCCCAGTTTCTGGGCACCCCATATTTAGAGTGTAGACGGGACGCTCCATGAGTGCGAGAGAGACGGCGCGATGAAAAGCGACTCTGAGAATGAGCGTGCAGGCCAAGCAGGCCCAGCAGCCCATGTCGTTATCGCTCCGGAAGCACGGCATGGCCTGCCTTGGCCTGCCATGGCCTGCCACCCACGCCGAGCCCGGCAGCCCGGCGCGGCCTCGCCTCCCGTAGCCTGCCGACTCGTTTTGAAGGACTCCGATAAGGACACGTTGGCGGACTCCGCTCCAGCCTCCAGCCGTGGAACATTCGCGACGACGTCCTTCCTTCGCACACTTCCCCGTCGGCCTGCCTTTCCGGCACTGCCTGGCCGAGGCGGGTAAGTTTAGGTTTGACAGTCCGACCCAAAACGCACGTGGGAAGCGGGCGGCAGGGCGGGGGAGAGGGGAGGGGCGGGGGCGGGGCCGCAGAAATAGAACGAAAAGTAAACAAGCGACCCAAGCCAGACGCGCGGCACCGAGTCAGTCTGAAGCAGACTGTACCGACGCAGGGTCCTGTGTGCGCAGCCCGCAGCGGCAAGCTTTTTCGGAGAGTTCAGAGTCCCGGGGCGAGGGAGGAAACTGATCGGTTTCACGACAGACTCCGCTCCGCGCCCCGCGGCGCCTCCAAGCTGAGCCGCATCGAGACTACACTATAGAGACGGAGGCTGCTTCCGAGAGTCGTTTTCGTCGCTCTGTCTCTCTCGAATTCAAGGGGCACCCGGTACAGCTGCGAGGGAGACAGAGCGACATGAAGGACTCTCGGCCGACCGACAGCCTCTCATGCGTCGGTCAGCGTCAGTAATGGGCGACGCGGGGCGTCCCGTCGCTGTCTCTCTCGCACTCGCATCTCTGCGGGGGACGCCCCATGAGTGCGAGAGAGACAGAGCGACAAATGCGCTGTTCGGATCGGCCTGCAGGTCCTTCAGGTGGTGCGTGCAGTACGCGCAGCCCACGGGGCACTCAATCGCAGCCAGGGGCGCCCCTAGAGGGCCCCGAGGGCCCCGGACAGCCGCGCATCTACTACACTCGTCACGAACGGCGAGCACGCCAAGCAGGGCATTCCTCGAGCCGCACGCGTGCGGCGTGCCGCAAACCTCAAAGCTTCTGCAGGCTGATTCCGAGAGTCGCTTTCGTCGTTCTGTCTCTCTCGCACCTGCAAGGGACACCCCATGAGTGCGAGAGAGACAGAGCGACGGAAACGACTCTATGAGTCAGCCTGCGGCTCGCCTTTGCCACCCCTTGTGCGTTGAGATTCCCGGCGGCGCGCAGGGCGAAGTGCAAAGCAAGCTGGCACCGCGCGCCCTGCGGCGCTAAATAGAAAGAGAGGAAGAGAGAGACTCTGCCAACCGACAGGTGGCAATCACATCCACCGTGCCGCGCAGTGCCGCGCTGTGCCGCGTGCCGGGCCCAGGACCTGTTGCCGGCGACGCGTAGCGACGCGATGCACACCAAGGGAATGCCTGCAGCGCTGCAGTGCTGCACCAGCCGGACACGAACACTGCAGACTGATTCCGAGAGCCGTTTTCGTCGCTCTGTCTCTCTCGCATTCACGAGGCGTTCCTTGCAGGTGCTAGAGAGACAGAGCGAGGTAAACGGCTCTCGGAATCAGTCAGCTGCTGTAACGTGCGACAACCCCACTACCCACACAAGACACGCAGCGCAACGCCCGGCAATGCCTTTTGCAGCCTTGGAGGCCCAGGGCGTCCTGGAGGGGCTGCCTCTTTCGTCGGCCCGATAACGCCACAGCCTCTTCGCTACCTTGCCAACCGTACCTTTCTCCTCAAGCCCGGACGCTCTTTGAGGACACCCTGGTAGAACGGAACACTGGACCGCTGGACGCGCGCGGCTTGACTGCCTTTGCGACTCCAATGTGCACTCTGTGCCCGACGCGTCTTGACTGCGACTGCGAGCGCGAGCTGCCGCTGCCTGCGAGTCCCACACCACTGCGGCTGTGCCCTGGCCTTCTGGCCCTGTGGCCTGTAGGCCGGGCGGGCACGCCGTGGGCCCCCAAGCGGAGGGAGCAAGCCCAAGCCCTGCCCCCCAAGCCCTTCCCTCCGCGCGCGTCCCGGCAGGCGGCAGGCCTATGGTCTGTCTCTCTCGCACCCTTACGGAACGCCCCGTGAGCGCGAGAGAGACACACTCGGAATCACTCTGCAAGCTGAAGGCGGGCCTCTCTCGCTCCTCTTCGCTCGCTCCAGATGCGGTGCGGCCCCTGCAGGCTGCCGCAGGCCGCGTCCCTGTAACGCGAGGGCTGCACACTGCAGTGCAGACCGATTCCGAGAGTCGTTTTAGTCGCTTTGTCTCCCTCGCACCCAATGGGGACGCCCAATCGGTGCGAGAGAGACAGAGCGACGAAAACGACTCTCGGAACCAGTGAGCTGCTGCGTGACAGAGGCGGCATGCGTTTGCCGGCACCGGCAAGGCGATGCAAGTCGAGCCCAAGGCGGCGAGCCCAGCCAAGTGCCCAACGCTTCAAGGCCAAAGCCCTGTGCCGTGCGAGGTGCCGTGCAGAACGTGGCATGGCAGGCCGTGGCCTGGTCGTGGCGTTGGGGACCCCCGGCCCCCGTGCCCCCGCCCCCTCGGGCATGGGCGTAGCCACATCAAGTCGCCCCCCACAACGCCGTCTGTCAGTTGCATGGCATGTCATTCTGCAGCACCGCAAAAATCCCCTCTCCAGCACCCGTGCGTAGCGTACCCTTCGTGCGGTATGGGTGGGTTCGCTCACAGCGCGGGGTGTCTATCCGTCTGTCCACTGCCCACGCAATTGCGGCTGCGAGAGTTTGAAAGGTTATGTAATACCTTCCGAAGTCGGACTGTGTGTTCTTTCCCTTCTGAGTCAAAGGAATTGTCTAGACACTACCCCTGAACCCTCGCAAAAACTGAAGTCTGTGACAACCGGTATTCATGCACCATTGGAAGGGTTAAAAGGCTGGGTAAGAAACTGCAAATTGTTACAAAAAGGGAAACATTTTTTATTTCTTTCATCTAATTATCACAGGGAAATTAAAAAAAAAATCAACTACAATAACATGATAGACTGGGAAAGGCATTTCATAATGCCTGAGGCAATTGCAGTATTAGGTAGGACACTGAAGAACTGAGGAGTTAAAAACCAATGCAGTGCAGCTCACATAGGCTCTAAAGAAATAAATAAAATGAAAACTAAATTTAGAAAAGCTATTGATGGGATAGCACAATGAGCTGCACTGGTACACCAACTCAAAACAGAATATACGTTCAATAGAACACTCGAACTGATATGAAATTGTTGACCCTAATAACACAGGAATTCATCTCACAAAAAGTAGAACTCCATCAGTTGAGAGATATCCAGTTCCCTTTACATAACCAAGAAGACACCAATCTATCAAGTATTTCAAGATCATTTTATACCATTTTAAACTGATAGGCCAAAAGTGACTAATTAAATAATAATAAAAAAAAAGAGAGAATACCAACAGAACTTTGATACTTCACATGTAAAGAAAACATAAAAACAGAAATGAAACATAAAATTTCCTTCATTATGCAAGACCCACTGAAGTAATTGTTAGACCTTTAAAACAAAACAAGTAGCATTTTATTTTAATAAAAAGAAGCATGAAATAATGCCAAACAGACTTCATAAATATATTTTTTTTTAGAGTGCATAACAAAAAGGAAATTAACCCCAGACAACCACAGATCCAGTAATTCAGCACCAATACTCGTCCAGGTCCCCTCCACAACTGCTCAACACCACTATTAAAAGGGCTAGATTAGTTGATCTAAGAATGTCTTCAACCGCAAATCTGTTTTAAATTAAAACAATAACTTAACAAAATTCTTACCATACAACTAGTGCAGCTACTGAAGTCATCAATAGATCAATGCCTCGAACCCCACTACCCTGTTGTCACTTTCATTGCCTATGTCACAGTCAGCATCATTCACACGTACAAAAATACCTTATAAAACACATAAGAGGCCCGCATTACAGTTTACAGGGAAAAAAAGCTAGGGTTAGATTTAAAAGCACCAAAGAATGCCAACAGGGTAGTACAGTACAATGAGTAGAGGTGGGGCAGCTGGCCTGGGATGGTCCACTAAGCCTCCCCATCAACCATTCAGTTCAATGCGGAACTGAAACGGTATTTTTTTCTTGTTCACAATAAATACAATTTGTAACTTTGTTACATATAAGCCACAATATGATGGAATGTGAGGATTGGTTGCAACAGACTAATATTCAAGGCTTGGTCCAAGACCAAAATATATTTTGCCTCACTGGAGGCAGGGATATGAATTCAAAAGGCATTCTATGGTAACCAATACTGTGACAATAACCAACATACTGTCTACTTCTCACCACTGAGAACACTAATAAAAAAAAAATACCATTGCAGTCCCAAGTTTTTACGTGCACATGTATCAATGGATGGCACAACAGTATAAATGAGTACAGATTAATTTTTTTTTGTTCACTTTTTGAAGACCCATGGCTGCCACCTGCTCCAAGCAGCTCTAGAATTCCCCTCCTGGACAAAACCTCCAAACAGGAACTCGGACTAGGCCAGCCACGCAAACCTTTAATACCTTTGGCACTCACTAAGTACATTATTTCCACAAATCTGACAAAACAGCAATAGGCATCACCAGGAGTGAATGAAGCCAGGAAAGGTCGGCGCCCTTTCTTTTTGTACCACTATCAGTCTAACAGGTAATACTGCTCTCGAAACCTGCTTTAGAAGAGCAGTTCAGGTTATTAATGGTTCAAGAGACAGCAAGGCAACAAAATGAAGTAGTTACCATTACAATGTGTATTTTGAATCATGCTAGTGTGGTGAACTCACTAATTGCATGAGTTGTTGGTGCCAATAAATTGCAAGTTGCTAGCAAGTTATCATCACCTAAGCAAGAAAAACAAAAAAGGATCGAGACACATTAAAAATAATATCTTACTTCAAATGAAATGAATCCATCACTTAAAAATAGATCAGCTACGATTTCTTCCATTAAAACAGGTCTCAGCTCAGAGAAAAATGTCCAATTTCAGTAACTTGGGAGTTTCAAGAGAGGACACCCTGAAACTAAGCAGGTCTAAATGCTCATGTCCCCTAAACGACTAGAGTTACTAACACTTGTGCAAACTCTCATCGATGCAGTCTTGGTTTGTTTGTTTGTTTTGTTTTTTTTTCACTCGGCGCCTACGAGTCTGCTCGTATCAGAACGGAGAAAAAAAATTAAAAGGAAAATAATTGGTTGTTGTTAGTAGATCCGGTGTGGGCCGCGAGTCGTCTGCAGCCACCCGGCACCTGGTTTACTGACGGCGGGGAGCGTAGCCGCCTCGGTTGCTGCCATTCATGTTGCCGCCACGTCCGGGGCCGCCCTGGCCGCCAGGACCTCCCTCACGCTCACGGTTGAAGTTGCCTCCGCCGCGGCCGCCGCGCATGCCGGAGCCGCCGCGGGGGGCAGAGCCGGGCTGGCCCATCCTGGGGTTGCCCATGTTGCTGGGCCCCACGCCGCCGCGGCCCACCATGGAGCCGTCGCCGCGCGGCCCGGGGCGCCCGTCCCGGTCCCGGCCGTCCGGACCGTTGCCAGTGTCGTTGCGGTTGCGCGGCTTCTTCTCCTCCACATTCAATTTCTGGGAGTCGAACATGATCGGCTGTGGCAGCAGGACAAGTCGGGGTCAATTGAAATTCACACAGACTCACACAGGACCTGCATCGACGAAACTTACCCTCTTCTCCAGTACAGCCTTGACAGATGAAGCATCTTCGAATGTGATAAATCCATAGTTGGGTACTTTATTGCCAGGAGGGCCGTTTCCTTTGAGGTTGTTGTTTTTGCTGTGGATGCGGAGGTCTGCCACATTTCCATACATAGCGAACAGTTTCTGAAATAAAGGAACAATAATTGAGCGACATGTACAGTGGTTGCTTTGCAACACATTCGGAGTCATTGAAGGCAGTGTTACCTTCAGCTCCTCCTCTGTTACGTGGTGGGGAAGGTTGCCCAAGAACAGCTGGTTGTGGTCAGGGTAGGGAGCGGTGTTGCTTGGACCGGATCGGCGGCGTTCACCATCTGGAAAAGTTCTTCATGAAGCTACGCACTCATGAGCTCAAGCCACCACAAAAACGCTTTTGGACACCAGCTCACCTGAGTCGTCACTGAATGGGGGACGGCCACCCTGCCTGTCCATGGAGGGACGGCCAATGCCCCTCACATTGGTGGCTCCACGAGTCGGTCGGACATTGCCAGGTCGGTGGGCAGCTGGTGGTCCAGATGCCATGGAGCTATGTTCCGTACGCTGGGCAGGAGGCTGGAATGTGGTTTTGAGGCAGTTAGTACAAAAGGTGCTTCATGTTTCACGGAATTGACAGATTAAGATGCAAGACATTAACCGGAGATGTTGGCGATGTCTTTGAAGAGATGGCAGAGTAGCCAGCAGTCTGACTGAATCCCTTCAGAAGAGTGGCGTAGGTCTTGGGCTCGTTGTGCACTGCAATTAAAGAATGCCTTTAAACTCTTTCCTGAGAGAAAATAAAAGTCACAGTTAACACGTCACGCAGCGCACTCAACTCACCAGCCTCACTGGGTTGGTCTTCAAATGACTCGTTCAGGGTAGACTCATCTTTCTCGTCCTGAGTAGCACCCAAGGATGCAGCTTCCTCCTCCTGCTCATTACCGTGAGCATCAGCCGACTCGTCAATATCCTCAGTAGACTCCTCAGGCATAACATTGGGTTCCTCAACAGGAGCTTGAGGAATGGGTTGCACAAGAGGGGCACTAGGGACTGGTTGTTGAGTGGCAGTGACTGAAGAGGGCTGAACTGGAGTCGGGACTGGAGCCTGAGTGATGGGCTGAGGAGCAACGGGTGGCAAAGATGACATCTCCTCCACATGTACCATACCATTGACGGTGGGCTGCATAATCTGAGGCTGTGCACCTCCGATCAGCTGCAACAAAGGGGGTCAAAGTGTCAGCAAAAGGATGCATGTGCATGATAGCAGAACAGTACCATAGGTAGACCCAGCTACTTTACTACCTGCTGAGGATGAGATGGCTGGTAGTACTGTGGGTTCTGGGATGGCGGCTGCTGCATAGGCTGAGAGATATCCACCCCAGATTCCACATCCTCTTCACCATCAGATCGTCCAGAGTCATGGTCAAGGTCCTCATCACTAACAAGCATGTCCTGGTAGCGGAAGATGTCATTGTGCACATAGTACTTCTTGGGAGACTGAGCCGCGAGTACAAAGGTCTGTGTGAAGCGTCGCATAGGCTGGCCACCATTGGACAGTTCACCAGTCACCTGAACAGACAAAGAAAATGACAACAGACCAAACAAAGACAACAAACTAGACTTGTCACCAGCTGTAAGTCAATGTTACCTGGACCACAACACCATCCCCAAGGGTAGCCTGAGAATCGACTTGGCTGATTTTAGCATGGCAGTCACGGAAGTTCAGTCGTTGAATCATTTGATGGATCTGTCGCTGGCCAACCATTGGTTTGGTCTCCCGGTTAGGGGGGTCCAGGCCACCATGGACAAAGGATGAGTTGTTGTTGTAGAATCTGCACACCAGAAACAAAAATAATTTAGATAAACCATTTGACAAGATGGCAATCTAAGAATGCAGAAAGGGAAAAACACAACAAGACAAATTACCTGTGAAGGTGTGCTGGAGCTTTGTTCAGCAGTGTGTAGTACTGGCGAACAAACTCCCGTCCCACGCACTGCGGAGTTGGAGGGGCCTCCATGACCATTTCCTGGGTACTTCTATGAGGACGGTAAACCACTAGGATAAATTGAGCCTTGGAAGAAGACTGGAATCAGTCTCTGAAACAGATCAAGATAAAGCGTTAAAGACTAGTCACGCACAGCAATTCACTAGATAAGCTTTGGTACGAATGGATTAGTTATCAGGCTATCTGTCAGGTGCCAAAATTCCAAATCCAGCCCCCAACTCGGCGCACCTCCACACTCCACTGATAACACATTACACACCAAATGACCCAGAATCAGAGCCGCCCCCAATTTGATCGATTTCGCCCCCAGAAGAGGCAGGAGGGTGGAGCGTGCCGCCTGTTGGGCGCGAGACGAGACGGAGACGAGAACGAGTCGACCGCGAGGTGGCCCTGCACACTGAGAGGCCTGGCTGTGCCTGCCCGCGGCCAGCCTAGAGGGAGAGGGAGCGACGACCGGCAACACCAGGCCGACAAGCCGACGCCAGCCCCGCGGGGAGGGCGGTACCGGGTACCTGTCGCTACCCTCGGCCGCGCCCCGAAAGGCCTCAACCCCTGTTGGCATCGGCACCGAGCAGCCGAGTCTCAAGGAGAACTAGGCCCAATGAATCGGATCGGCCTGCGTACGAACAATGGGCAGCATGGCGGGATGGGTCGCGAGTCGTCAACTTGGCGGGCAACTGCTCGCACGCCTGCCCTTTTCGGCCAGACAAGCGCTCCCAGACTCGCCTCCGTCCTCTGGGCGTGGCCCACACACGTGAAAATGAACGATACCGATGCAAGGGCGAGTGCCCCTGGTGCCCCAGCAGCGGTGGACGCACCAACGCTAAGCCGTAGGACGAGCGCGAGCGCGTAGGTACGAGTCCTTCATGAGCGAAACCCAACCCGCACCAAGCGCACACTCATTTCAATGGAAAGTACTTCTCATTCACTCACCTTTCCGCTGTCAGACGGGTGAAGGGGTGTCTGCGTTGCGAACTTAAAACTAGTATCTACAGAATGTAATGAGTAACAAATTTGCTACGTTTGTTAGGCCTACGCAATCGAAGTGATGGGTGCACTCTCTGCAAGCACACTGGTGTCACCATGTGTTTTGCGCAGGCGAGGTGCGCAGAAGATGAAAGATGGCGGCGGCGCGTTCCCAAACGCCGAGAAGTTTCCACCCGACAAGCGGTGGTCGCTTTTTAAAATTCGTCTTTCCGAAAATTAGTTGAAGTTTGCTACTTCTTTGAACCAATAATTTTTGAAAGTGAAATAAATCTGTATGAAAAACTGTCTGTGATCGGTAGTTCGTCCGTTTTTACGGTTTTGAGCCGGTGCCGGCCCGGCATCATGGATATTACGTCATAGCGCGCGCTCTTTGAATAGTCCTCGCAGTCCTCGTTTTGGCAAAGAGCATTTGCTGTCATTTTTTCAGATCTATCTTGCGCAATGCGTGTGACCGAAACAATGAATGTTTCTTTTGAAATTCATGTCTCGTTGCCATCGATAGAAATAAATTGAAATAATCTTCATGAAGTTTCCATCAAGTGTCTATGTTTTTCACAAAAAATTAAGTGCATGGAACTTGTAGTGATGTAAGCGTACTTGACGCTTGGGCAAGGATAGGAAGAAAGATTCAGTCAAAAATGTACAGTAGAAATTTTATTTCCAAAATTCCTACAATAATAATAAATGCCACTAGACCTCATGTCTCAACAGCACATAAACATAAATTTCTGACACTGATTACATTGGTTTACTGACTGGCTCAAGGCCGTTCTGTGAAGATAACACATAACAGCACAATAATTGCACATCATAGAAAACCTTAAACCTAAGTGACTGCTTCCGCAGGTTGTCAGGCCACTTGCCGTAGGAAAAATACAATAAATACAGTATAAGTAATTTATTAAAAGCATCTTACTTGTTTTCATTGTACATTTAATATGCCATGTGGCAAGATGGAATATGAGTGTACTACAATACACAGACTAAAACTTAATAATAAAAAAAATTTTCTCACAGAAATCAAAATAGAAATTAAGTTATTCCACTTGTACACAGCATCATTATCTGTCACTGTCTTGTCCTAAAATTTAGACTTCTTCGCCAGGCTCTCCAGGAGGCAGCCAGCTTTCAATGGAATGACAATGGCGCACATGAAATGAAAATGAAGATGATGAACCCAAGGATTTATGCTGTAACAAAAAGAAAATAAACATTAGAAACACTGCTTTGAGAGTACCTTCTTTCCTTTGGGGTAATGCCCTGAAGCACTAATGACCCACCATGAGTGAATGATGATGAAGATTCGTCCCTTAATATGGTTGATGCCTCGTCGCAGACCGACCCCTGCCTGTTTTGCCTCCATAGCCACCACTTCCTCCTGCAACACCAACCACAAAGTCGCAATATTTAGCCATGAAGCAGTAACTAGATGCTTTACAATCAACCCAAGACATACACCAAGCAAGCACATGGTTATTGATGTTAAACTTTAATTTTACTTAAAACTTCAGCCAAATCTGCTCTAAGATAGGCTAATTACTAAAACTAGTTACTACTAGTAATAAATAAATTGTAAGATTTCTAATTAAAAATATCTAAGCAATTGTGGGCAAAATGAAAATGATAAATAATACACTGGTGTGAGAAGTGAGAAACTCAGGAGAATTTGGTACCATATGAGAAACAAATGGTGGCAAAGCTTCCCTTAAGACCCCTTAATGCTTTCAACCCCATGAAATATACCAAGTTTCTTACCGTAGCCTCCATAATTGTTGTAGCCGCTGTAGTCATATCCACCGTAGCCTCCATATCCACCACCATAACCACCACCGTAATAGTCGTAGCCACCGCCGTAACCTGCAACAAGCATAACATTTCAGTGAGACCGACGCATCTACTTAGAGCTCTATTGGGGCCGGGAGGGGGGGACTTCATGAGCACATGAGGATTAGTTAATCTACTGTTAAATACCAACCATCATAGCCCTGGCCATAGCCATAGCCCCCGTAGCCCTGGTTTCCCCAGCCTTGGCCTCCGTAGCCTCCTAGAAAAAAAGATTACAATTAGTCTGGCTGAAGGCCTTTCTTTACTTTGAACCTTGGTATGATGGTCAGCTTTTTGGTAAATCAAAGAGCAAAAAAATCCCCATGGCTTTTAAATGGTGCAGTTCTCTAAGAATATGAACTTATAGAGCTTATGAACAGCTCGTCAAGGCTATTAGTCCCTTGATAGAGAATCAGCACATCCCGATCTAATCCCCCAGTACCCTCTCGTCCCTACGCCCCAGGTTCAAGGGGCCACCCATAATTACCTCGGCCGCGCCCCCGTCCACCACGCCCCCCTCGGCCTCCACGCATGCCTCCCATCTCATTGGGTTTGGGTGTCGCCTTCTTGACATCCACTTCCTTTCCGCTGATGGACTGTTTAGGGTTCTTCAGGAGTTCCATTACTACTTGTTCTGATTCAAATGTGATGAAGCAGAAGCCTTTTCTTTGGTTCTTGGTTTTGTCGAAGGGCATCTCAACATCAACAATCTGTAGACACAAGGGCATTATTAGGCATGGAACTAAGGCAAATAAAAACATTCATCAATGCCTACAGGATAATACTTACAGTGCCGAACTGCGCGAAGTGATTTTTGATCTCGTCATCGCTGAGTTCTGAAGTAAGACCGCCAACAAAGATCTTTCCATGCCTGGCTTTGGCTTTCTTGGGGTCGACCTTCTTGTTGTTGATTATGTGATCACCAGCTTGTAATACCTAGAACAAAATGGAACAACAAATTAAATACCAGATCATGATCTTGCTAGCCTATCAGAGATTCTAAAAACGAGCTTAACAGGACTGCTTAGTCAAAATAGAGCTCCTAGCCAGATCAACAAGAAACAGAGATAACTGTTCACTCAGTGTATACAATGGTAATAGTTTCTTCAATGCCTATCAGTAGCAGAACTGGATGAACCCATCATTGTGAACAGAATTAGAACTACAACAAATAATAAGTAAGCTATTGTTTCATCAGCATAGAAAAGGCTCATAATAACTATTCAGTAGCAAAACTGGCTGTGGATGAACAACATCACAAGAAACAAAACTTCTGAGTTCTAACGCAATGATTGCATCTATGTTTGTATGTTTGTATTAAAAAGCAGGTCTGAGGAAAGTTAGTGATTCTCATCAAAGTCAACAGTAGAACTCAATCAATTATTGGAAATTGGTCAATTAATTTATGTCCACCCAAATAATAAAACTAAGCCACATCACAAGGGAACACTAATAAGAGCTGTTCACTCAGTTTATGCAATGGTAATGGTTTCTTCAATGCATTTCAGCAGCAGAACTGGATGAACCCATCATTGCGAACAGAATTAGAATAACTACACCAAATTTTAAGGAATCTTTTGCTTCATCAGGATAAAAGGCTCATCATAGTTATTCAGTAGCAAAACTGGCTGTGGATGAACAACATCACACGAAACAAAACTTCTAGTTCTAAAAGAATTTTGCATCTGTATGACAGAGCAGCTCTCTTGAGGTAAGTTAGTGGCAACGAGAACAATCAATTTATGTCCGCAGACAAATTTAAATAAAGCCATATAACAAGGGAATGAGCTGTTCACTCAGTATGTACAATGGTAAAAGTTTCTTCAATGGCTATCAGTAGCAGAACTGGATGAACCCATCATCGTGAACAGAATTAAAACTACACCAAATAATAAGAAAGCCATTGTTTCATCAGCAAAGAAGGGCTCATCATAGCTATTCAGTAGCAAAACTGGCTGTGGATGAACAACATCACACGAAACAATACTTCTAGCTCAAACACAATGAGTGCATCAATGAGAAAGAGCAGATCTCTGAGGAAAGTTACTGGTAACATGATATTCTCTCATCGTAGTCAACAGCAGAACTGACTTATCTTTGGGAACTGGTCAATTAATTTATATCCGCCCATACATTGAAATTAAGACAAATCACAAGGGAACACTAACTAGAGCTGTTCACTCAGTATATGCATTGGTAATAGTTTCTTCAAGGCATTTCAGCAGCAGAACTGGATGAACCCATCATTGCGAACAGAATTGGAACAAGCCTACTTTTGTAAAAATGCATAAGAACTCCTGACCCCGTTTAACTTTTAAGCGCACTGATCAGTTAAAAAAAGTTACCTTATCAATAGTTGATGACTGTGAGAAGACAATAAAGGCAAATCCTCTTGATCGTCCGGTGGTGGGGTCAGTCTTGACATTGATGCTTTCAATCTCTCCATAAGATCCGAAGTGTTCCCTGAGCTCCTCTGAAAGAAAAATCAAAAGTTAGAATCAGGAAACATGAGAATTAACAGGAGGAAAGACTTTTCAGAAAGTAAGCCCACGCCTCCCCTCCCAGACTAGCTTGCATTTACTTGTAAGAAAGTACTCACTATCTGTGGTTTCCCAGCTGAGACCACCAACAAAGAGTTTCCTGAAACCATAGATTTACTATAAGAAGAGTGGTCATGGAGCTGAGACCTACGTCTAGCCAAGGAAGCTTTACTTTAACCTGGCTTTACTCTTTAATCTAGAAATTTCCTAGAGTGTATCAAACAAGAAAATTACTGTACAGTCAATGAAAGAGCAATCCTTAGGAACGGCAGCAAACTGAACTTCAATGCTCAATGGAATCTGCAATATCTCCAGAAGGAAGAAAAAACATCTGCAAGTTGTTACGAGAAATGATGCTGGATGACAAAATTATGAAATGTGACAATTAAATTGAAGACTGTCAGTGACTCTGGTCAAATTGATTTAGGCGGCCCAACAAGCAAAGCAAAAAAATGGCCCAAACTGACCAGACAGGATTTCACTTAGACCACAAGAAAGTAACCCAGGGATAAATACCATGGGCCTGCTCCCCGCGGTCAGCTCCCCGACTGCTGTGGTGAGGTTTGTCACCTGCAGGAAAGGAAGACAGGTTAGTCTACACCGCTCCAGAACCGAGAGCCTCCTTTCTTCAGGAACATTTTGTCTTGAAGACAACCAACGACGTTAGACGTACTTACTGACACCAAAACTAAATAACAGAATGGGCTTGAGAGCCAAACAAAGTTGAATTCGTTGAGAGCAGGCACAGGTTGGAAAGACTATTTAAGTTAAGATTAAAATCAGTACTCATGAACATAATTACTAGAAAATCAAACTGCCACCAAATCTTAGTGCTACACAAATTATTGAACAGCTAAAAATTTTGTAATTGGGCTGACCTTTAATACCTGAAATCCACAAGAGCAAAATGTAACTGAAGGAAAGGAAGTACAGGAGAAAAATAAAAGCTTAAGCTAGAGCCTACAAATTGATTTGGAAAAAACTTAGTGTTAATAACTTTATATACTTTAACATGAAGTTTGGTATATAAAAAAAGAATCTGAAAGGACATTGTTTATGATCAGCATGGACTGGAGGAAAAATGAGTCAAAATTTAAAATTTGTTATTTACATTCGATGAATCATTCTAAACTGGTGCCAAATGCCATAAAACGCCTCCACAAATTTAATGAACTGACCCAAAACAAATGAACAAAGAAAAAAAACAACCCAATAAATTAAAATAAAATTCCCGAGAAAAGATGTACCAAGAATGCACCAACGTTAGACCTGTAATGTAAACAACCACTGATATTACCAAGACCAAAATCAAGAATATATGGAGGCATTTCTTAGACTCAAGGCACCAGGTCAAAATAATACTTCGTAACTGATTTACTTGCTGAAAGAGAAGTAGCTAAGGAACTTATGAAACTTTCGTTAATCCTTTGAAAATTTACTTAATGTAAACATCCACTCTGGGACAGCTGAGTAAGAAGAGAATGTAATGCAAGCAGAGAGAACTCCCCTCTGAAAAGCTACTTCACACTTTATCAAGAACACATTTTGTAGGAAAAAAAGAAGAAGAAATTAGGAACTAATCTAAATCTTTGAATGTAGGTTACACATTAAAATAAAATGGCCGCCACGCCAACGTGGAACAAAATTGAAAACCGGCAAGGAAACATTCCTACAAGGGCTTCTCACTTAACCAAGTTTCAAAACAGCTGAAAATAGAACATTTTTTTGACCGACGAGTGGCAGCCCCACGCAGTAAGAAACTAATGCGCCTTGGTGGGACCACAGGCACAGGCTACCAGAGTGCTGACCGACGCTAAAAACCCAAGCGGTCTCGGATAAGACGCCATGTTGAGAAAATAGAAAAATCGATACCAGAAAGGAACGGCGATAACTACATGCACAAAGAACACTTCCTTTCAAAAACGATAAATAGTGTATAAAAAGGCGACAGACAGTTAACCAAGAATAATAAGAGAATGTGATGAACGAAAAAAAGGAACAAACAAGTCACGCCCTCAGAGAAAAACACGCTTGGGTAATGAAGCCTACACGAGACATTGAGTTCTAGCCTTAGGAAAATAGACCGTTTTGAACTGTAGTATCAGTGAGCTTGAGTTGCTGCCCATGGTTCAAACGTTAACGGAATAACACTATTCCGGCCGGTATAAAAAAGACGCGATAACGGCAAAGGTACTTGAAAGATGGCGTACAAGTCCCTTCACTTACCTCTCGTCATCCTTGCCAGGGGCCTCCGCGCTACCGCTGTCCTGAGGAGCATCACCTCCTCCGTTCATTTGGTCATCCTGCTGATACTCTTGATCAGTGATGTCCTGGTTAAAACCGTTGTTGTAGTCCTGGTTTTCTGCCATTTTCGGCGTGTGAAGTGACGACTCGGAGTAAAGTGTCGCTTGCCGTTCACGGGGCAGCCGAAGTGGAAGAGGGGCAAATGAGGCCGTCTGCGTCACCAGCCAGGTCAGCCGGGCAGTGCACTCTGGGAAACCTCGCCGTCGGCCAATCCCGTGGCGGCTCTCAAACTCGCCGGCCTCCCATTGGCTGTTCCGAGGGGGCATTCGACATTGACCTATAAAGTGCACTCAGAAACCACGACGCCGCCACAACAACACAAAAAACAACATGCTTGTCCTCAAGACTTTGTCCCACGGATCTGTAAGCACTCCACAATAGACTGAAAATTTTCGGAACTGAAAGTAATCAACCGCAAGCCACACCAATTAAAACTGTGGCGTGGTTGCTCTCCTGTTTAGCTCCGGATATGCCTCATTCGCTGCCCGGAATCGAAGATCGCGGACTTCCGGGGACCGATTTTTCGAACGTTTGGAATCGGCGGCACCCTCAACAACCCCCAACAATGTCTCACCCAAATCGTTTAGGAAACAAAAATAATGTGAAAGAACAAAAACATCTGTTTTGACAGACAATCCCTTTAAAGTTATTTGGTTCTAAATTTCAGAGTAAATTTCAATACACAGAAACAAAAATGCGGCAGTGCAAGAAGGTAATGGTGTTGTAATCTTTTGCATCCTGTACTCATCCTAATTTTGTTTTTCAAATTTTTCAAATCTTGTATAGGAGCTAACCGACGTGTGGCGAGCCCTGAATAAAATAAGAGCAGCAGTTTTCCGGGTCAACTTAGATCTATGGAAATACTTCAAACCTCTTGATCCAGAAGGCAACAATCTCACATCAGGTATACAATTGTTTTAATTTTTGTATCAAGTCGATGAGTACGATCCAATTTTATTATTTGATATTGTACCTTTGCAGAATCCAACTTTGTTGGCGTCTTGTCTGGAGTACTGCGCGGGGAGATCGGACTATCAGACCAGGAAATAGCAGAGATCACTGACTACTTTAGAGTTCAGGATGGACGCATATTTTATGGCCAGTTTTGTTCAGTTATTCATGACAATGGTACATACATCCATTACTCTCAGGTTGTGTCCAGCTAGGTCATTCCCTTTGGAGCAAAAATTAGCTACCCTGTTTCCAGTGCCGGACTTTGAGAAGAACCTCCCGCTGGTTTCTGGACACGAATGGGAAGACCCCTTTCACGTCAACGCACTCAGTGTCACAGAGGAACGAAGACTTAAGATACTTCTTACAAAGATAGCAACAGCTGTAAACATGAGGAAGCTTGTGCTCCGACCCTACTTCCAAGACTATGAACTGGTAGACCCCCCAATCTGACAGTACAGTTCCTTCCAAACACTAAAATCGTGTCACAGGGTCGAGTGATACTATGAATTGACCTTCCTCAGCTTACGAAGAACGAGGGCGTGGTGACGGTGAGCCACTTCGCGCGCATCCTGGCGCACCTGCGGCTCCTCGTGGCCGACGTGGACTTCCACCTGCTGCTCAAGAAGTTCATGAAGTCGAGCTACACGGTCAACTACGTCGCCTTCCTGGAGGTCATCGACCGCATCACCAAGACGCTCACGGAGCAGCAGATGCTGGACGTCGGCGGCGACCTCATCGCGCGCTTCCCGACGCGCTGCATCACCGCCGCGCTGCCCAAGCTGCCGCGGCCCGAGGTGGGCCACATCGCGCTGGACACGGTGTTCGGGCCGCAGGCCATCTTCCACCCCGTGTCCAAGCCGCCCGCGGACCGCGAGTCGCTGCACCGCGTGCTGCGCCGCATCCAGCAGTACGTGTGGCGCCACCGCATCAGGGTCGCCGAGTTCTTCAAGGTGCGTGCCTGCGGCGCCTGCCTGCAGACTGATTCCGAGAGTCGTTTTCGTCGCTCTGTCTCTCTCGCACTCATGGGGCGTTCCCTATGGGCGCGAGAGAGACAGAGCGACGAAAACGACTCTCGGAATCAGTCTGCTGCCTGCGGTTGGATGCCAAGGTTTTGCTCCCCCGCCCTCGCCCGCCCTCTTCTTGCCCCTCGAGATCTACCCGAACTGTACGCAGGCAAAAGGCGACACATTACCCCTGTAAGTAGGCAAAAAGTGCTACTTTGTCCTTCCCTCGGGGCAATTCTGGATCCACCCCTTGCTTTTCGGTGGCGGATTCCAGAGTTGGCGGGCAATGTAGCGAAAGTTGCCTACTTCCAACGGCAAGCGAGACGTTTTCCCCATCTTTCAGGGCAGACACCCTTCCCGTAACGCCAACTTGTGCTCTAGTTTAGGACAAAGGATGGGTAACATATTTCGATCGTGGCGCAGGACTTCGACCCCCTGCGTAGCGGCCGGGTGACGAAGGAGCAGTTCAGGCGCTGCCTGGACGCCATGGGGCTGGCCGGCACGCAGAGGCTGTACCTCGCCGAGCCGGACATCGAGATAGTCACCATCATGTACACCGACCCCAATGACGAGCAGCGCGTCATCCACACCGCCTTCACGGACGACATCGAGCACGGTATACTGCAGACCGTCTCCGAGAGTCGTCCTCGCCTCTCTCATCGCACCCATAGCAGCGGCCCATGAGTGCGAGAGAGACGGAGCGGGAACCGAACTCCTTAAGGGAAGGCCAGACTATTGTGTCGTTCCCTACCTTTGTTTGGTCTCGCTCGGCAGTGTTCTCGGCACGAACCCTGGAGAAGACCCCCACGTTCGAGGTGGACTCTCCGGGCCAGGAGGTGCGGGATGTGGAGCCTCCCGGTCGACTGCCCTGGCTCAAGGCGTGCGTGCGCGTCGTGGACCTCTGCGAGGACGCCGTCGAGCAGCTCAAGCACCGCGTCCGGAAGAGGCGCATCAACTTGAGGCCCATTTTCCACGACTACGATCCGTACGCCCACCTCCAACCAGCCCTGACCGTGCGCTGTGCTGGCTGTGCGCCACACATTCATTCCCGAGTACATTTGACAAATTCTCCCTGCGCAGATTGAACAAAGGCCACGTGACCAGGGCCCAGTTCCGCCAGTGCTTGGTGTTCAACTCGTTGCTGCCGCCAAAAGAACATCTGTATGCTTTGGAGCAGCGGTTCAGTGATGATATGGGGGTGGATTACTACAGACTCCTGCGAGAAGTGGAGCCTGGAACACTGGAAGAGCCACTGGTAAAAGCACAACCAAAAATGCAGATATTTCTACCAAGAAAAAAAAGTTTTTAGGAATAGTAACTATTTTTCTTTTCCAGTACAATGACTTCTTCGAAAACCGTAAGTTAGTGAATTGGAAAGAGTGGAACGACCATCCAGAACGCCGCGAGAAAGACATAGTTTGGATACTTGCAAAGATAAAGGCCAAGGTAAAGAGAGTCAACATTGTTTTGCTTTCCCATTCCAAGACCAAACTATATGCCCCATGACTGTCCTTTACAGGTTGTGCGAGAAAGAGTCCGAATTAAGGATGCATTGCACGATTATGACAACTTCAACCACTCAGTTATCATGAAAGAGGACTTTGAACGGGTCCTGAATGTCTTAAATTTTGGCCTCACAAAAACAGAGATTGCAACACTGTGTGATGTGTAAGTTCCTCAGTTTAACTTTGTATCAAACTATTCATTATAGAAATTTAATTAAAGGACTTCTTACAGTTTCGGAGCAGTGAAGAGACCTGGATGGGTGGACTATGTTCGATTCAATGCTGTTGTGGATGAAGCACTCACAGTGGACGAACTGCAGAGAGCTCCTCTCATAACACCTCTGCAACACGTCCCTCCGAATGAAACAAATAGGAACTTCATGAACTATGAAGAAAGGGCCCTTGCAGGACGCGCATTGGAAAAACTAGCTAGGAAACCTCACCAGAACTTGGAGGACATATTCAAGGTAAGCAGTGAAACTATATGGATTGGCAATTTCAAAATGTGTGTTACACGATAATATTACATGATTGAAATTGACAGGATTACGATCATGAAAACATTGGATCAGTGACACAAGAGCAGTTTACCAAAGCACTGGCCTTACGAAACATGTTGACTCTCCTGTCAATGCCGGAATTGGCAGCGGTTCAGAAATCCTTTGGAGTTGAGCGAGGACTGAGGGATGAAGTTGACTACCGTGCATTCAAGAAGGCACTTGATATAATCTTTGCAAACAACAAAAGGAGACCCGTGTAATGATAAATATGAAATTATTTTCAACAGAAATTAAACAAACCTACGAGCATTGAATAAATTTAATGTGTTGCGTGAAACCAGAAAATATGTACATTATTATCAGCCCGGCTAAAATTTACAATAATTGTATTTAATTACAAAATCTAAGAACGGCTTGGGGGTTCATAATCATCTGGGGGGACTCCAAGTTCCTCGTCAGTCCACTTAGATGCGTCGGGCCAATCATACTCTCCCTGAAATGTAAAATAAGACTCTATATGCCAAACTTTTCAGGAACATAGCTGTATAATAAACACAAAATCGGCAAAAACTTACAATAAGGTGGTCGTAGCTCACTATACACTTGAAACAGACCCACCACCAAAAGATAGTGTACGCAATATCAGCTGCTCTTTCTTGCGCTTCACTGCCTGGGGCCTCACCGATCCCACGGTAACGGAATCTGGAAAGAAACAAACCAACAAGCTGTAGTTTGGCATGATACCTCAAAAGAGCATCACTAATCAAAACCAAATGTCACTTAAGTTCTCAAAACAAATATTCCACAGAAGTGAAGCCACAGATTCGAATGTCTCAAGTCAGCAGGAAAGTATATCTCAACATGTCATCCAAGAAATAATTGATGGAACATTAAAATGAGTCCTATTCGACTTGATACTCGATTGAAAACTCAACAACTTGAACGTAGTACTCACGTTCCTCCAGAGTTCCGCACTTGAATAGCCACTCGGTGGACAGCTGGGCTCTTCGCCGAGCTGACAAGGGCGCGGCCGAGGAGAGGCAAACCCCTGGAGACCAGCATTTTGCTTCCTTCGAGGACTAAATCTCACTTTAATGTGCGAGTGACCCTTTCACCCGAAAAACATCAGCTGGGGCTGAGAGGTTAGACTGCTACAGACGAAACGACAAAACAAGCAGAAGAAAATAAAAACATGGAGAAAGTGTGACAAGGCGGTGAAGGTGAAGATGGCCGTCCTGTGATGTCTTTCGAAATGTTGTTTTGACTGATATTTTTCAAGAAACTTCTTTGTTACATCGTATTTTTTTCTATTTTGACGCAGCCAACATGGGTAAAGATAAAGGTGCGCAACGCACCAAGAACAATGCCAGGGTGAGTACTTTATTTCGGTGCTGTCAGTGCTTGGGTTATCCTTCATAGGTTATGCTGTATGACGTATGATGAGCTGGATAACAATATCAAACCATTGCCCTTGATGTTTTAATTTATCGACTGATAAAAAAAAATCCCCACATTTTTAAAGACATGGTGAAAGAGCAGGCTTAACTGCTGGAGAGAGTGTCACATAGCTTTCTGCAACCATGCCCTGGAACTGCTTGCCACCAATACTTGTCCACAAAAAAAAGTTCTTGAAACTTCTTATTTAATGTTTAATTTCTCTTGGCGACCCAGGAAACTTGGTGTATTTTGGTGCCCTAGTGCTTTAGTGCTAGTTTTACCGCCTGTCATTGTATTCTTGTCTCCACAATATTGTTGATGCATGATAATGTTTGTTGCTTACTGCTTGATTGTTCTAGCCGTCAAGCAGTGGGCGCAGTGCAGAGATGCTGGGTACTGCCCCCATCAACCCATTCATGAGCTTCACCACTCTGAAGGAAAGCATGGGCGTGGATGAGCAAATGGCTGACTCTCATCTCGATCCCAACTTCCAAGTTGTTCTCAAGAAAATGAATAAAAAAGATGGAGTAACTAAACTTAAAGTGAGTAACCACTCTTGACTCCTTTCTTTTTCAGAGCCTTGCATACCTCAAAAATTAAATTGAAGAAGTGGGACTTCCCTGCATGATGGTGTTACCTCGTAATCTAAACCCTTCTTTTGCTGTCTTCTGTTTTTCAGGCTTTACAAGAATTTTCCCAGCTTTGTAGTTCCTCTGAACCAGACCAGGTGGTTGCAATTTTACCATTTTGGCCTAGACTGTATTCCCTACTCTCCCTGGATGTCGAGCATCGAGTGAGGGAAGCTGCACATATAGCCCACCGTTCAGTTGTTTCGAAAGTAAAGCGCAACATTGCACCATACTTAAAGCAACTGGCAGGACCCTGGTTTGTTGCTCAGTGTGATACTTACGCTCCTGCAGCATCTGCTGCCACAATGGCCTTTAATGAAGCTTTTCCTCCCAACAAGCTCTCTGAAGCTATTGCATTTTGTCAAGAAGAAATCTTGAACTATATCTATGAAAACCTGGTTGTGCACACTCCTCAAACTTTGTGTAATCCTAAAACGATGACTCCAGAAGAAATAGAGTCTAAATACATTCGTACTGTGATAAGTAGTCTTCAGGGATATGGGCTCTATTTGTCACGGCTAACTGCTGAACAGTTAGAGGCTGCCAAAGAACTGAACCTAAAGCTAGTTTCAGACTCAAAATTCTGGAAATTCAGCAAGCATCAGTTTCCACAAGTGAGGAGTGCATGGTTCAGTGCATTGTCTGCCCTATGTCAACATTCAAAGTTCTTGGTGGCAGGGGAGGAAAAGCGGATAGGCCAGGCTGTTTTCGGCTCCCTTGATGAAAGTGATGCTACTGTTCTTCCTGTTGTATGGGAAGCTGCCCTAGTTTCTTTGGTAGCCATGGATGGGCTTTTAGAGGTAGTTTCTTTTGAGAAGCTTGTTCTACCAAAATTGTTGAGAGTGTGTAGAGAAGGTGGCAGAGGGTCTGCTGCTGCAATATTCCCATCCCTCCTTCCATTTCTGAGCAAGATGCCAAGCAACATTGTGAAAGATACTCACACTTTTCACAACAAATTTTTCAGCAGCATAAGAGAAGGGTAAGAATAATTTCTCTTAATTTTTAAAATACCTTTACGTTTTTAGATTTTTGGATACCAATCAATTCCTTCCATGTTTAACAGGTTTTCTCAACGAAGTGTTCAGCTTAGCTCTTCTGAAAGTAAAGCTGTTTCTAAAGCTTTTGTGGAATGTCTTCAATATGTAATTCAGTTAAATCAGGATGAGGTTTTCGGTCTGGAGCTACTACAACAGCACTTGCTTCCGTGTTTGAAGGAAACTCTCCTTATTGTAAGACGTGGACATACGAGTGATTCTCTCTACTCCAGTGTCTCCAAATTACTTCATTCATGGGGTCGCTGTTCAGAGGGCTCTCTTCAAAGGAAGTTATTGCATGCCTTCTGCTCTGATTTATCAGTTGCACTACAAACCATGGCTGTGGGTGAAGAACAGTTAGTGGTTTGTCCAGTAGATAGTCAAGATTCATCTCAGGAACCTGAAACTGAAGAAAATAAAGACACTGTATCTCCAAAGCAAGTGCAGGCTGCATTGAAAGACATCTTAAAGTCCCAGGTGGATTTCATCTCATCCATGTTGCAGAGACAGGGCCAAGGCCGTTCTTTTAAAGTGAGTCTTTGCACAGCATTTGCATTTTGCAAAGTGTCAAAGTGTCACTTACATAGGTATTTTTGCAAATTAAAATCTCAAAACAATAAAATTTCAGGTTAAATTTGCTGATTTGAAAGTTCAAGGTGCTGAAGAGGAAATCAGTACATCAGACAGCCAAACAGTATCTAGTGAAGTCACTCATTGTGAATTTCTTGCTCTTGGAAAAGCATTATGCTGTTGCTACATGCAGTCAGTTGTGAAATCAGAATCTGCTGATTATTTACCTCCACTAGTATCTCTTGTAAAATTGCTTAATACTTCCTCAATTTATGCTGACATGGCACAGTCTGTCAATCTCGCCAAGTAAGCCTCATAACTTAGTGTTTTAGATCTGTATGATTTAATTTGAAACAATACTGCTTTTAAGTTTGCTTTAACTCAACCATCCTTTTTCATTTGTACAGAAAAGAAAATCTCTTCTCAGAACATTTTATAAAATGGTTGAAACCTCATAGCATCCTTTTTTGCCGTGCTGCTGTGTCTCTTAGTATTCCTCTTTTAAATCAGTTACCAGCAGAGCAACAAAACCTTCTATTTGATGAGTTGTTGAAGGTCGGTCTTTGTATGAGTATTCATTTATTTATTGCCATACTGTGTAACTGTTCACTACTTTATCATTATTATTGTGATATTTTAGGATGGTGTGGATGTAAACCAATTATCATGGATTTTGGAAGAGAGTAACATGTGTAATGGTGCAGCCTCTCTGTGGCTTCATAGTCCACATTTGTCTGAGGTTTTAAGGACACTAACTGAACAGGCTTGTTCATCTGAAAATATTGTTGTAACTTGGGATCTGTTGCTGTCTGGATGTGGTATAGGAGCTAATGAAGGTTATTGTTTAATTTATTGTTTTTAAAATGTTTCTAGTTTTAAAATCATGTCTCATTTTTATTGTTTTGTTTCAGATCACATTTTTTGCAATTCTGCATTAGATGAGATTATTAGAGTGATTGTGACTAACTTGAATGACATGTGGCATTCAAGCTCTGTACTCCCTCCATGGACTGGAGCAGCTTCAAAAATTGTAACCAAAATTTACTCAGAACAGAGATCTTTCCTTCGTACTTCATCCTCATCACAGCAAGCCCTTTGTTTGGCATTCGAGGTAGATATCACAAAAAAAAAAAAGGTGTCTGTCAATGTTGTCTATCAGTGGTTTTAAGACAACTTGTATCTCTTAGATCTGTTTGTGGGATTCCACTCATTCTGCTGATGTGGAAGCATTATCCAAACTGTGGAAGAGTGGCACAAGAGCTTTGGTCCGTATGCATGGACATTCTAGTTCAACTATTCTTCAATTATCTGCATCTTTAGTTGATGTTGTTTTAACTTTATTGTATGGAAAGTAAGTCTCAAAATCCATTGTGTTGTGGCTTTGGAAACAAGTAAGCATTATTCTCATACCAACACCTTTTCTTTCTCTTAGGCCTCTGCATCCCAAAAGTGTCCTTGGTCACGCTGCCTCACAACTGGCTGAGTTTGTGGAGATTGTAACTGACAGTTTCTCTGATGTAGATGGAGACTGTGAGAGGAAGACAGTCTGCTCTCAATTGTTAACAGCTTTATTTTCCAATAGCCCTGATGACAGTGAGGGCAGTGATAACAAATCCTCAGGCCTCAGGAGTATTTCTGTGCTACATCGACAAGGTCTTGAGTCCCTAGCTGATTGTGTTGAACCCTTCCATTCAGGCATTGATAGCTCTCAAACAATACCGCAGAGTTCACTGGTAATACATAAATATTTACTAATTTCTTTTTCCAAGAAGGAAATTTGATTGGTTTTATGACATTTTGTTTATAATAATTTCTTTTTGTTTGTTCATAGACTGAACTTGTTGGTGCTGGGTATTGGAATGCAATTGTGGCATCTGTATTGAGCAAGTTAAGTTCAGTATCATCATTCGAAAACTTTTATGATGGCGAAGATGAAACTTTTTTCTCATGGGATGTCTTTCTAGACATGTTTATTCTCTTCTGCGATGTCAGATACATTGCACTTCATTTCTCCACTGTAAGTTGCAATTGTTGCACATGGTATGCTTAATTTAACTGAAGGTTCATGCCACAACTAACACATTTTTATCTAGACTGAGCTTGGAAGTGCTCTCCATCAGCTCACTAAAGATTCCGAGGACTCAATAAAAAAAATAATCTCCACCCTCCAACCAACACGAGCAGAAAAAGTTCACGATCTTCTTTTGGCAGGGTGAGTTAACTACCACTCCTTCCCTTACTAATTAAACATTCAAAGCTACTTTAATTGCCAAACCTTATTTTTTTAGGTCTGAAAAGAAAGCTGCATATGAAAGGGCTCACAAAATGTGGCATGACAATGCATTCAGTTCTTCAGAAATATGTGTTTCAATAACACCTGCTAGTCGTAAATCTGTTGAAGATGATTGTCTCCGGGACATTGACTTGTCTCCACTTGATGCATTTTCTGAAAAGCTGCTTGCCACAAGTCTTCTTAGTAAAGTGACATTGGCAAAGGCAGTGTTTTGGCTTGATGCTGTGTACAAACTCCATATCCGCTTCAATGAGCGACTTGTTAGTAATATGTGAGTGTCAACAATTGTCATTCTACGTTTTATTTCACAAAAATCTGGTGAGATCTCCAATTTTTGGTCTAAGGGTGATAAATTAATTGCATTTCTAATTTTTTTACCAGCACTATTGACACCTGTGCCGTTGCAGTGGTGCATGATACTATCCGAGTTATGAAATTTTTGAACGCAGTAGTTTCTCGTGCACCTCAACTTTTAGCTGGTTCCAATTGGGATCAAGTATTGATTGCCATTGCAACATGGATTCATTGTGCTTATGAAACTATCATGGAGAAGCCTGTTGACCAAGGAAATTCTTCTCGACTCTCAAGAAAGGTGAATATAGATAGTCCTTTGAACTAATGGAATTTTTTAAAAGGAAAGGGATACATTATGCTTTCCTTTTCAGGTCTGTGCTTTCCTTCAAGGAGTTTGCAAGTTGTTTGTGACCTTCAATGTGAATCTTCAAAAACTGCAAAGTGGTAGCATTGAATTGACTGATGCACAGCGAGGTTCTTTGAAAGAGACGCTTCCCAGGGAATGGAGGGACGTATTTGCAGGAGAGTGTGAGCACAAAATTCTTGCAATGTGGACTGATATTGTTGGTAAGTTAATGCTGAATCATGTTTGAACGAATTAAGTCGTAATTAAAAAGTGAATCGCCAAATCAATTCTCTTTCAACAGAAAACATCAAGCCCTCAGAAGAATCTCCACCCCTTATAGCTGTACTAGATGGGCTTGGGCAGGCACTTCAGCATTCAACTATAGCTTTCCTCCAACCCTCTAAGGATGCAGAAGTGGTTTATGAACCCCTGCTTAAATTTGCACCCCATTTCCTTCTACACAACCTGGGCTCTGTCAGACTCACTGCATATCATCTACTCATGAAGTAAGTCAACTGCTATAATGTGTTTTTATTTCTCAAACTGTTAGAAGCAAAAGAAGAACTGGCACTTATAATTTATTATGTTTCAGGATTGTTCCTTATATGGTCAAAAGAGATGCAGCAAGTTTAGCAGATTTAGCGGAAGGAGAAGAAGGTAAAGAGTGCATGAAATCTGAAGACCGCATCAGCCTCTTACATTTTGAAGATATTCTGGCTTCTTCACAAACTGTTGTTTCTACTGTTCTAAGTGAATTCAAGTAGGTTTATTTCAATTGTGTTTATTTGATGCAGTTATGTTTTTTTTCCCCCTTTCTGACACTTAAGTGTATGTTGTTTCTTTAGGTTGGGAACTTCTTGCACTGTTCAACCCTTCACTGATTCATACACATACACTTCAGGGTACTTGCTTGTGTGGTCCTTAATGCTGGAAATGTGCAAAGAAGCTGAAACTGAGTTGAAGAGTCAGTATGCAATCTGGTTAAAAAATGCGTAAGTTATCGTCAATGATAATGACTTCATTCTTTGAATAGTTCGTTATGTAATTCTTGGAATCACACTGAAAAATTCCTTTACAGGTCAGAAAATTATGTAGAGTCTTTGCTAAACAGTGTCTTTCGATTACTGCCACAAGAGGCGTTTGATGAAAAATTAAAAATTACTCTGGATTGCTTTACAAAACAGCCAAACTTGTCATTTGGAGGTGTGTGTATTTATGTGCTTGAACACCTTGCAATTATTCAACTTAATACCGTAAAGTTATGTTATTTGCTATTTTTTAGGTTGCTGGAGTAGTGTCTTGGTGTCTCATATGGCTTGCAGTGTGCTGTATGGTGCACTGAGCTGCTTACCTGCTCTGGCTCGTCAATGGTGGACTAACACAGAACCTAAATTAGCTACAATTATTGATCGTGTTGTCTCACAACACATTAGCCCCTCCATATGTGCTGCAGAAATGTCAGCTGTCGCTAAAATGCAGGACAAGGCTGTTGAGAACATGGCTGTTAGTGTGAACGCCCATTAATGTGAAGATCTCACCTTGATTATTCAAGAACTTTCCAATGGTAACTTGATTTTTTCATGTTGCAGGTCCGTGTTCATTCAAATGTACGTGAAGTAGTAGCTACATATACTGTTGATGACTTGACAATGGAGTTAGTAGTTCGCTTACCCACAAATCACCCTCTGACCCCAATGATTGTGGAGATTGGCAAGAGAAATGCAGCAGCCGCTGTTCGCTGGCGACAGTGGTTGATGCAACTTACTATGTTCCTCACTCACCAGGTACAGCAGCTTATATGTTTAGGGATTGACATTACACTAAGGAGGTACTGCCAGTTATTATTGTTCATTATTGTATGTGTGTTTTCTCTCTAGAATGGGACTCTATGGGATGGTTTGGCGTTGTGGAGAAATAATGTTGTGCGCAAATATGAAGGTGTGGAGGAGTGTTACATCTGCTTCTGTGTGCTATCTGGATCAAATTTCCAGTTGCCCAAGCTGTCTTGCCGTACTTGCCGCAAAAAATTCCATTCAACATGCTTAGTAAGTACCTAATAATGTAATTTACAAAATTATTATAACTGAATTAGATAGAACAATATAGAGAATCTACTTGTATTCTTTTTTCCCCACAGTACAAGTGGTTCCAAACAAGCAACAAATCCACCTGCCCAATTTGCCGCAATTTATTCTAGATCAAATGATTTTATAAAATCTAACAGATGTAAATGGAATCATTTGGTAAAAGAAAAATCTGTGTTGTTACCTGTTGATTCGTTTGTAAGTAAAGTTGTCCTATATTCTGTCAATGGGTCATGTTTCTTTTATTTATTTTTAAAACATTGGAAGTCCTCTTTATGAGACCGTCCGAATCTCACGGTCTCTGTGAAGTATATTTCGGACACATGTGCGTGCACGTACGCCAATGACATGCCACAGACCCTTGGCGTGGTCGTCATCCGTCCTGCCGCGCTTAGGCCGTAGCTCGGGAGGGTTACGCAACCCAGTTGTTGTCCGAGGCGGAGAATCCACGGATACATGCCTAGAGCTGCTGTTCGTTAGTTCGTACACCTGCTCAATTAAAGTGTGGCTCATCAACGCAGGTATTCATTACGTGCGAAAGACGGACACGCGCTGTGTCTCCAGACGGCCGAGCCCCTCCGGCCCACCACCGGCCGAAAAGAAAAAAAGGCCCAGACTGTCGCTGTTTGGGAGGTTTGGGAGTTAGAGCTTGAGTGGAAATGAGTTTCTGGAGATGAATCTCTGTTTGAAATTGCCGCCGTCCGATGGATAATTTTCATGTGCATGACTGATGAGCTCCCGTTCAGGACTGACTGGGTTCATAAACGCTTTTATAGCGTCGGGGGCAACTGCTGCAACCGAGAAGAGGAGTTGGGTCAGCTCCAATACGCACCTATATTTTCCCCATTGAGTTTAACACCACAACAGATTGTGTTTCGCGGAGCCCGTCCCTCCTCCTCGTCGCACCGCGCGACTTTCAGACGGCGCGCATTTTGAGTCTGTCTCCAGTCCAGGGCGGATCTAGAGACGGGTTCAGAAAAAAGGAAGGGAGGGGGGTCACAAAAGTTGCCTACTCAAGTGTGACTTTTTGCATATCCTTCAGGCGCATCCGCGCCTGTCCTCGGTGACCCCGGGCCGGGGTGCATGACCTACCCCTACACTGCCTGCCTTGGTGCCGGGCTTGGCGCCGGCCTCCCGATGGGCCGATAGGGGTAGCACCAGTTGGTTCAATCACACCTGACCCCCACCCCACACTTGTGCCATTTACATAATCATTCATTGTCCTCCCCTCCCCTTCCCTTCGTCCACACGCGCCACACACGTAACACCCCGGCCGCTACGCTATACACTCTACGCCGCTCCACGGCTACGCCAAGCCACTTGACGGTGGACGCTACCGCGGCAGGGAGTCGGGACGGTATCTGAATCTGACCGCCCAGTCGAGCGGAGCGGGATCACGCATCACTCCGCCAGGCAGCGGAGCAGCGGAGTCTCCACGACGTCGCGCAGCGCGCAGCCACGCGCAGCAGCCACCCGGGGGGCCGCCAAGCCCAGCCAAGCCGCGACGCCGCGACGAGAAACCGGCAGAGCCAGAGTCCCCTGCGAGGGCCGCGCGGCACACTGTCACTGCGAGACGCCCAGGGCGAGCAGGGCGAGCAGGGCCACGCGGAGGACCGCGACGAGGACCCACAGGACGAAGCCCTTCTTCAAGGGCGCGGGGAGCTCGCGGCCGTGACACGCCGTTACACCGAGACCTGACCAGCCGCCGGCCGCTGATCAAGTGAAGCCAGGTAAGCGGGGCGCGCAAGCTGTCTCTCCCAAGTTCAGTTCTTTTCTTATAGCCAATAAAATCGACAAAGCTTTGCTAGTTCTTTCAAAGTACATTCAGATACAGAATATGAGTTTACACTTTCGCCGAAACTTCCTCAGGCTCTTCCTCTCAGTCTGCTCTTCAAATTGGAGGGAAGGCCAGGGAATTCCCCATTTTGGAAAATGTCGTCTGTTTAAACGTTTGAAGAGTCACCCCCTGGTGAAAAGCTCCGTGGATCGCACCGTTGTGAGGTGCCGGCTGCAGCCACAGAACTGGGAATTCCCTCACTGACCTTGAAGGTGGGGTGTTGGGGTAGTTTCATGGTGTGCGTCCTTGTGCGTGTGACAAGGCGGTACAGTAGTAGTATAGTCCACCCAGTCTGTCTTGTTCGCGTGCTCAGTTCGTTTTCATTTCTTAAACTTCGAACTAATCGGTACCTTTTGTCCATGCGTTATGTAAGGTTTAAATCTCCTTAAGAAACTGGCGCTCGCGTGCACGGCTAGTGACGTGTAAAGCCGCGAAACTGAAAAAAAAAGACTGACGTTGGATTGCAACCATCCTAGTATTTGCTTGTTGGTTTAGTGTTTAGTGTGGTCCGTATGGCACCATGTGGTTATCATGCATTTGTTTGTGCGATAAGCCCCCGCGGTTTGGGCCGTTTGGGTTACTTAGCGACAGCCGCCCAAGGGACAGAAAATTGTCACTTTGACGTCACATGATGTCAAACTCAGGTCAAATTTATGTTCGTCAAAATGACATCATACTGGACCATCAGACTGAGTTAATTTTGACATCAAGTTGATGTCATTGTGTCAAGTGGTGTTAAAATTATTTGTTTGGACTAGCAACCTACTCCGACTCTCCCTTCCGATGAAACCTGACTTGGTGAATATCACCTACTGTATGCTTTCTCTGTCAAATGGCGAACGCCGCTGCGCCGTAGCCGGGATTCGAACCCGACTCCTTGGCTCCGTAGGCGCGCTCTTTACCACTACGCCACGAAGCTACATGGTAGCTGTGCGTATCTCTACCTTGCCACACTGTTCTCCCAGCTAGGCGCTACTTTGAGGGCGGCATAAGAAATGTTTTCGCCCGTGGCTCAAACGCTTCAAAGCCTTGATGGAGCTCCCACGATGTAGCCCCACAATTGTGACTCGTATTCTAAGATGCAGGTCGTTTGAAATTCTTGAGGCCTGTATGGGCCTGTAATGTATAAATATTTTTTTAGTGTGAGCGTGAAACTTAATGATTTGCCTGGAAATTCTTGTCAGACAACCCAAGTTTGAAAATGTGCAAAATTTTAGATATTCAGATAATATGAGTACTAAGCGGGTTACCAAAATACAGATACTTTTCGGATCAAGGTATTATAAATGCGATCTTAACACGCAGGACAAAGTTTGAATGTTCAGAAAAAAATTGAACGGATGATTTTGCCGCGCCATTTGCTTAAAATAACACAACCTTAATGCGTTCGTAGATGACATCAAACAGAGGTCATCGTGACTAAATCTTCTCTCAGCTATTAAATTGTTCAACATTTGAGTTCCCTTAACTCTAAACCAAATACTTGAAACAATTTGGACTTTATCTTGTAATTCAAGTTGTTTTGCATAGGATTGTACCAGGTCAAATTGACATCACTTGAGGTCACTGTATCTGAGCTTGACAAAAATTGGTCAAATTCAAGTCACTTGACGTCAATGTGACAATTTTCTGTCCCTTGGGGGAAGACCTTGCAGGTGCATGTCGAGACCCTTCACGGCGCGGGGTCCCTGAATTCCGCACCAAGTTTCAACAGTCTGACGAGCAGCGATTACCTCTGCAGCAGCATAGCTAAGTGGAAAAACAGCCTCGGTTTTTAGAACTCGCAGATCTGCGTGCATCATGACACGACTCGATGTCATTCTGACACGACTTGATGTCATTCTCACTAGGGCGGGAGTCAATGCCGGGCACACTGTTGCATGGTTGTGTAACCTTGTGTGCGTTACAAATAGCTCGGATCGCGGGAGCGATATCGGCAACTTTGGCCCGAACCATCAAAATGAAAAACGGTTGAAAGCAGCGTCCCAGACCACGAGGGCCGGCCTGTCTCGAAGTCGAAAAGCGACCCTTTTTTTCGGGTCGTGTCTGCGCCAGTTCTGCGCCAGTTCTGCGCCCAGGGACCTGCGCGTGCCAATCCACCAGTCGGTCCGGAACTGCCTAAAACTGAAACGTGCTCCAGTGATGTCCACCGTATCACACACAGCTGTTGACAACCTGCAGATTCCGCAAGAGACCAGGTCGACGTACCTGCAGCACGGTCCGTTCCAAATGACCAATAACAGGAAAAGTAGCGATATACATCGGCAACTTTGGCCCGTCCCGTACATTAAGAAACGTACGAATTTCGCCTATGTTTGACCCTGACGGGAATTAAACCTGAGTCTGGGGTTAAAATAAATGTCGTTTTCGTCATCAGCACCCTCGAAAACATCAAAAACAATGCAAAAACTCGAATAAAAAGAATGTTCAAAAAATACTCCGCTGGGATTTGAACCCGGGTCCGAAGTTCTCCGATTCGCTCAAAACTGGCACCATTGGTTTTCTCTCGTCGCCCCGATTCCAAAAATACCCCTACATGCCCTCCTAGCTGCATCCGTTGCCGAGATCCTCCTCGACCCCATGTAGACCATGATGCACCTGCAGCAGCGCCCCCGGGGCTCGGATCGGATTTGCTGCCACCGGGCGGTTCTTAGGGTCACCCAAGGAGGCTCCATACCAAATTTGGTCAAGATCGGACCACGGGAAGTCCTCGGACGGACGGACGAACGAACGGACGCACAGCAGGGATCATACTATATGCCCGTCCCTCCGTCATTTTTTTACAAAAAATAAACGGGACGGGCCAAAAACGACACCATTTTCGTCGAAATTTGGACTGAAGGCCGTCTCACTGACCTTACGATGGGCGTTTTGCGTTCTTTGGGCAAGAGGTGGCGCCCAGAAAGCACCTACACTAGCAGCCGGTCGCGGCCACGCGGCCAATGCGCTTTTCCTGCGCTCATGTTATTATTGCCGATAGCCCAGCCCGGCCAAGCCTGGCAAACACAGCATCAATTTTATCTGAAACGGACAGACGCCGGGGCATGCCGGGCGAGGACGACGCGTTTCGCCACACCGCGTGCCTCTGTAGTCAGTCGCGTCGCGTCGCCACTTCCAGTGTGTCGTAACGCCTTTGCAAATTGTTTACCCCGAATGGAAAAACACATAGATTGTTTTTTAGAGTGAACACTCGGTGCTGACCCAGTCACAGTGCGACCGGTCGTCGACCGAGTCGGTCGACCGTCCAGCCGCGCGGGGACCGAAGGGGACCGAGTCATCCAGACGCGACGACTGGGGATCGTTCGTAAGGCGGGCAGTGGCGGATCCAGAGGCGGCCGGGGGGGGGGGCCTCTGTCAGATCACTCATTTTTCGCTGCGAAAAGTGAAGTCTCGGCCGGCCACTCGCTCTCCGCTTTGGCGATTTGGCGCGCGAGTGCACGCGAACGGCGTGGCCGATTCGGCCGATTACAATTTGAGTGCGCGTTTGCGCGTCGCAGCGCCGCCCGGCCGGCATATCGCGCGGTTTGGCTTCTGCCACGCGCTCCTGTGACGCTCCTTAGACTATACACTCTCAGACAACTTGATTTAGGAAAGGCAACACAACAGATAAGGGATGAGTTGCCATGTGCCCCGATGGTATGTGCGCCTTGCCGTGCCGTTCCTTGCCGTGCCGTGGCGTGCCGTGCTGTGCCGTGGCGTGCCGTGTTGTGTGCCACGCCGTGCCCTGCGTGGCCATGCCCATGAACCAAACCAAAGAGACGCTGATAATAAAGTTATCCCAGGGAAGGTGAGACAGCGTCGCGTAACCGCGTGGGTGTGCACAACAGGTCTCCACGGGATCAAGCCAAATCAACCTAATTTTTAAGCGGTCTTGCTACCGCTTCTAGCTCTGCATCCGATCCCACTCATCCCATCCCATCCACCCATCCATCCATTCAGCGCGCTCGGGCTCGGAGGGGACTGCATGGTCGTGTTGGTCGTCGTCGTCGTCGTCGTCGTCTGTCGTCGTCCTGCGCCGCCACGCCGCGCCGCCTCGCCGCGCCAGTCCCCACTCCTCACCACCCCCACCCTTCTTGCCCCCTCTCTGCCCGGCCTCCCCGGCCGGTCCACGGCAAGACCGCTTTGCTAAGCTTGCCTTGGCGGAACTTTTTCCGTACTTCCGTACTATATTCGTCCGTACATTTTCTGTACAAAAGTATTTAAAAATTAAAATTTTTAAATTTAAAACTTAATTTTAATTTTTCCCCGGTGCAGGGCGCTACCTCCCCCATGGTAGATGTGGTGCTTGGGGGAGGGGAGGGGGGTTAATGTAATTAATTGAACGGTGTCAAGAAGGCAGAGGGAACGTTTTCCCTTCTAGTCGTGTGTGTGTGTGTGTGTGTGTGTGTGTGTGTGTGTGTGTCTGCGTCTGTGTGTGTCTGTGAATTCTGACCGGTTCCGATATCACGTGGCAACCCACGCGGTCAGCCGGAGGAGACGAATTGATGCGATAACGGGCAGAAACGTTTGGCACGACACAATACACAGATATAAATTTGGTGACAATGTTGCCCCCTGGACTACGTGCACTACGTGCACGATGCATGCAAATGAACTTCGATCCTTACGCGAGAAACGATTTATCAGAGGATGATTTCGAGACAGAATTTGCACACCGTGTCACAGTTCCATTTCAACTGTTTACGTACGCGGATGCTGAAAAAGTTGGTGTTTTCCAAGTTTTGGTCCGGAAAAGAACGTCAGAAAATTCCAATTTACGGTGCTGGCGCAGCCACACGCGTAGCGAAGCTTATATAACGCCCCAAAGCCTCCGGAGTCGGGATGGGCAGTGACCGTGGGCCACTTTTAAACTCCCGTTTTGAGGTAGGGCGTTGGCGGGGACGCCGCCGTCGACGCGCACCACCTCGGCCACCTCGGCGCCGTGGAGCTTGGAGGCAGGGAAGTGGAGCCGCCTGTCTGCTGCCGCGACGGCCTCCGAGAGTCGTTTTCGTCACTCTGTCTCTCTCGCACTCACGGGGCGTCCCGTGTAGGTGTGATAGAGACAGAGCGACTCCAGGAATCGGGCTGCTGGACCGATGTTAATTATCTAGGCGCGCTTAGAGTCCTGCTGACAGACTGACAGACTGCTGCACCGGTAGACAAACATGCAGGCATGCAGTCGGGACTGACAGAAGCCTGGCCAGGGTGGCCGCTGGTGCCGTGGGGCTGGACTAGGCCGGCAGACTCATTCCGAGAGTCGTTCTCGTCGCTCTGTCTCTCTCGCACACGTAAGAACGCCCCATGAGTGCGAGAGAGACAGAGCGGCGAAAACGACCCTCGGAATGAGTCTGCTAGACCACTGCCGCGGCATGCCGGCATGATGCCGCCGGCCGGAAGAAACAAAAAGATGCCTCGGATTAGCCACTTGGCTCCACTTGCCGCCAAGGCCAAGGAGCAGCAGGTTGATGGCGAACCGAGTCGCTCTGTCTCTCTCGCACTCGCGGGCCGTTCCGCTGGGGTGCGAGAGAGACAGAGCGACGAGGCGCCCTGCGGAGTCAGCCAAGGGGATTCAATTTGGAATCTGCGCGGCTCCGATGACCGACTTGCCTACTGAGACTCACTGACCTTGTTGCTTGTCGCTGTTGCAGGACCATGGCGCCCCCGGGCAAGAAGCTCCCGCAGTACACCGCGGCCGTCATAGGTAAGGCTGCTTCGGATTTTGACATTTGCCCACATCGTGTGCGGCAAGTTTGACGCGACCTGGGACCGGCCTGAATCGGCAGAGGATCATTCGTGATCTAGCCTATCATGTTCATGTTCATGTTCATGTTCATGTTCATGTTCATGTTCACGTTCACGTTCACGTTCATGTTCACGTTCACGTTCATGTTCATGTTCATGTTCATGTTCATGTTCATGTTCATGTTCATGGTACGGGGAAGTCGCGCCGCCGTAGCTCTGCGCGTGAGGAGCAGTCAAGCAAGCAAGATTCTATACGAAGATTGTGCAGAGGATGAGACACAGAGTTGCGCATGTCTGTACAGATTTTCGCGCGGAATCGTAAGTTTTTCGGCGCGGAGCTCTAGGTGACTCCGCAAGTTGAACTCGATGGTTCGAGTTCTCGCTAAGTCGGGTGACAACCCCGCAACGGGTTTCCACCCCCATACCTCCTCGCCGACCACGCCGCCGCCACCTGCAGATCCAAAGGACCGTTCTGCCGCTCTGTCTCTGTCGCACCCACGGGGCGTTCTGCAGGGTTGCGAGAGAGACAGCGATCCATCCGGATCCATCGGAATGGCTCGGCTGCTGGCCGGAGTGGCGCAGGGAGCGAGCTCGGAGCGAGGGCGGGTGGTTGCCCTGCCCTCCTCCTCGGCGCTACGACGCGGTCCGCGGTCAAACCTCGCAGTGCGGTGCCGCTGTGCCGCCGGCGGGGATTACGAAACAGTTGAAGGCCACCGCGTCGCCGTCACGGCGCGTCATGCGTGGAAGGACGGACTATGCTCGCCAACGACGCGACACGACGCACGGTTTGCGGGTGTTGTGCGTTATACGCGTACCGGCCGGTGCTGGCGAGGGGTGCGAGGGGTGCCGGGGTCGAGAGGTGCACCGGCCGGCGCCAACTCGAGGCCGGCCGGTACACTGATGCCGAGAGTCGTTTTCGTCGCTGTCTCTCTCGCGCCTATACGGGACGCCCCATGAGTGTGACAGAGACAGGGCGATGAAACCGACCCTCGGAATCAGTCTGCAGTCCGGATGGCTTTGCGACGCTTTGCGAGGCGCCGGCGGTGCCTGCGTCGTGAGGGCGTGAACCAGTGCTCCAGTGTACCAGTGTACCAGTGTACCAGTGTACCAGTGTACCAGTGTACCAGTGTACCAGTGTACCAGTGTACCAGTGTACCAGTGTACCAGTGTACCAGTGTACCAGTGTACCAGTGTACCAGTGTACCAGTGTACCAGTGTACCAGTGTACCAGTGTACCAGTGGACCAGTGTACCAGTGTACCAGTGTACCAGTGTACCAGTGTACCAGTGTAAACTGGCCGCGGTCCTCGGCATGCCGGATCGCCGATGTAGCTTGGCTTGGCTTGGCTACACTGGACTCGGGCAGCCGGCAGGCCAAAGTCACTCGACCCGCATGGCTGGGGGTCTGGACCTGGGCCACGCGGGTCAAGCCAAGCCACCTCGTGGCCAAGCACCTCGTGGCACAAGAGAATAAGATTTGGCGACCGTCCCGGAAAGACTGCGACTGGCCGTTGTTCACTGAACCCGTTTGCCCCGCAGCGTCCATGTCGGTGATGGCGGCGGGGTGCTGCATCGCCTGGCCCTCCCCCGCCCTCAAGATCCTGGGCTCGGCGGACGCGCCCTTCAAGCTGCAGGACGGCGAGGGCTCGTGGATCGTGTCGCTCAAGAACCTGGGCAACATCCTGGCGCCGCTGCCCACGGGGTGGCTGATGGGTAGGATCGGGCGGCGCGCCACGCTGCTGGGCTCGGCGGTGCCCTTCATCGCGTCCTGGGGGCTGCTGCTGCTCTTCAAGACGGCGCCGCTGCTCTACCTGGCGCGCGTACTGGGCGGCCTGGGCGTGGGCATCGCCTTCACCGTGGCCCCCATCTACCTGGGCGAGATCGCCGACACCGAGGTGCGCGGCGCGCTCGGCACGCTGCTGCAGGCCATGCTGTACTGCGGCATCCTGCTGGAGTACTGCGTCGGCCCATACGTCAGCTACTACTCGCTGGCCCTGGTGTCCGGCGCCGTGCCCGCCATCTTCGCGGTGCTCTTCTTCTTCATGCCGGAGTCGCCGCACTGGCTGCTGCAGCGCGGCCGGCGCGAGGACGCCCGCCGGTCGCTGCGGTGGCTGCGCGGCACGGACGAGCAGTCCGTCGCGGCCGAGCTCGGCGAGATGACGCGCGCCATGGAACTGCAGGCCGGCGACACCAAGGGCGGCGCCTCCATGAAGGACGTCATCTGCAGCCGCGGCCCGCGCAAGGCCCTCATCATCGTCGTCACCCTCCAGGTAAGAGAGCAGCACAACTACTCTGTGATGACAGTGGAGGGGCGCCAACGGACAATCGGCCCCGATTGCACAGAGGGCCAGAAGGCCCCTGCGGCGGACTAATTCCTTGACCCCTTTTGAGCTCCAGATTCGCTAAATGGAACTTGAACCGAACATGTGACCCCACCATGGATGGCCCTCAAAACGAGGAATCCGTTGGTGGGTCACACGTTCGGTTCGAGTCCTGTTTAGCGACTCTGGAGCTCAAAACGCGTCTAAAGTTTTAGCCGCCCATTGCCCCTGTAAGCGGGGACCAGTTAGCATCACTCGTCTCTCGTTGCTGCAGGTGCTCAAGGAGATGTCTGGTAACTCCGCCGTGGTGGCGTACGCCGCCACGACGCTGCACGGCACGGGGTCGCCCTACTCGGACGAGTACGTGATCGCCATCGGCGTGGTCATGTTCCTGGCCACCATGGCGTGCACGCAGCTCGTGGACCGCGCCGGCCGGCGGCCGCTGCTCCTCGCGTCCTGCGGCCTGTCCGCGCTGTCGCTGTCGACGGCGGGGCTCTACTTCTTCCTCAAGGTAATCATCATCTTCATCGTCTAGGTGCACAGCCGCAGGCGCCTGCGAAAGGCAGCCCGGCAGCCAGTTCCACGCGGCTGCGTGACGGGACTGCCTACCCCAAGGCGATTGCGATTGCGATTAATGGCTGGACCACAAATGATCGTCTGCATTTCGGGCCCGCCCCGCGCCTCTGAAAGGCAGCTCAGCAAACAGTGGACCGGAAGGGCGGAGGATGCGGTCAGAACTCTAGACGCGTTTTGAGCTCCAGAGTCGCTAAATGGGACTCGAACCGAGCGTGTGACCCCACCATTGGATTGCTCTCCGAACGAGGAATCCCTTGGTGGGGTCACACGTTTGGTTCTAGTCCTATTCAGCGACTCTGGAGCTGAATACACGTCACGGATTTTGACCGCCTCCACCGGTCTTCTAGCCTACTGTGCGGCAGCTACTTCCATCCATAGCACTCTCGGTCCGGACTCTAACACTCTGCTTCCGTTTCCTCTTTACAGTGGGTGGACCCGAAGATGGACGCCCCCACGTGGCTGCCGGTGGGCGGCCTGCTGGCCTACGGCGTGGCGTACCCGCTGGGGTTGGCGCCCATCCCCGCCGCGCTGCTGGGCGAACTGTTCCCCGCGCACCTCAAGGGGCTGGCGGCGTGCTCGGCGGCCATCTCGCTGTCCATCGCGTCGCTCGTCGTCACCAAGCTGTACCACGTGGTGGGCACGGCGGTCGGCATGCACGTCGTGTACTGGACGTTCGCCGCGTCGTGCGTCGGCGGCGCCGCCTTCGTGGCCACCTTCGTGCCGGAGACGAAGCGCAAGACCTTCCAGCAGATCCAGGACGAGCTCAACGGGCTGCCCCGCGAGAAGGGCGCCTACGAGGCCGACGAGCCGCTCAAGATCATGGCGTGATGAAGCGCCAGGAGCCCTGGAGGTCGTCGTCAAGGACAGGGGGAGGAAGAGGGAGCTCAGAGTCTCCGCCGCGGGCCGGCTGTTGGTTGGGTTGCCACCACGGCGACCGCGGGCGCAGCGCGGAGCGCGGTCTAGAGCGCGGAAGCCTGGTTCGTTCGGTTGCCGATCTAGCCCGTAATGGTAATAGTAATCGGCTGACGCAGCCAGCGCGTCAGTTGGGTTGCCTACTCTCGGTTAGCAGGCGCTCAAGCCTCAATGGCATCGCCCAGGCAAACGGTAATGAACGTTGCATATCCGTGGTCCGAACCCGAAAATTTCGTGCACCATGGGAACATTTCGGCAATATTTCCATATTCTAGTAGGACGCCGCAGCAGTATGATGCTTAGACTTCATAAGGCTGCAGAGAAAAGACTGAATTAGCTCTCGATAATAATGCCAGAATAGTTTTCCTAGGTATACGTCGCATTTAGTGCCATAATTATTTATAGCACATCTTTGTTCAGAAATGGTTCAAGTTGTGCCTTCAGAAAACTGCTTTCCTAGCAGTAGCATTTTATAAACTGCCTTAATGTGTAAATTTATTGTATACGTTTAAGCATTTATAGACTGCCTTCTTTTGTAAATTTATTGTACATTCTTGTTATTTAAAGCGGTTCTGTGATCTGCAAAGGGTAGCAATTTACAATTTTTATCGGTGTTTGTAACAATGGATGGGTTTATTTAAACAAGGAAGAAAGAGCACACCATATTGGTGTATTAAACTTTAGAAGTGATTGGTAATCTTTTATTTCTTGCTTTGCCAACCTTCTTCCCACTCCCACAAACAAAGAGAGTTTCTCTTGGCCAACACTGAGACAGGACACCTCGCAGACTGATTCCGAGAGTCGTTCTCGTCGCTCTGTCTCTCTCGCACCTGTGCGGGACGCCACATGAGTGCGAGAGAGGCAGAGCGACTCTCGGCATCAGTCTGCCGGATTCAGAGGGACCGGAGCCAGGCGCCCCTCGCGTCGAAGAGCGTGTCTTCCTGCGAGCTGCCTTCCGACGACGCCGACGACGGGCAGAGCAGGGCACTCCTGTCGTCGACGCCAAGCCGCTTGGCGGCCGGGCGGCGCGCCGTGCTGGGCCTGGACCTCGGCGTCAGCCTCTGCGGCTTGGAGGCCTTGGAGCGCGCGGCCGAGGCCCTCAGGAGGTCTCGCCTGGGATCCGCGGGTCTGCGGAACACAAGACAATCGCTCTAGACGCCCAGCAGTGGCCGAGGCCGTGCATAGAGCGGGCACACTGTGAAACCAAACGTGGACAAGTCCACACTTCCTGGTGTGGAGTAAGTCTCCGCACTTGGAAGTGCAGAGTACGCAGCCTCCACACTTCAAGTGTGAAGTAGCCATCTCTTAGCACGGTGCAAACGTGGACAACTCCACTTTTGAAGTGTGGAGGCCGCAAACTCTGCACTTCCAAGTGTGGAGACTGAAAATTCCACACCTCTGCATTTCAAATGTGGAGTTGTCCACGTTTGGTTTCACAGTGCCGAGACCTGGCTCCGGGTTCGCTGCTCCCCGTCGAGGTGGACGCGGACTGCACTGTAGGGGCTGGGGGTCTTGGCGGAGGCGGCGGCGGTTTCGCCCCCGCGTCGCCCTCGCTGCGCCCCTGGCCGCGCACGCAGAGGCAGCAGAAGGTCTTGAGCGCCCTGAACACGGCCGAGAGCTGCGTGGCGAAGCACACGGCCAGCCCCGCGGCCAGCGCCATCAGGAAGCCCGTGAGCAGCAGCCTCGCCAACCCCCACATGGCACCCCCGCGGAGCGGGTGCTCTGCAAAAGCATCCCTCCGGAGTGGCGTCGCTCTGTCTCTCTCGCACCTAACGGCGACGCACAGCGAATGCGAGAGAGACAGAGCCAGCACCTTACCGACGTCCTGCTGCTCGACCTCCTCGTCCCCCTCCGACTGCACGGCCACGGCGTCGGCCCGCTGCGTGCGGCCGAGGCTCAACTCTGCCGGTTGCACATTCATCCAAAGCGTGAGTTCAATTACCCGACTAATTAGACTGAAAAAACTGAGAGCCGCCGCTTCGTCGCTCTGTCTCTCTCGCACTCGTGGGGCGTCCCGTAGGAGTGCGAGAGGGACAGAGCGACGAAAACGACTCTCGGAATCAATCTGCAGCTTCGTCTCAGCCCCCCACCCGAGGGTTGCAGCTGCAGCGGGGGCCCGGCCACCGCCACGGTCTGCACGTTGACGCCCCTCATCCTCGCGGCGCCGAAGGGCCCCGCCGAGGACACGGCCAGCGCGGACGCTGCGGGTGCAAACGAACGAAACATGGCATTTTTCGAGGGGCACGGGGGAACCTTCAACCTTCGTGCTGCCCTTTCTGACCACGGCACTGTTTTTGTGCCCGCCAACTATGAGAAATTCCTCGGGCGGGCGGGAGGAGAAAGGCGGAGAAAGGCGCCAGTGTAGTGTCACTGGATTCTGGAATCTGGATTGTCCGGCGTGCGAAGCGCCGGCGCCTCTTCCAGTGTGCCGGCAGGACACGCGCCACACGAAGCAGCGCGCCTTTTGGTGCACTTTCGTGCGGTTCTCATCGCCGCGCCCGGCCCAGCCAATCAGCGCGCGACAAGCGAGGGAAGCCCTCCGCGATGATGAGAAATTTAGACAACGGCGACCAGGTAGTTGGCGGTAGCGCCAGACTGCGCAACGCACAGTGGGCCAGAAAACCGGTGGAGGCGGCCAAAACTCTAGAGACGCGTTTTGAGCTCCAGAGTTGCAAAATGGGACTCGAACCGACCGTGTAGACCCCACCAATGGATTGCTCTCCGAACGAGGGATCCATTGGTGGGGTCACCCGCTCGGTTTTATTACCATTTAGCGACTCTGGAGCTCAAAACGCGTTTAGAATTTTGTCCGCCTCCACCGGTCTTCTGGCCCACTGTCTGACGGGACGCCGTCCTCCGGCGATGACTTGACGGCGGCGGGCCGGGCTAGTCCGACCGACCTTCCCCGCTCCCTACTCCACGCGATCCGCCTGCTCTCCGGGCCCCTGCCCCCTGCCCCCTCCAGCGGGCCTGGCTGCCGCCCGCCCCCCTCACCTGCGCGCCAACGCCCCCCTCCCCTTTAGAAACACACCTGGGCAGCGCGGACGACGGCGATCCTGAGGCCCCAGCCTTGCCGCCTGCCGCGCTGCCGCCTCGCCGAGCGAGCCCTCAGTAGCAAGGCCCGGCCCGGACCGAGAGCACGCGCACGGCTCCACGCCGCCCTCAACTTCCGCCACTTTGTGTTGTGGGCCTACACGGCCGCGATGGGTGAGTTTGCGCAGCTCCGCCACTACAACGAGGCCGCGAGCCTGAGGCCCTGGCTCGCCGAGGCGCGGCCTGCTGCAGGCCGGGGCCGCGGCGAGGTCTATGACCGTCTTTGACCAGCCGCCGCGCCGCGCAGCCCGCGCAGCTCAGCGTCGTCCGCCGACAGGTGGTGTTGGCAGATGGTTGCACCGTCCAGCGGCGCAGCCAGCACACTCACAGCACTCGGATGGCTGAGAGCGCGCCGGGGTGTGTGCTCGTGTGCGTGTAGTGGTGTGCGTGTGTCGCATGCATTAATAGTGCACGTGCGATGCGCCCTGGTCGCGGCTGTCGCCGTCGAGGACTCGCGACTCACCGTGGACGGGCAGCCTTGCGCGGTCCGCTCCGCCCACTCCGCGAGTGCGTGCCCGTGTGTGTGTGTGTGTGTGTGTGTGTGTGTGTGTGTGTGTGTGTGTGTCCGTGTGTGTGTGTGCGTCTGGCTGGATCCGCAGCCTCTGCAGGAGACGGCAACGGGCGCCAAAATAAACTCAAACGTAGCGGGAACCTGTTGCGCGCGCTGCAAACTTTTTATTCGGATTCGGTCGTGGGTCACGGGGATCGAACCATCAAACTTAGGGGACCGATCCTCGAGGACCTTTGAACCGCGGTCCCTGGCTGTGGCTTCTGCAGTGCAGGTTGAAGTCGGAAGACATGGAGTGCGAATTTCAAAGCGCACTGCTACGGAGTAACCACCAGCAGAGTCGGCAGCATAGCGCCTGACGCGAATGCAAGAGGCAGATCGGATTGCTATTGCTGGCCGTCGCCCTCCGTGGTAAAATGAACCTCGTCCACCAAGTGGAGTGCCTGGTGGTCCTGGAAGTCCTGGCCGCGGTGCGGTGCGCGGCGCGCGGGCGTGACGCTGCCGGACTGGATGTCGGCGCGTGGGAGCGGAACCGCAAGGGAAACTCGCTGCTTTCGTCTCTCGTCTTGCGTCCCCGCGACGCCGAGCACGCCATCTTTGTCTTTCGGTGCGAGCCGAATACCGAACCACCGCTTGGAAAGCGCAACAATCGCAGCAGTTAGCGGATGCGCCCAAAAAGTTGAAAATGAGCGCTGCTTGACTCTGGCACACTGTTTGCGTGAGCCTCCGCCTCCGGCTGGGCGGACGGGCGTGCGCCGTGCACGAAACACGTAACGTGCAACGCGGCAACGCGTCAAGGACCAAGGAGGCCGGGACGGGCGGAACGGGCGCGACGGGCGGCACCGAAACGCGTCGCGGGATGCTGTGTGTGCACAAGAGTGCGGCCATGCATAGTCCGGTCCGCGTAACAGCAGACTGGGACGGCTTCCTCGCGGGGTCTGGGTGTGCACAAGAGTGCGGCCATGCATAGTCCGGTCCGCGTAACAGCAGACTGGGACGGCTTCCTCGCGGGGTCTGGGCTGGCTCAGCGTGGACAGAGTCGAGTGTGGAACGCACCGAGGCGGGCCAAAAGGCCCGTGGAGGTGGTGACGCGCTTTTAGCTCCAGAGTCGCTCGCTAAAGGGACTCGAACCGAACGTGTGACCCCACCGATGGATTCCTCGTCCGGACAGCAATCCATTGGTAGGGTCACACGCTCGGTTCGAGTCCTGTTTAGCGACTCTGGAGCTCAAAACGCGTCCGAGATTTTGTCCACCTCCGCCGGTCTTCTGGCCCACTGTGGAACGTCTCGGCCTGGGCGGGCTGGGGCTGACCGCAGCCGCGAGACGGCAGAGCTTTCCCCGCGGGCCGAGACCGCGGACACAAAGCGCGAGCCGCGAGGTGTTGGGTTGGGGCGTCCCGTCGGGGAGGTCCAGGAGTCGAGTCCGTGCGAACCAGAGCGGCATTCCGGTGAAGGGATATGCCTGCCGCCTGCCCAGACTGATTCCGAGAGCCGTTTTCGTTACTCTGTCTCTCTCGCACTCATGGGGCGTCCCGCGTTGGGTCGAGAGAGACAGAGTGACGAAAACGACTTTCGGAATCAGCCTGCTGCCTCGCTGCTGCCGTGCATGAAGCACGCCTTGCGTCATCCGCAGCAACGCGGACCGGCTGTCGATCCCGCTAGGGATCGTCCATTTATAACGTAACGCTGTTTGTATTTCATACACGGTAAGCTAAACGAACTGGATTTCGCCGAGAGAGCCTCGCAAACTAAGTGAGCGTGTCGCGGTTTTGGGCCAACTCCCCGGCCAGCTGTTGAAGGCCAGCCGATCGCGAAGTCGCGGCGGGCGGTACGGCCCGCGGAGAGAGAGGGAGGGAGAGAGGGGGGAGGGGGCTTAGAATGCAGCAATACCCGCAGGCCCACGCAAGGCGCGCAAGGAGTACTGCCGGCCGGTGCCAATACCGGGCAAGCACCGTTACCTCATTAAAGCGGCGCTAGACCAGGCTCGCTGTCTCTCTCGCACTCACGGGGCGTGCCGGAGGGGCGCCAAAGAGAGAGAGAGACATAAAACCACTCGCGCGGAACAACGGCTCCGCCGAGCGCCTGCCGGGCCGGCGCTAGGCACGCCCGCTCGGCTCGGCCGTCGTGGGGTTGCCTACCCTCGACTTCACAGGCGGCAGAGCCCTGCATGTCCCCGAAGGCGGTAGGCTGGCCAGGCTGGCCAGCCGTCTGATTCCGAGCACTGCTTTCGTCGCTCTGTCTCTCTCGCACTCATGGGGCGGTCCGTAGGGGTGTGAGAGAGACAGAGCGACGGCAGGCTGGCCGTGCGTACACCCTACAGGGCGCTCCCCTTTCTGTTCCAGAGATGTCCCGGGCCGTCGCCTCCGTGTGCATGCTGCTGGTAAGTGCGCTGCTGCAGTGCAGAGCAGTTCAACCTCACTCTGTCTCTCTCACACTCATGGGGCGTCCCCCGTCCCCTGTTTGTGCAAGGGAGAGAGGCGGAGACTCGCGCGTGCCAATGTTTATGACACTCTCCCGTTTTCATTGCAGTTGGCGGTCGTCGCCGTCCTGGCCAAGGACCCCGCCAAGGCCAAGGACATGATGAAGAAGTCGATCGTGTTCGACAAGAACACCCCCGACGTCTTCTACTGCCCACAGTCCAAGCCAACCGGTGAGAGACGCCCCAGATTGCTTACCTATTTCTTATTTATTTTCGTTTCGACAAAAAAAATGGTTTGCTTTCTTTTACTATTGTTGTACTGGCAATAACGAGCAAACCTTTTCTTGCACACTACTGAGAGCCTGGCACTAACAGTGTTGTTGTTCTCTTCAGGCTTCGACAAGATGATCGTCCGCGCGCGGCCCCTGCAGAAGCTCTGCGAGCACGACGGCAACCCGCTGCCCGAGGACTACAAGAGCGACTGCTACAACGACGTGGACGAGACGACCTACGCGTGCAAGGAGAAGAAGCGCATCATGGTGCGTCTCCCGCAAGGCTACACTGTTAGAAAAGGGTCTGCTTCACGAGCGGCGGGAACAGAACGCGAGTTTTGGTTTTCGTAATAACAATCTAATATATCATGCACGTGCATACACACGTGTTTTTGTTTGGTTTTACTTAAATTTTGCAGTGCGGAAAATCTGTCCTGCCCTAAAATCGTAAAGCGTGACATTTCTAACAGTGACTGTGGGAATAGAGAGGCCCGTTCGTGTAGCAAACGACGCGACGTACAGTAAATGGTTTCCTTAAAAACAAAAACAAAAATGGGCGGTTGCGAAAAGCACCACTACAACTTCTACTAATTATAATAATCATCATAATTTGAACACTTATTCACCATCATCACCGCGTTCACGCGCATCTAACGCAGTCAGCAGAAGCTTCAATTAATTATATTGTTCATTTGTTGAGAGTTCGAGAGTTCTGCATGAGAGCTACAAATAGTTGGGCCTAGTGATCGAAATTAGGGGCTGCTAGTGGCTGAGCTAGTGAGATTCTAGTTAGATCGTATAGTTTTCTGGCTGGAGTGTACTCGAATGAACTCCTTCATTATCCTTAAAAGGGAATTCCCTGGCCCGAATGGCGGGTAAACTCCGTAGTCCAGTCGTTAGTGACGTAGTGTTAAGAAAAGTAACAAGTTTCATTGCAGTTTGTGACTCCACTTGACAGTTTGGACTGATGCTGTATCCCAGCTGCCCCGGATCGACATCAAACTCGGAAAGACGACCAAACCGTGCCCTCCGCCTTTGCCCCCGAACACTTTCAACTTGAACTCAAATCGAACGACGAATAATGTTGCGACGCTAGCTTTTGCTTTTCCCGCCCGCAGTGCCGTAACGACCACATCGTCTCCCAACGTTTACAAACTTGTCGACCCAACGACGCAGCGACGCGGCGCAGCAGGCACCGCCAGAGCGCCTGGCTGCTCGGAGGGTGGGCACCCTGGGCAACCCGTGGCGGATCCAGAGCATCCAGAGCCGGCCTGAGGTAGAGCCCTGCATTATCCCTTCGGGGATGTAGGGCTCTAGCCAGCCTAAGCGAGGGAAAAGTAGCATTTTTGCCTACTTACAGGGGCAGCGTATTGCTCTTTGCCTACCTTTCAGGCGGCTATCTAGGGGTCAAGGAGGGTAATTGTCTCCCCCCCTCCAAATGGATGAGGCGCTCTGGGGCGTTCCGGCGGTGGTTCCTCTGCTCGCGGACTGGTTCTACCCCACAGCGACCGACCGACTGACCAACCAACCCGAGCGGCTCCGGTCCGGCGCCATACACCCCCGCCTCTGCGCTGCTAACACCTCCTGGTTTGTCTTACAGAAGCGATTGGTGAAGCCCAAGTCAGCAGACGCTGAGAGCACAGCGATCCCTGACGCGTCTGACGCGTCCGACCTCCCGGCTGAAATCCTCTAACTTAGTCCTCCATATGGTAACCACCTACTACCTACTCAATCCGTGTTCTCCTCCATCCCCCCTTTTCATTTTCTTTGCACTTTCCATCTCATTTTTTTCCACTTCATTTTTCCTCCGTTCTGGAAAGAACGCTGTGCTTTTTTTTCGCCTGTCCACTGTCTTGACTCTTGTGAATGTTGGAGTTTTGTGCAGCCTCAACGGTCAATCAGAATCCTGCCAACAGAACAACAGGCGAGCAGTGGGACTCTCTGTCTCTGTCGGCTGTGTCAAGGCTGTGTCATGGCTGTGTAGTGCGTAGTGCATCAGTGCATCCCATTCCCTGTTTGCTTGCAGTTGCTTGCAGCAAGCCGTGCGTGCCACGCTCTGCACGTCTCTGCAGTGTTTCCTGTCGTGTGCCTCCTTTGTCGCCTTTCTTGTCTCGTATTGTCCCTTTTTATTCTGCGCGTTCAGGGAAGTCCCATAGTGTCCGACTGGTTGCGCCTTTCTCTATGGTTGATTGACGTAGAACTCTCTGACGTTTTGCATTCGACCTTCCCTGTTTCTTCTATCCTTATCGTTCTCAGATGCTTTATATACAACATGCTTCAACCATTAAGTCAAAAAAGGTGTTGCTAGTTGCTTGGATGACTTTTAATCTTTACCGCTGTTGACATTGAGTTAAAAAGGTCCTTTCTCCCTTTTAAAGGTCGCAATATTTCTTGATTTTTTACTTTAGCGTATTGTTGATACTTCTGCATGGGCTTGATGATGAACAGTTGGAAGTTCAACTCATTTTATTGCGTATGGTTGTAAAATGTTCCTTGCATTCTCTTTCCTTTTTTTAGAAATACATGAAAGCTTTTACAAACGAGGAGGCCAGTGCTTCTGAATGGGGTCGGAAGACGGTAAGACCAGACGTTGCAAAAAAATGTACATTTGTAATTATTTGAAGGAATCTTGGATAACTTTAACCTTTATCAGAAACTTGAATATTTGACCAAAAGCATTCCAATGAAATGGGTATTTCTATTGTATGCAGCTCCCTTTGATCATGTTCTGGATATGTTCTAACAAAAGTAAATTTGTGGATATAGCATGTCATTATATTTTTCACTATCTGCGGTGGCTCCACTTCCGTCTAAGCTGAAATTCATTAGTGGACCTTTCCTTTTTGCATGAATCAAATATTTTCTTATATTGATTTTTCAATTGTCGATTATACTGCACTCTACTTCTGTGTACCTTTGGTCATTGGTTACAACCCTTCTAGAAACTCTTTCAGTTGGATGGTGTCCCTGACAATCTTATTTATGAAAGCCTGTTGTGTACCATAAACAAATGTTTCTCATATCTCTTCCTCTCACAAAAGCATCCTGTGTAGTGACTAACATTCATGTCTTTGCATGAATTGGGTGGTAATTCATATAACTCTTTTGTGATGTCTGCTAAAAATGCATGTTTGGTCTGAACTGCTGGCTCTAAAAATTCTTTTTAAATCGTGGTAAGTAAGCAAAATTTAAGAAATTATTTGTATAAAATTTGCAATTTGATCAGTTGATCACCCTTGGTCATGAATGATCTGACCATATTTTGCTCTAAGTAATTTACTTGAAATTTACCTCAACTTTAAATTGTGCAGATGCGGATGCACCCTCCTGGGACAGACAACGCAGATAACCACTACCCGTTTGTGCGAAGCAACGACAAAGTCATCAAAGTAAAGTCTAACCCAAGAAGCAAGAGTCAAACTCAGAAGAGGCGGAACAAGCATCAAAATTAGTTAATTGTTAATGTAGGGTCCCCAGTTGGGTCCCCAGTTATGAATGATCTTCATAAGAAACAGTCCTCTTATAGTGCTTTTGCACATCACAGAGAAAACTTTTCTGTTTAATAACCACACTAGTTAAGAACAGTTTAACTATACTTTCTACTGGAAACAACAACTGACAAGCATTTGGTTACAATCAATATTAAGAATTTCCCAGAGAGCAAATTCAGCTTAATTGGTTTGTACCTCAGCTTTGAACTTGAACCAAATTTGCTTTGCACAGCAAATTTGAAGATTTCTGCAGGTGGTGCTCGTTAGAAAGTAACCAGTTTTCAGTGGCTGAGTATAAACTGTAACTTATGTCTGTGATTTCTATGCCATCTGCAGAACAAGCCATATGACTCAATGAAGTCTCAGTGGCTTGTTACGACTTCAACTGAGGCGTTAGTTAAGGATGTTTGACAACAACAAAAACAATGTTTGATTAATCTAGGCTGTCTATTATCTTTTGTACATAACATAGCAAAAATTAAATCCATGAAACTAAATAAACATTTCTAAAACTTTAATGAAAACAAACTGAAAATTTGTTTTATTTTTACAAAAAAAAGTAACATTATTAATGAAGTGATCAGGCATTCCACAAGTACAATAAAATTCTCAAGCAACTAGAAATTCATTAATAATACAATAAATGAAGTATACAATGTTTCTGTTTGTTTTGCTTTATAAATAAATGTTTTTTAAGTTATAGACCTTAGCTTTCTACCCCATATGCTGAACTAAATTACTTTCAACCACATATGAGGGTTTTGAGGCTCTCATGATACGCACTTCATAAAGAGGAACTCTATCACCTTTTAAGGAAGCCAGTTTGACAACAAACTTTCAAGTTGAAGTCTGATAAATAATTGAATTAGAAAGTCAAAGTGTAAAGGTGACCACCACGGATCTAGGCCGTGTGGCCACTGCCAACTCTCCTTCATCTAGTAAAAAAATAATGAAAAATATCTAGTCTACCAACTTATGTCTTGCCCAAGGGTGAAAAATGGATGGTTTGCTTAATTAAATCCAAATTTCTACAACAACAAAAAAAAAAAAAAAGGAAAGAGAGAAGGAAACAACACCAAAACAGGCCTCCTCACTATTGTCTCAGAATACTTTTTTCTCTGTCATCAGAGTCTTGCTCATCATGGGCCTCTGAGTGATTGCCACCCACTGAGGTTTGCAGTCTACACTCTCAGGAAATTTTCAGATTCTGAAGAGATGCTCGTGTGAAGCTCATAACTGCTACTGTGTGGTCCTGTTCAAATAGGATAATATGAGCATGATGCAAAATGCTGTGTTGACAGATTCTTGTTAACACTAAAATTTTCATAAGTATTCTTTGACAAGTACTTATAACAAACTCGTTTATTTATCAATTTTTTAATTTAAGGACATTACACAGGAAGAATTTGATAGAGATTTTATGTCTGTGATTCATCATTAGTACAACTGGCCTATATATGTCCATCACTAGATAAAAATCAAATGTACATAGCATAATAACATAAGGTTTATACTTATTTCTTACTTGGGAGGGGAGTGTCTTACTTATATACAGATGCCTTCTTTTAAAACAGCGATATTTAGAGATCTTAGTGATGCTTTGTACAAAATATAAACTGTTTTCTTAACACACTGCTCTGTAGGAGCCATAGCCAACAACTGTTAATATTGCACAATATTGTTTATACAACAGAATAAATACACTGCGAATCTGAAAGCAAACACATTGCAAACCACTTATCTATTGCCCTCTGCACACCAAGCTTATGAGCAGTCTACCGTGCTTTAAAGTCAGCAATACAACAGACTATTGCATACAATCCCCAAATGATTGATGATAAAACATAGTTACTGAAGGATATGGTTTGTGTACACTAATCAGGACATTGAACTGTCCTTAAAAACAAAAGAAACCAAATAAAAGAACACTAAAACTATTGCTAGTTATCAGCCAACATTCATTGGCAGCACAATTGTGAGAACAATCAATACAGAAGTTACTCAGACAGACACTAACCACGCAATGAAAAGAACTGTGCTCAGCATCAAGATCAATATGAGATAAAGAATACACCAAATAAGATCCAAATGCCGTTTCAAATCAAGATAGAGGCATAACAACCTCATTGTATAGTATAAAATTGAGGAAAAGAAAATCATTAACTGCTCAAGGTATGCTAGGACGTTTTGCCCTAGTTAAAAATAATCAACAGCAGATAAGCTCTTTAAAGAAGTTCCATACAAATACACTTAAAAACGAAAAACAATGGAAAGACATATTCAGTCACAATGTGAAGCTCAAAGAAGAAAGGGTGAATTATCACATTACCCACAAATTTCATTGCAAATATCTTTGCATGCTGAGGGGGTAATTTTAATCCTATAAAGAGCATATGGGTGCTGGTATTTCTGTGCATTGCATCTACCTAAAGCTAGAATTTAACTGGCTCTGAGTCCATCAAGCAGACAAATCAACCAGTTAAATGTTTGAAAATTAATAGTTTTATGTTTCACACGTAAAATACTATATCTTTCTTTGTGCAAGACACAAAAATTAACTCTCAATACTATGCATAAAACCTTAATAATTAAATAGAGTTCAATAAATAATAAAATAAAAATCTGAATTAGCACTCTACAGGCAATAAGATAGTGGAGAAATCATAGTGGCAAGATTTGGAGGGAAATCCTCTCTTCACTCATCTCTATTCCAGAAATTATTCTAGGCTGAAACTTCGCAAACCTTGGAATCCATAGTTCAAAATAAGTGGTCAACAATGTCCTCAAACTGCAGTTAAAATGCAAAAGAAGCAACATGAGTGCAACAGATTTTATTCAAAGAAGCCAATTGAAGTGGCATGGTTTCACATCTTTAACAAACATGAATGCAATCCATTATATTACACTTTAAAAGAGACTCTTAGTATAAAATATGAACCAATGTTTATTGGACCAACAGGTAATGTATCAATTTACATTCCAGAGCTTATTATCTGTCCCATGGTTACAAATAAATCAGTAATCTGATAATGATATCACAGTCCACTGTGACAATAGTTCAGAACCTTCCATATACACCATTAACCAAAATTGCTTTCCTTGGACAATCATCAACACCCATTTCTATGAGGACATTGTCTATCAGCAGCAGTCACAGCACACTTCTTAACAGTGCACAGAGGGCGACAAATAAAGTGTATGTTTGAGCCTGCAGAGGTATGGCGTTCCATAATTATGGCTAAAAGTGGAAATCCTGTTTTCCTTATTACAAAATGTCCTGGATCAAAATCTAGACCTGAACCTGAAAATGAAAAGTATGCATTTAGTCAAAATGAAGAAAAGAAACAAAAGATAGACACAAAAAGCTGAGGAGTTTATGAGACTAGTACTCACTTCACATTTGTATAACTGTTCCATTACTTGCTCAGGTTGAGCCTGCTGATCAGTGGATTGCAGTTGTTGTTGGGGTGTACCATTAGGTGTGGTACTAGGGGTGCTTGGGGCCGTGCGGCCGTACTTTTCATGGATGCCACGGTGCCTCTTCAGGGCAAATCGATCAGAGAAAGCAACATCACAAATATCGCAGCGATGAGGCTTTTCTCCAGTGTGCACCTGAAAGAATACGAATATGTACATGAATGTAGTCTGCACAACTTGACAGTATCATTACACATTAGCACTGTTTATACACCCTTTCCTCACCTTGTTGTGGTTTTTGAGATGTGTGGCTTGATTGAATGACGATCCACAAATTTCACATCGGTAGGGTTTTTCCCCTGTATGAATACGTCGATGGTTCCATAAAGTAGAATGACGTGCAAACACTTTGTCACAAACCTAGGGATAAGATGATGCTATAATGGTGTTGACAGAGAAAGATGACTTCAAGTGAAACAAAGATTTAGTGCCGTTACCTCACACTGATATGGGCGTTCACCACTATGAATTCTTTCATGATTTTTCAAATGTGGACTCTGAGAGAACTGCATTCCACACACTCCACATTTATAAGGTTTTTCACCTGCAAGAGTAACAAAGATTTAGAGAAATCCTTCAAAAATTGAAACAACAAACAAATAAAATGATAAAGAGTAGTACAGATAAAATTCTTAGTTTTCAAATTAACTTAAATTTTGAAAAAGGAAATCCATAAAGAGGAAACCACCATCTTAACTCATTTTCTGGTTAAACAAATTTTTTTCCAGCAACTAAAGTGAAACTGCCCAAAGCCAATCTTTTGCACTCAGATCAGAAGATTGGCAGCAACAAACGTCCTGAATTTGAACCTTGGTTGCTGAAGGACAGAAGCAAGACTTAATTCTTTTAAGAGAAGTTAAAATCCTTAAGTAAACAAATCCAAAACTATTTACAGCCACATGAGGAACCTCTGTCCTCGCTCGTCTCTTAAGCCTCAGCCAGCTTCCCACCTCATGAATTCGGTCTTGTGTTCATTGGTTTGTAAGATTCAAAACCAAACAGCTAGGGGTTACTTAATCTTAATATCAATAAAATTTTGTTGTCCTTTTCAGCCCATTGGTACTAAGCAATAAATTTGAAACCAAGAATTATTGCCATGAAGAACAGTTTCTAGTGAGCTTAAAATGCTTGTGATGGGTGCACTTCCATTTAAAATATTGCAAATCTCTGGTAAATAACCTATCAGATAACCAACAAAAACCAATGGTGTCCTTGACAAATGACTGAATGCCAAATAGTTCAAAGATATACTAAGTCAGATATTTAATAGATTAAGCCCAAAAGGCACCCAAGGGAAAGGCAAGACATCAATTAGGTTCACAAATACACAAAACAAATGTAATTTGAAGTAATAGAAAGGAAAAGATGCAATGGGAATGAGCCATTCCCAAATGACTACTCCATTAATGTTGTGATGGAACACAGAGCCTCCTTATTAATCTGACTGGCAATTCTAAATTGAATCCTTTCATTAACAGTTAATTGGTCTTGGAACATTGGAAATGCTGTTTTCCATACCCGATAAAAACCAAAATTTAAGACATTTGAGTGAATGGTAGGAGGATCTTAAAGAAAAATGTAAATGCATAAATATTAATTAATTAAGCCCCTTTCCAAAGTCATGAATAGGAAGAACCCAAGCAAAGCCAAATGAGACAGAAACACAATTTACTGAACCTGAGCAAGGTGGACAGTTATTTTAATAAATATAAGCAGAACTAGTCTCTATCTAGGGAATTCGAAATTGAATCCTTGCCTGTATGAACCCTCCCATGATTCTTGAGGTAGGCGGCTTTGGCGAAGGCAAGGCCACAAATTTCACATTTAAATGGCTTGTCACCAGAATGTAAGCGTTTGTGGCTCCACAGAGATGAGTAGCGACTGAAGGTGCCGTCACACACGTTACAGTGGAATGGTTTGTCCACCGCATGGCTGCAGGCAGGGAGAAACAGAGGTACACAATGAGAGAATTGCAAAAAAATCACCTGTGTGAAGGCGCCTGTGGCTCCACAATGAGGAATATCGGGCGAAAGCAGCACCACATGTATCACATACATGTCGCCTTGGCTTTTCAATCAGCTCTCTATCAACAAATTCGGTTTTAAGAAATTTACAAAACTAGTACAAAAAAGAGAGGCTAAAGTAACTACAGCAAATTAGAATTTCCCTCACAGAAAAAAACAACAAAAACAATAATCATATGAGACAAGAGAAAGGATATTAAAACAAATAGATGTTCCGGATGCACTGGGTAAAATTCTTTTTAGACCAACCAAAACAGTAAATATCTCTCTACCATAGTAACTATTGATTAAAGTAAATAGTAACAAAAACAGAAGCTAGATTCCCTACCAGTTTTCATTTTAATATCATATTCTGAGCAAAGTTTGGAAAATAAAAGCTTACCTCCTTGCACCACCAACGAAAATGATGCCGGATCCATTACATTTCTGACACTTGGTCACAGTTGCCATACCCCTGCGCTTCACAGGATGATGGCCAGGTTTTGCTGATGAGACCTCAGAGGCCTCTCCACCAGAATTTTCAGCTGTACCATTTCCAGGAAAGACAGGTTGCTGTTGCTGCTGCTGCTGCTGGGCGGCAGACTCCAGACAACTTCCACATTTGACAAATTTTCCCTTCTTTTTATTATGCTGGTCACAAGGCACTTCCACACCACAGGAATTACAGCACTTTGGCGCAGCAGGAGCCTTGTGCATCCTGAAAGAAAAAAAAAAAAAAGAGAAAAAGAAGTAATTTGATTAACTTGACACAACAACAGAGAGAAAAGAAAAAGAATTTTTTGATCCTTACTGATTCTTGTGGGCTTTGAGTTCACCAGGCATGCTAAATACCGCACCGCAAATATCACAGGTGTGTTGTTGTCTGTCAACAGATCCAGCAGATGGTTGTTGAGCAGAATTGACGACCTGTGAGTTACCAGGAGCAGCAGCTGCAGCAGGATTTGCGTTGGCAGTGTGAATGCGCTTGTGGTGATTGAGTAGCGTTAAATGGCCAAACACCAGTCCACACACATCACATTTGAACGTAGCAGTAGATGCAGCTGCTGCTAACGACATTTGATTGACAAGGGCATAATTGTACCTGAAGAAACAGAACAAAATTGTCAATCTCAAGTTTCGATCTTATTAGGTTAAAAGTTGAAGGTACCTTAAAGTGACAAGCTTACCCAAATGGCTGAGCTACATCAAATCTGTAACAGGCTTTGTCATCACCCTGTCCTTTTGGTACCATATTAACATTGTAACAGAAGGGAAAGTCTACAGGATTCCCTTTATCTTCTTTGCTTTTGTCAGTTTGGTACATTTGTGCAGCACCAGGTGCTTGCTGCTGTTGTGGCGGCGGCTGCTGCTGCGGCTGCTGCTGTTGCATACTTGGGTCGAACATCGTGGATGTTGGTAAAAAGGCAACTGCCTTTCAACTAGATTAGAGAAAATCAAAAATGGTTTGTTCGGATGGAACCAACTAAACCTGTGATGCAAAGAAGATGTTTTAAAAATATTGATAAAAATATAAACCAAAAAAGAAATTTGAGGAATATTCTTACCTTTCCTGCTGAGTAGAAATTAACGCATTATTTATGAAGCTGTGATCAGTAAAGAAAGATAAAAGAAAGAATTAAAAATCATAGCCCAAGCCACATTAGACGTAAAACATGTTAATTCAAAGAATATAATGTAAAAGTATTCAATTTTCAACGCTTCTAGGACCCAAGAAGACCGAAATTATATACAGCGTCGTTCGTAATTGCTAAGACTGAGAGTCTAGAGGTGAAATAGGAAAAGTGATCGTTTTAGGCAAAAACTAGAAGATGGATTTTAGGTTGTCATCAATGACCACATCATTTACTAAATATAAATTTCGCAATAAAACGAGCATTCGCTGTAAAAGATCGAATGCTAGGCAAAACCGCGACAAGTTTATTTCAATGTTTTTCTGAAAAGCGTCGTAAATAAAGCAAACATAGCGGTTGGGAATTTCCTAACCTACGAGAACTAAGGCGACAGTCCGACCGACCACCCTATGGCTTGTACGCTTGGTGGGGGTATGGTGGAAATGCCGTGATGCCTCGCTTCGTTCAACCATAAGCCCATGAAAAACACAAATTAATGGGGCCGAAACCGACAAAACGGGACACGGCGCCCATGGCTGAACATTTCCGAATGTGTTTAGCCGCCACGGAGGGGATGCGGCGATATATTATGTCACCAAACAATGCTCCTAAGCCCAGGGTCAAGCCGCAAGGAAAGAGAGGACCCAAACTGTCGGATAAACAGCACCCCCAAACTGAGACAAGGGGAAGCTAAGTGGGCCTATCTACAGACGCAAAACCGTTCCGGCATCGTAAACAAACTACTTTCACAAAAAAGTCGGTTGTACCTTCGATAAACAAGGTGCAGAAGAGTTTCCACATACGCCTATCTCGCTCTACCGCAGCGTCCGCCATTCCACCATTGAAAACATTCTTCTTCTCTCTCTTCAACGTCGCGTGTGTCACAATGCTGCCAACAGCCATAATGATCGTGAAGTGCATGCAACGACAGTCTGGCGGAAGTTTTGTTTCAAATTAAGGATGAATTGCAAGGAGGAGGGCAAAAATCAAGTTCCCTTGGTATGATGCCTTGGAAATATGCTGAAATCATTGGATTCTATACCCAGCATTATTTTATTTTGATTCCAGCAGCGTGTCGGCATGCAGCCCCACTTCCGCGTCCGACTACAGCGTCTATATCCGGCACCGGTAGGCGGGACTGAGCAGTTTTCGTATTTTGCGTTTCTTTCTCTGAAGTTTGTGTTTTAGTGAGGGTCCTTACAGACCAGACATGATAAAAATCAAACTCAAAATATCAGGAAAAAATATGGGGCTTTATTAGCAAACTTTTACAGTTGGGGAAAGGTCAACAACTAATCATTTGTGATGAGACAAAATTATCTAACTACAAAATCAATAAAATTAAATAAATAAATAGTTATATTTTCAATCCTCTTAACTGATAAATGAATCATGAATACAAGAAGAATTGGGTAACATTGATTCCTACCCCAGATCACTCCAAATTCAACAAAAATGGTACTCCAGAGCTGCAAATAAGCATAGGAGCGCAGAGCATCCATAACCCAAGTGCGACAGAAATAAAATATATAATAACCTAGCAAAGAGTGCATACAGTAGATTGAGGAGGTATTATGTTGGAATAAATAACTTAGCACCATTTGGTTTGTCAACCACATGAAATTGAGACAGAATCTACCTTCACAGCAGAGTTAAATAATGAGTATTCAGTTCTTGTGACCTCGGCAATATGAACTAATTTCTCATGATTATACATTTAAAGTTGCTTGGAGTTCACATCACCAATATTCACTGGGTCTGCCAGTTACATAAGTATCACTTTACTTAAAGCTAGAGCGCTACTGAAAGTTGAAGACCACGTACCACCCTTTCATCAATATTGGAAAAATACAAATAATATATAAAAGGACACTTAAGTTGACATTGTACCCAGAAACTAGAACTACTTTTTTGCAGAATAGGTAGGATAAATTTAATTTTTAAAGAAATAGCACAAAACTAATTTGAAATAATATGAACAGTAAGATTAAATTACAGGAACACTGCCACCAAATATGCACTATCTAGGCAACTTTATTCTGTTACAGTGTGGATCATCTTTTTCCTCAATATTCTACATTGTCGAGGGGATTCAGAATTGAAGCCAAATAGTAAATAAATACTGTCATTGATCCACTCCAGCTCATGATCACAGGTCAGAACAAAATCTTACATGTAAGACATCAGCTCTTATTAATGCTATTCTATTCAATACACATGCACACATTCCAAGCGATGCCAGCTAAAACTTAGACAACAAAGACTTTCTTTAGATAAAATCACAGATGAAAGTATGTAATTTTGACTTAGCATAGCTAAGAAAATTATTATTATTATTGCAATATACGGTTTAGCTGACCAAGAAGGCAGACAACACCTATAGCAACCTCCTGTTGCCTATGTTTGACAAGAGTAAAGAAGGAGTGGAAATGTGGTATCATGAATATAATAGTGTAAGCATACAAAGCAATCAAATATGCGAAATTCTCTTACATCTTTTCCACAAGGCAAAAAGATATCAAACAGAAAGTTAGGATTTCACTGATAACAGAGGTAGTAGGGAGACCTTTGGCAAGAGTTGATCTTTGGTGCACACATTGAAGGCTTGTTCATAGATTTTTGTAGGTTTTAACAGAGTCCAGATAGAAGCTGGAAGTGCTATAAGACCATTTTTGGAGATTTTTACAAGGAAATGAAAAAAAAAATGGCTCACTAAGTAGAAATGCCAAATTAAAAATTTAAAAATCAGTTCATGTCAGTCTTTTAAAGGTATATCACAACTAAGACTGGACAAAATGCATCAAATACAAAATTTCGCTCATAAAAATTTATATTGTCTTGCATTGTGATTAATAGTTTTCACTGTGTGCCATTAGTAGGAAGAACTGGGAATGACGCTTTGTTGGTCTGTAACCACGCACAAATTTCTTCCACCAGTTTGTCTCTTGGAACTTCAACTTCTTTGCGAGTAGCTACTTCTCGGAGCTTGACAATGCCACGAGCTAATTCTGATTCACCAATAATCACTGTTAAAGGTATACCAGACTCCTCACAGTACTGCAGTTGAGCCAGCAATTTGGGGTTGTTTTTGTAAGAGTGTTCAACCTGTAACATGTGAGTACATGTGATCATAGTTTCAAGTTTGTCAGAAATATAACAGAATATCTTGCACTCCAATACCACTTAAACTGTAAATTACCTTGAGACCAGCATCCCACAGTTCACAACAAATCTTCATTCTATCCTGGACTAAATTCTTCTGAGCAACCGCAACAAAAGCTTGGACTTCAGTGGTTCGTTGTTTGAAGCCTGATGCTGCATGTTTAGCCTCCATCACGCTGAAGAGGCGTTCAACACCAATACTAACACCCACACATGGAACTGCTCTGTTCTTTGGATCAAACATTCCAACCAGATTGTCATAGCGGCCCCCACCAGCAACACTGCCAACTCCCACATCACCGTCACCGTCACCTGAAAAAAAGAGGATACAGAAAATAAAGTTGAATATTCTGTAGGAACAGTTCAGGCCAACTTCAAGTCAAGAAGCAAATAAGTTACAACTCACCAAGCAACACAGCTTCATAAATTACACCAGTGTAATAGTCCAGACCTCTAGCAAGACTTAAATCAAATGAAGTGATGTTGTCCACCTTGTAAAGCTTTGCATAGTTCAAGAAGAGCTTCATGGACTCAAGTCCTGCCTGTGCAGCCTTGGAAGTCTTAAGCTTAGGATCTGCCAGGAGTTGTTCTACTAATTCCAATCCTCCATTAAGCCTCACATATTCACCGATCCTATCAGCCGCTTCCGGATCAAGCTGCTTTTCATGAATCATTTCAGTGCGGACTTCTTCCCATGGTGTCTGAAAAAATGATCAATAATAAAATACATTGAAGAGAACTTAAAGATTAAACAAAGTCTGATTGCTTGTGGAGCTTTATTCACCTTGTCAAGTTTGTCCACAGATGAGCAAATTGTGCGGAATTTATCATTGGGCACTCCACATGCCTCAAACATTCCATCAAGAATTTGACGGTGGTTCACTTTTACTTTGAATGACCCCAACTGCATATCATTGAGAATCTCAGATACAATCCTGACACATTCAATGTCAGGCAGCATGGGATCATATTGGCCAGCGATATCAAAATCCTAGAATAAGAGAGAAAAACAAAAATATTTATTACCAGATAAGAAAATTATAGTTCATTAAAAAATAAGTATTGACTTACACATTGCAGGAACTCCCTGAAACGGCCTTTAGTCATGGCAGGGTTGTCTCTGCGATAAACCTTGGCAATTGTGTATCGCTTAATGTTGGAAATCTTGTTCATAGCCAGATAGCGAGCAAAAGGCACTGTGAGGTCATACCGAAGGGATAAAAGTTCCCCTCCTTGGTCTGCCAGATCATAAATTAGTTTAGAATCTTCACCATATTTTCCAGTAAGAACTTCCTGCAAACCAGAGACAAAAAAATATACGTAATCGTGTGGCTGTTGTGACAAAGATAAAAGAACAAACTGGTGCATTATGTGGGACTCATTTCTCACAAGAGACATAAAAAGTAGTAAATACCTTGAGTTCAAAAATGGGAGTATCTATAGTCTCAGCGCCATGGCGTTTAAAGACATCAACAATCTTAGCCAGGACTTCCTGACGCAGTGCCATCTGTTGAGGATTGTAGTCTCTTGTACCCTTTGGGGTTTTAAGGGTAAACTTATGGGGAGCATCATCAGTGGTGATTTTGGCTTTCAGAGCCAATAGCTTTGCAACTTCTTCATCAATCTACAAGGTTAAGCAAAAGATAGTTTGTCAGTATCTTTGTAAAAAATGAAGAAAACCCTGACACAATGAAAGCAATGGTCTAGCCATTGCTGGAGAACCTATCACCAACCTGATGAACCGTTAGAGCTGAATTAGAATATTGAGCACAAGAAGATTGAAACCTTCCAACCCTCATCCCAAACGAAGCCAAGCGAGCAGTCAAACTAATGAGTCGCATTGTGACGAGATGTTTGAATGCCCACAGTTATTGGTTTTAAAAGGAGATTACGCGGAGCTGTCAATTCATCTGAGAACCACCAAGACAAAAATTGTGCAAAATGAATGAGATTGGAGGATTTGTTCTTCAAGGAAATCTCCTCATGGGGAAAAATGCAAAGTACCTCATAAAATGTTAATCTAAGCTCAAAAAGTAAGTAGGGGCTTGGAGAGGAATTGATGCAAGGACAATGAAATTCACATACTAAGCTAACATAAAGATAAAAGGCAGTTGGTGGTAGTAACTTCTAATTAAAATGACACCTCCAATTTCTCCAGACTTAAATCAGTAAGAGGGAGTATAAAAGGTTGGTAATACGTAAAACAGATGATGCAATATTGTATCAGGAAAGAGATTTCATCCAGACTTGGTTATTACCTTCTCTTTTGGAGCCTTGGCAGTTTTCAGTTGACGAACTACATCACCCTGCACTTTAATTTGTTCTTGCAAGTTTTCCTTGGCGACATCACCCATGATGTTACAAAACTTAGGAACAGGGAAAATATTTACTGAAATATGTTCAACAAAAGCACATGGACAGAATCTCAGCTGTGCACTGCACGATGCTTCTGCTCCGTGGCCGTGGTCTAGATCTAGTTTTCAGTTCTAGGAACTCGCTAACCTTCTCATACCTTTTCCAGGCTGACCACCAAGCGCGAGTAGCCGTAATTAATCACAAATTGATGTAAGAAGATCAGACAATAAAAAACTGAAAATTTTTAATTTTTATATTTTATTAAATGATCAATCCATTCGATGCTCATCCGCGAATTTTCACGAAAGCAAATGAGAATGGTTAGGTTGGCAACAGAAGTCGTGGTCAGTGGAGGAATTTCTGACCGAGTACTGACATTGGGTTAAGGAACGTACCTCTGTTGTGGTTTTGGGCTGGGAGGAGATGATGAGGTTGTTAGACCGGGGAACAGTGAGACGGCGATTGCTGTGAAAATCGTTTGATGAGTTGCGGTATTTTTTGGCTGGGTGACATTGCGTTAGAAGTGACTATTCCCTCGCGAAAAAGTGCAGCGTTTGTGCTGCAGTGATATTTCGGGATGGCGGACAGTCCGCCGGCTGGTAAAATGGAGTCCTTTTGGTATCAAAGGGAAAAGAAATTAGACAGGCTTTTGCCATATTTCGACTCTGACATGTTAAACTTGGAATCTCAAACAATATTTGCTCAAATTAAAGCCAATTTAGGGAAAGCGATTCTGCATGGGGGGGCTGCCATCAGCTTTTGGACCGCTCGTTTGAACAAGTAAGTAGATTTCTTTCATGTAACTCTTTGTATTGTGTTTCTGTGTTATTCCCCTTCGATTGCACCAGTAATTTTTTAAAACACCTTTCATGTTTCTAATTTTTTATGAAAAGAAACCAATAACATTTGCTACGTCTACCACTCTCTTATCATGTATTTCAAAATTGTTTGTGATATGTATCCTCTTGCAGTCAGGTGCAATAGGCTCAGGTCCCTATTGTTATTTTTGTCATTATCTATTTTAGGGCTCTAGTTTTTAAATTATCTTTCCTCTCATGCTTGATTTGCGTCCCTCCCTTCCAGGTTTATTAGTATTTATGGCCTCCGCATCTCAAAGAAAGATCATGTGTCAATTATCAAGCTTCTCTTCGACACCATTGTTATGAATGGAACAGAGGAACTACTTGCTTCAGAACTTATTATGACTTATCTGACTCTATTGAAGTAAGTAAAACAGTGAGCACACCAACACTGGTAAAACTAAATTGCTCAATACTGGAAAAACTGAAAGCGTTAAATGACCTGTTGCTCTGTCAGGCATGAAGAACTTCTCTCTCCTGATGACATTCAACTGCCATGGAAACCTCTTTATGAATTTTATCGAGGCATTGTCAAGCAGCCTGTTCGCTTCTTTCCACGGTAAACGACTTGACATTGATGGTCTTGTAAAATATTTCTGTTTGTTTCTTATTAACCTATATAACAATCTAAAAATGTTACAGAGAGTTTTTGGATGTCTTGCATACTTTTATCAAAGGCTCCAACAGGTAAATTTATTTTTGGATGCTTTTATTATCAATTTAATCTTCACCTATTCCAATGCAGCAAATTTCATCTATGCTTTGTGTAGATTCTTCACAGTGGACTCTACTGCAGAAATTCTTGCAACCATGATGCCACTCATATCTCCTCTAGACAAGAAGAGTTTATCCACCCATTTAAGTGAGCTCTGTTTGTTCTTGCCCACATTACCATATCATGCTGTGAATGGTCAAGGCTATCATCTTTGGATGAATGATTTGTTGATGTTGTGGGATTCATGCAACAACTCTACAAGTGTCAATATTGTAAGTAATTTTGCTTTTAATTGAAAAAAAACAAAGTACTTTTATGAACACTTGTTAATTTACAAAATTGCTACAATGCCAATGACTGTGCCTTACTGTTGCATGCTAAAATACTTGTTGTTTTGTTTGGCCTAGACTTTGATGGGCCTGATGGCAAGGCTTGCTAAACACAATGTTGGCCGCATTGATTGGGAGCCCCACATGGATGTGATGTTCACACGCATAATGAGAAGTATGAAGCTACCTGTTCTCTACAAATCCTCAACTCAACCAAGATCTTCCTACTCAGAAAGCCTTGATATACAACACTCATCCATTTGGATTGTCGCATGTTTGGTAAGTTATTTTTAATGCATAGGAAGTTTTTGCTACCTACTACACATGATATTCTTATCAACCTGACTGTTACCATTTTAGGGGGGAGGCAGTTCTGCTCAGAATCACTTGACAGATCTTCTGCGGGCTGTCGAGTCATATTTCAATCCAGCCAATACTGCAAGCTGGATGGCTGCTGGTAAATTGAGGAACGTTGTGTTTTCCCTGCCTGATGCTGTTGTGAAAAGGCTATTCTAGTAAGTGTGAAGATCCCTTGTCTCAGGTGTGGTTTTTAAACTCTTTGCAATTACCTCAAATCCTTTGTTTGTTAAATCCTACTTTCATTAAATTTTTAGTGAGAGGACCAAGGTACTAAAGTGGCAGGCTCCCATTCCAAAAGAGAAATGTCTAACAGAGGATGACGTCACTGCCTTTGTGGAATCAATGTGTCCTATTGTTAACCAAGTTTTGATTGGCCATCTGGCCTCTCTCACTAGTGCCTTTAGGCGTGTCCTGTATTGCTTGGCTTGGTTACGTCCAAACATCATCATCCCACCAATTCTTGAAAGGTATTTCTATATTTTAATGAACTGTAACTGCCACAGTTGGCCAATGTGAGTTCCAGACTTGAAAGGTTTGTTTCTTTCCCTGGTGTTTTATTATTAATCATATTTTCAGGTTGGTGACTGCCATTACAAGTGAAACAGAACCAATGCGGGTGTCTGCTGCCTTAGCTTGTTTGAGTGCAGTTGTGCGTCCAATGGTAGAGGGAGCTCGATTGGGTTATCCTGATGGTCCCTTGCAAATTTCAAATCTTCTGACCACAATCATACCTATGGTTGACTTCAATGATCCAATGAAAGCTAGATGCTCAATACTAATTCTAGAGAGACTGCTCAAGTTTGTACCTCTGATAGACTGCTCAGGAGAGATTGGTTTGCATAAAGATATGACGCAGGTAATTTATTTTTATTGGATCTGCTGTCTTTTTCAATTTTTCTTTGTTTTATTTTGTTTTCTGACCTTCTGTACGTCCTCAGGAAGAGGAAGAAATTTGTCGTTCAACTGCCGAATTTAAAGACTGCCTCATGTTGATGGTGGATAGAGTTTTATCGTTAGTGCGTTACTCATCATCCTCAACCCTTGTTTCCTTTGACATTCGGGTCCAGTCTATGACTGTATCTGTTTTTCGATTGACACTTCTACAAACACCTCCAGAGTTTTTCAAGGCGGGTTCCTTTATTGTTCTATGTCAAAATTTGTAAATGGGTATGTTCTGATTTGCTTATGTCCTATGTTTTTTTCTTTTTTATAACAGGCTGCTTTGAACAAGCTGCATCATTTTATAACTGACAACATTACTCCAGGGCCAATGCTTGGTCATGTTGTTGAAGCTTTTGTACATGTAAATGCTGAAGAAACTTGGAAAGTTCTTCTTCCTTTAGTGACAGATGCAATTTTAAATGTGACAGAATCGGAGAATGTTCAAAAGGAGGAAATACTGAGTAGTGAACTAATGCACCACCTTGGTTTACTGAAAGACGTATGCGGGCATGAAATATTTTACTGGAATATTATTTGCTGAAATTAGAATCCATTTGTAACAAAACTTAACATTCTCTCTGTGGTCTTACAGTTATTGGCTACAGGCCCCTTGATAAAATTGGTGCCTTATATGCCTACCCTGTCCAGGGTTTTGGAGTTCACCCTGCATCTAGAAAATTTAGATGGACATTTACTTGCTGCTCAAGTTCTGGAAAGAATCGTTACACTAGCATCAAAAATGATTATTTCTAACTTCAGAAGTTCTGAAGCACCGTATGATTCTTCTCCAGGGTCCTACCTCCACATTCGTGTAAGTGTTCACTTTTTAATTGGTTTTACCAGTTGAGTAAAAATTAATTATTTTCCCTTACTAATAAGGATATTTTTTTAGGACTGGGGAAAATCTGTTTCTGTCAAAGATATGAAAACAGAGTGGATCATCCCCGATAAGGAAGCGATTGCTTCTGTTCAAGAACTGATCAACAAATTTTTGCCTGCAGAGCTTCAGACAATTGAAGCCTTCATGAGTGGCAGTGACAAGATTTCCAAGTAATATTTCTCTTTGATTGTAGGATTAATGTTGTGAAGTGAATTGTGAAGTAAATGTCATTCATGTTAACTGTTCTAGGGAGGCTCTCCAGAGATCACTTCGCATCTTAAGAGCAGTTTTGGAATGTCAGCTTCTGTTGCCATTTTGGAATGAGACTCCTTTACCGTTTGACAAAACCTTAGTACCAGATCTAGTTGGCTTCAAAGTTGAGACTGGGCTGAGAGGTGAATTAACCATGCCAGATGGTTCAAATATGCGACACTCTTTAATAGCATTAATGGAACGACTTCAGGAAAAGATACTTTCGAGTGCTGAAGATGACACCATTTCTTGCTGTGTTGTTATTGAGGCATGTGAAATCTTATCTGCTAGTAGTACCTTCTTCATATCTGTAATAAATTTATTTATTTATTAACTTAAATTTTTATTTCAGATTTGGAGGAAACTTCTCTTTCTTTCAGTAAAACAAGAGAGGGAATACAGGCATATGACTCCCTGGGAAAGGGATCCCATTGCCCTTCCAAACCTCCCACGCCTTACTCTTCTCTTTGGCGCACATGAACATGCTGTCAAGCGATGTGCTTTCTCATCGGCACCTCTTACTGCAACTCACGCCAGAGGATTGAATTGTGTTCTTAAATTTGCAACAAGTCACTACAGCAAGGTATTTTCATTTTCCTTGAGATTGAAAGCTGTACTAGATTTTATACCTTCCTGTTCCTACTTTTAGTTGTAATTTGTGTCCTTATTCTTTACTGTTCAGGTTCGGATTTGGGCTCAAGCTCTATTAGATGAATTTGAGGATCACTACCATGGTGTTCTTGTACAGATGATGCTACAGCCATCCCTTTTGTCAAACTTGAAAGTTGATAGTGTTGAGCAACATGAGCTCTTCAAGGTGGGCTTTCAAATTTTGACATACGGCAAATCTTTATATGCTTTTTTTCTTCTCCAGAAGTACTTATTTATCCACTTGTTTTGTTTTAGGGCACTCTTTTTGTTATGGCTGGTTCAAGCACATTCTACAATTGGAAGGTGTCAAGTGATTTGTGGGTTGCACTTGTTCATGCAAAGCCAACAGAAAAGCTGTCTGTCATTAAAAAAATTGGAGATATAACTAAAGCAATGCTTTCTGGTCAGACTGAACATGTAAAGCGAGAGGTAGGTTGCTTGCTTCCTTGCTTCTTTGCTTGTGTGCTTCTGAAAAGCATACATATTTTTGTTTTAATTTGCTTGTTATCCGCATTTTTTAATACATTACTGTGTTATTATATTTAAAAATAATAACTTTTGTGTGGAACTAATCAATTATTCATGTCCTGAAATGGCTTTATTAATATATGTGGAGTGTTTACTTTACTACAGGTTTCTGATAAGGTGGTTGAATCCATTTTGGAACTTTGTGGTGATAACTTGATATCACCAGAGCCTTTACTCGATCGTTCCTACGTAGAAGCTATTCGCGAGGAGGAAAACAAAGCCAATGAAATGTGGCTGAAAAAATGGCATGCTCTTCAAATTGAGATGGCTGATGCAACGGAGTCTGGTTCATTGTAAGCTACTATTTTGACCTTTTCTTCTTATTTCCTACCAAATGTTTTAGTTTGCATTTTCCTTACCCCTTTGTGTGTTTTTTTCTTCTGTTTTTTTTTTCAGACATTGGAGACAGAGCTATCTGGCTGTGGGATGCCTGAGACGTCTCATTTACACTGTGAATGAGAAGTGTTGTGCAAAAGCTGTTAAGTGCCTTCTCCAATGTTTAGTTAGTGATAATATTCACATTCGAAAAGTAAGAACACATCTTATTCCCTACATCTTACATTTTGTCTTTGTAAAGTTTGATTTTACACTCTTCTTCCTCTTGTCACAAGCATTTGAGCAGCATCTTCAAATCCATACTTTCAAACCTAACTAAGAAATCATTTGATTCTAGGCTGCTCCTTTAGGCCTGGCAATGATATTGCAGCAGCAGAGACCAAAGACCAAATTTGTGTCTTACAAACGAGAAAGTTTATTTCCCCCTGAAGGTCCAAAGGGGACTGGGGACAACAGGGTCAACGGCCAATGGCTTCAATATGACAAGGGCAACTGTCCAGCGTCTGCTGCTGATTGGAATGCTCTGAGATTTATTCATAAGGAAAATCTCGGTTACATCAAGTGGCCAGAGTGAGTAACCAGGAACTTGGCATGGTTTACAGAAATTCCCTTTGTTTTCAAGGGGTGTTTGTATTTTTAGACATTGAATTTCAACTCATCATTTTTTTATTCTGAATGACAGGGAAGTAGAAATTCCATCTCCCAACAATGAGCAAGCCCCCTTTGATGACCCATCTCATATATTATCTAATGAAGAGATGGAAGTGGACAAATTTTTCCAGGATGAGAAAAATGTAGCATCTCTTGTGTCCTACATGGCACTAGAAAAGGCAACTTTTGATGATTGCTTCGTGTTGTTCAGCAAGCTGTTCCGTAATACTGGAGACAAATACCTCCCATTGTTTCAACCACATATTGACAGACTGTTAGAAGAAAAGCTAGAAACTCAACAAATGTTCTTGTTTGCATTGTTAGCAGGTGAATATATAGCATCATTGTTCAATGACTACCTCATCTTTGACTCAAGAAAAATGTTAAACAAAATTTTGTATTGCAGGCATTATTCATGGGACAAAGCGCTGGCCTTATGCTAAACTTGTTTCCCTCTGGGACTGGCTTGCCCCAGTGATTGTGGCAGCCCATGAAAATTTGTGTGTTGTAGATGATCGTTCTCTAAGCCTGATTCCCAGTATGGTAAGGAATTGTGTTATAGAAGTGCATGCATGGAAGCTAAAAATAACTTGAATTGATTGTTTAATTTAAAATTTACAGCGGAAGCGGGACCCCTACACGCAACACTGGCTCATAGAAATACTAATGGATGATCCGTTGCGCGAGGATGCATCTGTTCTTGGCTGTCGGTTAGTTGATCTTCTTGTCTTCATTAAAAATTTATTCTCAAACCAGTATTGTATATTCATTAAGTTTCTGTTTTCGATCTGTGCAGGCGTCTTGATTTGATTGCCAGTATTTTGTCAATGAAAAATTGGCGTGTTATATCTTTGTCACATAGGGCGTTAGATTATGTGAAACCATTCCTATCTCATCATCTAAAGAATGTTCGTAACAGTGTTGGAAGGTAGGGCCTCAGTCTCCAAGTCTGTTGTTCCATTCTATTAGTATTTTTGAAATATTTCTTAATAGGTTTAAACTCGTGTTTCCAGGCTTTTGGGGAAAGTTTTCCACACTGATTTCCAGTTCCCTGGTGCCAATCAGACTTTAGGACCTCACATTGCTGACTTCTTTGCATCTGTGATACCACAATTAGAGGTTTTGAAATCCCTCAATATCACTGTTACTTCTAACAATGCTGGCAAGTAAATTTGTAATTTTGAATAATTTTACAGCTAAACTATTTTATTTGGTTCCGATTTTACCGTTTGTTTGCCAACAGGAAAATCAAATGCTGAAATTGACAAAGTCACAGAACAGTTAGGAAAAGTAGATGTTGATAGCTCTGAACAGGATGATGCCTTGCGTCTTTTTGAAACAGGTTAGTTTTGACATAACAAAGTTGTTTCCTTTTCTTAAAGTCATCTGAAGTAAGTTATTTTCTTTTATAACTTTTCAAACTATATTGTTATTTTTTTCATACAGTCTCGGTCTGCATGCAGCAAATGTTGAGAGACTCTCCAGCAGCCATGTTCCCTTGTTTTTATGAGCTTCTTGAACTTAGCATTCTCCTAGAAAATGTTGCAAAGGATAAAGAGCTGAGACAAGTGTGTGAAAGAAATTTAGCACTTCTTGCTTCAGCTTTCACAATGCCAAGTTGTGTGCCTGCTGCTTTAGAAGCTATCTACAAGGTAATTTAATGTCATTTAGTCCTTTCTTGTGGACTCTTTGAATTGAAATATTGGAAATGCACCCACTTATTCCATTCATCCACCCCATTTTTTTCAAAAAAATTTATTTTTAAATTTGAAGGTTGACAATCATCCATCTTGGTCTATGAGAGTGTCATGTCTTGGCTTTCTCCAAGTCCTGGTGTTTCAAAATATGCCAATATTTTGTTCTCAACCCAATTGGATTCAAAAGGTTAGTTTCTGAAATTTAATTTGTTTAAATTTGTAAACGTGGTGTTTCATTTTAACAAGTTTATTTCTGCTCCAATTCACAAAATAAAGGTAATTGATTTAGTTGTGCTGCGCTTGGATGATGCATGGGTCGAAGTTCAACTCAAAGCTGGAGAAGTACTCAGTGGAATGTTGCACTGTCACTTTATTCCTAATCCCTCCGAACTAAAGGTTAGCTCTTCATCAAATCTACTTAGCATGGAGTATATCTGCCTATCTACAAAATGTTGTAAAAATTTTCTACACATTTTACTGCAATAAACTGAATTTTGCTTGTTGCAGGAGAGGTTCAAGGAGAAAGCCAGTATTCGGCTGTCACGCAAATCACCGGATCCGTCCAAATTGCGATTGCGACATGGTGGCATAATTGGTTTGTGTGCATATGTTAGAGCATTCCCTTATGATGTGCCTGATTTTGTCCCTGAGGTTATAGGAATCTTGGGAGACCATCTTAATGACCCTCATCCTATATCGGTATGTAGGACTCTACACGCCCTCACTTAGTTTCTTACGGTACATTTTATGATAACGTTAATACTTTTTTACTTCACAGAAAACCATTCGAGACACCTTGAGTAGTTTCCAGCGTACTCACATTGGTCAGTGGCATTTACATAGGCGATGCTTTACTGAGGAGCAATTAAATGCATTGAGCAACATGGTCCTCCCGCCATCCCATTATGTGTAATCATCATTGTAAGTGACATCCAGTATTGTGTCAAATTTGTCAGTGGTTTAACGTCTATGCAGCATACAGATACACTTTGTCCTGTTTTCTCTTGTTTCCTGTTTCATATTCTCTTTAAATCGCTTCAGAAATGGTTTTATTCGAGAAATAAAATAGTTTTCATTGAATCATCATTGTCAGTACACAATGCATTACGCTTCTTTTGTTTGTATGATAATTTATGTACCAGGAGTGTCAGAAGCATCATAATGTTTTGCAAGTGCATAGTAATGCCAAACCTACTTCTTGCAATGTATTGGTGCTTCTAGCTCACCTGGTATTGTTAGCTTTAATGGGTGAGGTTGTTGAGTGTTGGACTTGTGCACTTAAATAATATGTTAAGATTTTTGAAGCAAAATATACTTTTTAATTCAATTTTACCCAAATGTTTGCCATATATCTTTTCAATACCCAAGAAAAAATAAACAAAACAAACTGCCTTCATGTCATAGACAAGAAACACTTCTTACCTACCTTAAAAACTTTTCAATCGTGAAAACTTAGGTATGTTGTCGCAGAGCACTTCCCTGTAAGGCTTCACCATTTCGGAGTCCATCTTGGTCCTTAGCAGCCTTTTCCTAACAGACAGTTGGAATAGTTCGGGCATACGCCGGACAGTTAGGCAACCCACCGTGCCCAGCCTAAAAAATAATTTAAATTAGCCTTAACTGCAGTATGTTGTGCTGGAGCACTCCCACCCGACTCCTGAAACTAGTGTTTCGAGGGCCATTTAGTCCCCAAATGGTCCTTATTTGGCGAAAACCTGGAGTGGTTTGCGCCTTATGGGTAGGCAACCCATCGTCCACAGCTTGTTCAACTCATCAAGTGTTTTTACAGGAAAAGTAAATTTTACACCAAATGAAATGCGCTGAAGACCACAGGGCATCTGTTTCTTAGACCGATAGCAACGCTCGATAAAAATTTCAGACAAATCGGCGGTGGTCAAAAAAAAAAGCTAAGCATCATGGTTTTTCACGTTTTAAGCAAAAAATTTTAAGTGGAAAAAATTCAATTGGAGTATTTTGTGCTGGAGCACTCCCTCATGGCTTTCAACATCATGACAAGGGTCATTTCGGCCCTAAACAATGTTTTTCAGGCGACAAACCGAACATAGAACATATTTTAGAATTTGCCGGGAAGGTAGGCAACCCATCGTGCGACGCGTCTTCACCGCATCACCACTGAAAGAGCGTGGGGGACGAAGCCTTTTTCACACGAATGGAATGCGCCAAGAGCCATTGGGCACGGGGCATCTGTTTCTTAGACCCATGTGAAGGTTCCATATCACTTTCAGACAAATCGGAGCAGGTCGACCATTTTCATCGAAAAAAAGCCAAGGCTATAATACATCATGGTTTTTTCACGTTTTGGGCAAAAAAATTAAAATCACCCAAATTGTAGTATATTGTGTTGGAACACTCCCTCGAGACTCCTGACTCTATTTAGAGCACTATTCGGGCCTAAACAGTCTTTTCCCAGCCAAACAGTGAAATTATTTGGGCGTAAGCCAGAAAGGTAGGCAACCCATCGTCCACAGCCTACGGAGTACTCCCTGCCTTCAGCGGCAGTAAGGTAATTCCCCTTCCCCTACCGTTCCCGATCTGTGACTACCCCCTGCCCTGCCCAGCCCACTGTCGGCAGTATATATTTCAGTTTAGGTTATGTTTCTCTTTGACGTTGAGGATGGATGTAAACGGAGACGTGATTCCAAATGGAATAGAAGAAGACGATGAACCAGATGAATTCTTTTTTGAATCTGATCACTTAGCACTGAAAGGGAACAAGGATTACTTGTCGTTGTTGAAAACATTAGCAATTCTTCAAGCGCAACGATCGCGGGCGCTACAGGTAAATAGTTAAAGTTGCACACGACAAGAAAAGCACTTTTCCCCGTGGTATAACTAACGCTCTATCGATGCAAACCTCTTATTTATACATTTTTTTGTTTGTTCCCTTGTCCAGGACTTGGACACCATTCAGAGTATTAAACAAAAAGCACTTGATAGTCCTGAGGGTTTCATTGCAATACTTGAGGAGGGAGGAGATCTGGGAGTTCCTACTCGACAAATTTTGGCTGAGGTATTATTATTCATGCATCTTTTATACGTCTCTTGGTGTTCATCTTGTATTTACTTTGGAATCTCTGTTTTGAAGGTACCTAACATTGACTGGACTGAGTATAATGCAACGGCACCCAGCACCCTTGTTTTGCGACCAGCAACAAGGAGAAACGTTGTCAACAATAATGCTCCAAATGCCAGTAAAAAGCTAAAGGAATTTGAGAAAAGTGGAGAAGTTACTGTTCGTGGGCGCACTTTCACTCAAAGTAAACCTGAAACATTCAACCAGGTAATTCTTTGTTCGTGGCCATATTGTTACATAATGGAAGCTGTTTTCTTTTAATTTGAATTTTATTTCTACTTATTTCTGAATTTAAGCTTTGGACCGCTGATGAGCAACGACGATTAGAGGAACTTCTCATTGAATATCCTCCTGAAGAAATTGAATCACGTAGATTTCAAAAAATTGCTGAAGCTCTTGGGAATCGCACACGAATGCAAGTGTCAAGTAGAGTTCAGAAATATTTCCTCAAATTGATGAAAGCTGGATTACCTGTGCCAGGCCGTGCTCCAAGGGCTTCCGCTGATACTCAGAAGAAAGTAGCTATCAGTTCATCTTAATATAATTTTGTGAACATTACTTAAACCAGTGATTCATAGAAAACCATGTTTCGTTCATGCTAATTTTCTTTCAGGGTACACACAGTCGACAACGCTCCAATCATTTCCTTACACGTCCGTCTACATTTTTCCCTCAACATCAAGATTTACCTGTGTATATGCCTGAATATGATGAAGAGGAGCTGCCAGACATAGTAGATAATCAACCTACCATCAAGACAGAAATCATGGATGCGTCTCTGTGTGAAGAACAAAGAAAGTTGCAGTTGTTACAAAAAGTAAAGAAAGAGAAAGAAAGTGGCAACATGCACAGTGGGATTCATTCTGGATTCAAGGTAATTATTTTGTGCTTGCTCCCTGGAAGTATAAGTTATGGAGTATCAATGTTTAAATATGTATTTCTTTCCAGTGTGACATCTGTGAGGAGGAGCCTATTACTGGTACACGCTGGCATTGCTTTGACTGTCCAGCAAGTACGTCTGTAGACTTTTGTTCTGATTGTGTTGTAAGTCAATTGGAATCTGCTACACACCACCCTCTGTCCCACCGATTGGAGGCCATCAACGAGGTCACTCCATCAAGTAGTGATGTGTCCTATGATCCAGATTACCTACCTCAGTCATTTTCCCAAAGCTATAACTATCTGGATCCCAATTTTCTGCCTCACTGATGTTATCATGGCAACCACAAATGCTGTGATATAATTTTAGTAGTATTAAGTATGCTTATTTAATTGTCAAATTTGTCCTGAGTATTGTTAATATTTCTAAAATCTTAACTTTTTTCTATTTCTGATCTGTGATGACCAATTTTCTTGCATTGTGAAAAAATATGTTGGTTATTCAAAATTAGCAATTACTCTTTTACTTGATTATCTGCATGATGCTTTGAGATGAAAATATGAAATACACCTAGAAAAGAATTCCAATGCTTTTATATTTATTCTTGTTCAACTCTTTGTTTCTTTTGAGTCAGTGTTGTTGTCAGGCTGGCCAGTATTCAGAAACTTTCATGAGGAAACTTACGCTGTCATGTGTCCATTTTGTGCAGACTAGTTATAAATAAGTAGACCAACTTGATGGTTTATTGTATCTCTATATTTTCACACACGAGTCAGGCTTGAGATCATATAACGAGTACAGTACTGATGTGAGTAAGATTCATAAATGCATTTTGTGCCTTCATGCAAATCTGTCAAAGTGCAATGGTAAATAATTTCAAAAACAGTGTGAAAATGATGTATAGCCTCATGATCAACGTCAACAAAGACTAACACACATTGAACTGCAAAATAATAGAGGTCTATGACCTACTCTAAATTTTGATACAAGTATAGTTTTGGGTTGCATCCAAATTAACCATGCATGAAGCAGGTTTATTCAGACCACTTGGTTATAAGTTTTAATATGCCTTGAAAAGACAACTAGAGAGGAACATGTGATGTACATCATCAATATATATTAGGGTGCACAAAAAGGACTAAATGTTCTGCCCTTTGCTTGTAATACTGATTTGAAAGAAAAACAAAAGAGATTAGGAATAACTGTTTGATCCTAGGTATCACAGCGGGTAAAGAGAAATCAATCTTCGGCTGCTACTCATCATGTGATGTAAAGATTTTGAATAAAATGATGACACAAGAGAAAAATAATTAATTTTACTGAGAATCCAGGCAGAATGAGAACTCGACGCAGTCACCAATCTGTTTAAATTGCGAAAACTTCAAAATGAAATCCTATGCAAAAATATTTTTGGAACTTCTAGAGGTTTTAGAGGACATCCATATACTATGTACCCTATTTTGACCCGGCCCATCAAATATTTGGGTACCTAGGATATCCAGGGTACGCTGAGGAGGGTGTGTGTTGAAAATATGCCTGAAATAGGGTATGTAATATATATACATCCTCTTACCAATTTTAAAAGAATCGAAAGTGTAAAAAAGAGAAGCTAAAAAATACAGCAAAATGGAAAGGAGGTAACAAAAGTATAATAGAAATATGCTATTCTTTGGGAACAGCCATTTTAAAAGAAGATTCTCCATTTAAGATAGAGGAAACATATGGCTTGTTAAGAAAACTTGCTTTTAAATTGCCAGTTACGATTGCATAGAGCAATTAATAACACAAGAAGAGTACACAAAAGACAAGGGTACACCTCAAAGTATAAAACATAAATGTTAGAGGGACAAGAGTAAGATTATCACAGATGAAAGAACAGTCTTTGCAACAAATAAAAAGACAGGAAAATTCCTGACCATAGTTACAAGAAGTAATGATCTTTTGCCATAAGAAATAGCTAAGAATGTATGTCTCTTAAACATAAGAAGATAATTACCACATAACAGTCAGCATAAAGTACTTCTACAAGGGATTCATAAGATATTGCTATGACAAGAAATATAATATTATTATGCAAACACTTCTATGCAAAATACAACAATGCATCAACAAAGATAAGCATTTTGAGGGATAAAGATTCAAGAAATCAGAATCTACCTATTTGTCTCTTCCATTCTAAGTCACATTAAAATTTGCAAAAGATGTTGATTTTTCATTTTACTACTTTGTACTGTGCATTAAAGATTTATATCAAAATAAAATGAAGGAAGAGTTAACATAAGTACAAGTAGATGGGAGATGTCTTGTGTGAACTCACATCATCCAAACATTCACAGACACAATACACAACATTAAGGTGTAACTACATGAAGGATAACTAGACTCGGGAAGATTAAATTACAGTAATTTGAATCACATGTTTAAGAAGGTTACGTTTAAGGATTACAAAACAAAAATACTGATAACATTATGCTAGAAAAACTGTACATATAAGAACAAAGAGCAGAGAGATAACAGCAAAAAGTAGCTGCTCATTTGTGCATCTGGTCCAGGTTGCACAAATTTAAAGATCAAAGACAGAATGACAAATTTAAAATATTTAGAAAAGTCTTTTTTTTTGGTATAACTAGATGCACAGATTTGTTTTCAAGTGCATCCATCCTTGATGTTCATAGATGACTCAAGTCTTAATTTTTTAAGAGAAAAAATATAATGAACAAACTATTGGACCAGAATAAGTATGCCGTGGAATGATGCATGTGGTGTAGTGGCCTCTGAGGGTCAGCCGCAGCAAATAAGTTAATGTACAATCTAACTCAATTGTAATTGGTCTACATTGCTTCAGTTCGAATTAAGGTTTAAGTACTAAGAAAGGAAGAAAAATAATGTTCCTCTTAATTTGCAGCCCTGATGACTGATCTCTTGTTCGTTCTGCTTGCGTTTTTGACGATCTTAAACTTTAAGTTTTACAAAGACGTGAACTGAACAGAGCACGACCATACAGAAGAATATTGCTTCATGTAAAAATTCACAAACCATGTTGGCAACATATATAGAATCAAAATAATTCAAGAATTACATTCTACACACATCTTTTAATAACTAGTACATGTAAAATTTGAATAACAATCAACTAGTACTGAAGAGCACCGTGTATGGAACATACAGTAGAGTAAAAAATGTAGTATTAAAACTATGTATCAAATAAGTTTTTAAGATTGCTGTAAAAATTTATTAGTTGGAACAAATTTGCAGCAGTGCCATATTTTGGGTATTGCTTTGATTGCAAGATAATATATTGCACAATATATTGCATAGCTCTGTGAACATATTTTTTAAGACACTTTTCAATGCTATGAAGAGAAGGTACAGTATTGCATATCACTCTTTTAAAAACAAGTAAGTAAACAGAAAACACACTTTTTTTAATTTAATTTTTTTTTCCAGGCAAAGGAATGCTAAATTCTGGGAGTTTTGTTACACTTATAAGCTTAAGTCAATGCCAACATGAAAATTTCCTTTCTTTTCTGACAAGTCTCATGAGTTAAGATCTCTTACAGCCTGTAAAATACGCTTCACATGGCCAACTTTAGTGACACCCAACTCTTTTAAATCCCTTCGAGCTAGAGTCAGAAGTTCTTTCCCTCGAATGTCATGGCATGTGAAGGAATCAATGTACTCACCAAGTTGTATAGATTCTAGCCATGACGCAACCTCTGCTGTACCCCAAGTAGCCACATCTGCAGCTGTTTGCCGACTACGATCAGGATGAGATGCACGTTCTCCTCGGCGGAAACGTAACCAGAACAACCCACGAGCCTTTCCTTTTCTTTCATTCTGCAAATTGATGACATTGCTCTGTCAGATACCTTAACATTTGTAAAATACCACCAGAAAAAAAAGAAAGTATGTGGCTTTGAAACTTACTTCTCCAGGGGGAAGTGGCTGCAATGTAACACACCCATCCTCATTGTTGCACTTCCGTAATTCAACCTCCATGTTAGATAGAGCTGAACTCAGCTGTCCCTCAAGATCTTCTCTAAGACGCTACAACGGGGAACATATATTCAGTAAAGCATTCACATTGAAAAAATACGACAACACAAATACTAAATGACCAACCAGTTTATGAGCCTTTTCTCTGAGCAGTTGACAGGACTCTTCATGCAGTTGCCTTGCACTGGCAACTAAGCCAGTTACAGCTGGGCGTAGATCACCCTGAAAAATGGAACACAGGGTGAGAATTAAAACTACCAACATGTCAAAGTGCAAATACACTTTAGAACAGAAAATTCCAATCCTTACTCCTGTGAGAAGCTTTCCTCCTGGATGAACATGTTCTAAACTGTCATGAGTTTTAGCCGCCAAATCATAGAGATCAGCTTCTATTGAAGGGTGCCGTATTGTCAATAGTTTCACACATCTGTTTAATGGAATAAATGACACAATTGTAAATGACAAAGTAAATAAAAAATGCAACATTTCATTAAAATAGGAGTTGAACAACAGTACACATGTATTTATCAAAGTACCTCACAAGAGTTGTGGAAGCATCAATAAAGCCAAGGAGAAGTGAGAACTCCTCATCATTGAAAGGAGCTAAACGATCGTGTGGAATGAGTCCTGCAGTTAGATGAGGCAGGTGTGAACGCTGTTTTTCCTCCCAGGCTCGTAGGGAATTCTCTAATGCACGGTTACGGCACAACATCTGCATCCTGTTTTTATGAATAATTCTTATCATACCAGGAGGCTGTATCCAGGCTTCACCATCAACTTGGATTGGAACCCCTTCATCTCCTGAGATCACAAAAGCACAAGATTCATTAAAAGGAAAAAGAATAAACCTTAGCAACATTCTCAAAGAGGGTAAAAACCTTACCAAGAATGTTAATTTGAACAGTTTGGCATTGAGCAATTCTATGATGTTGAAGGTTGATAAGCCGAGAGGCTGCCATTTGCATAGATCCGAAAACAGCCACAACTTCTAGAACTCTATCATCAAAGCTGGGGGCAAGGAATACATCATCTTCCTTTGTTCCACCCCAAAAGTTTGTTCCTCCCATGAAGCTAAAACCAAAACCAAATTATCAGCAAAAAACAAAAAAGAAAACAAAAAAAAAAGTCATAATAAGTGTATAAAATGTGCAAAAACCTTGGAATATTGAGAATCACAATGCCTTGAAGTGATGGAAGCGGAATTTTCTGTCCATCGCATTCTAGTTGAACTCTTTGATCCAAGTTTTTGTAGGTTTTCTGAAAGGCAATAAGTTCTAGAAAACATTCTCCCATTTGAAAATGCCAGAGAAGATTGAAATGTAGCTCTTACCTGCAACCATTCTTTACTGCCCAATACACCATACCATATGTAATTCTTTGCTCTTGATCTGCATTTTTCTGGGTGCTCTTCTCTTTTGTGGTGGAAATCCAGGGAAATTTTTGCATCAATTCCAATGCCAAAGTAATTATTCATAACACACCTCTCAAAAAATCCCTCCCTGAAAAATAATTACACCAGAGTCAAGAAAAGATCATGTTTAAAAAAAGTGTATATCTCAAAAAGTATCTTGAACTTTTAATTACAGTAAAGTTTCGTCAGGGTCCATCAAGGGGGAAGCTGCTGCACAGAGAGCATCCGCATTTGCAAGGAGGGCCTTGCTTATCATTCCTGCACTGCTCACATCTGCAAACACATCCAAAAAGGTTGAAGGTACTGAAAGGTGAGTAGTAGGTTGAAGCAAAAGACAGAAAAAATACTGAGAAACGTACTTGGCCACATGGGCAGCCGGACAAGAGGATTGATGATGGGCAGACTCTTGGCCTTCTGGACTGCCTCCGACTCTGCTGCACTGCTGGTGGACGAGGCCCCGGTCTTGGCCGACACCGAGGCCATGAGGTCGATGCTGACCTGCAGGTCTCTTTCCACCGAACTGCGGAGGCGATCACGGAATGGTTGTCGTGGGCCCGGTGTGGAGTCGTCCTGGGACAGTGAGCGGTCTCCAGATTCCGCAGGGACCTTCAGGAGGCTGCCGCTGGAAATGCGGCGACTCGCGGCGGGCGAGCAGCGCCAGAGTTGCTGTGGTGAGGCTGCACGCCAGAATTCAACAACACTCAAGTTGAAGTCCAGTGTAAAAAACAAAGCTACGATTGAGTAAGTGAAGAAAACCCACCTTTGCCGCCAGCACTGTCACAGCTGTATCTCCGGTATGAATTGTCGTCAGGTAAATGATGCTTGTCTTCTTCTGATTGGGTGGGAGAAGGAGGGTCTACCACAACGCTGATTACTGGATGTGGAAAGCCCCTGGCATTCGGTTTTTTTAAAGGACTATGATGAATCTGGCAGAACAGAAATAATAATAATGATAATCAACATAGTAACTTTTTAAATTATTACACAGTAGGATAGGGGAAAATGCTTAAAGCTCACCCTTTCTTTCTCTTGATAAATAGCAGAAGAAGTAGCAATACTTTTACGCTGGAGGTGATATGGAGAGGGGATGTGTAGAGTGCTCCCCCCTCCACTGCCTGCGCTGGTGTCACTATCATGACCTGTTGTCAGGTTGTTGTTGGAGCCTTGGATGTGAATCTGGATTTGGTCGTTTTCAGGGAAGAGGCACCCAGTGCTGCTGCCTGTACTTGCAGCTGACGAAGGAGGAGTAGGGCCTCCTCCCAAACTGTGGCTGCGGTTTGATCGACAAGGCTCAGGGACACTTAAATTTGTTAGAATGCCCTCTGCAGTTTCTGGCTCAGATTTTTTCTCCTCAGGAGATGGATCCCGTGAGTAAACTTTGAATCCCTGGTGGCAAAACAAAACAAAGTAAATTTTCAAGTATACTTAAATATTGTCAAGTGTGAAGAAAATAAAAGATTTGTACCTTGAGGTAGGGGTCCATTTCATCAGATAAATTCCCTATACTTGATGCTGGAAGAAGTTCATCTTCATCAAAATTTTCATCGACTTGAAGCAGAGGCACATCTAACGTTGTCTTGTGACTCTCTTCACAAATATGGGCTTTTGTCTTGCGGCGGGCCTCTGGTCGCCTGGTGGCTATGTGACGGCATTTAATGGAGCGTCTAGCAATGTCATTTCCTTCAACAAAATGAGCCAAGGTACATTTGATAGCAGGATCTGTATCACCTTCTGTGTATTGTGCATGACCACTGAGCCCGATTGCAAATTTCACATCATCTTCTGATTCATTGTCCTCTCCAGATGTCACTAACGGGTCAGTGCCATCTCCATGTTCAGACCCATTCTGACCCCCAATTACATGTCTATCAATCGAGTCATGTTTTAGAACTGGTGAATCTTTTGACACGTCTGTAGTGTTAGTCAGTCTTATGGCACCTTCAGCACTTTCCTCAGACGTTTCTGATGAGTCTATGTGTTTGATATCAGCAATTTCACTAGCCTCCAATGCAAAGCATCTCCAGACAGGGTCCTCACCACTATCCACACTGTGCCGACCTCTATTTGGACGTTTACATTTCTCAAATTTAACAGTGTCTGTTTCTGTTGTGGTAGAAGTGCCATCAGTACTGAATCCACCAAAACTAAATCTTCGATTTGGATCTTCCGCAACTTGAAGAAAGCTTCCTTCAAGCCCGGCTCTTCTCACTTTGCTGGTGGTATTGCAAATCATCTCAGAGCTCAATTCTGGTAGAATTGGGAGTCTGTTTGGTTCCACCTTTCCATGGGCATCACTCCTTCCTATGTGGGTCTCATTGACTCCAGAAACTTTTGAAGCTGGATCGAGAACATCCTGTCTGGATTCTTCACCATCAGGAGGTTGCAAGGAGCTCCGATGACTTAATCGTCCCAAATAATCAGTGACACTGTTAAAAAGAAAGATAAAATAATTGTACAATCCATATAATATTTGTTTTCCTTTAGCTGAGAGTTGCATGAAACTTTACCTATCAACAGACATTGCAGAGCTGCGTCTTCTGTCAGCAAATTCTTTGGGCACAGGTATCGGAAACAAATCTTCTCCTCCAGAGTCCCTGCGAAGGTCTGGCAGAGGGGACAGGGCCGTGAGCCGAGAGCCCAGAAGGGCAGGTGAAGGGCAACGACTTCCATCTGAGCTGGAGCCAGAATCCGTCCCGTGATGAACTTTGAGGGTATCCATAGGAGGTTTAGTTGTATGCTTGCTTTGGTCATCTACAGCCTGCTCAGTCAGCTCTACCAGTTTGCGAACAGCCTTTTTCAGGCTGTTGGACCTCAGCAACAGCTGTTGCCGCTTGTTTGAGTCCAGCTGCAGGATGGAAGAAATCATATGTTTTATGCACAAACTGCACAAAGTTTTAAATACAAAGATAAGAAATAAACCTACCCTCAGTTGTTGATTTCCATAATCCTTTTCCGATTTGTCTAGAGAAGCCTTTTCCTCATCGTGCACACCCTATAATCAAGAAATAATGAGACATAGAACAAACATCATACAAGCAAATAAACAATTTAAATTTTACTTACATCATCTTCCTCTTCAGATCGGAGTAGAAGAAGCCCTTCTGGTCCAAGAGTTTGCAGAAGTAAATCAAGCTTCTCGGGAACAACTTTGCATTGCTGTTCAAAATCTTTGTCATCTTTACCTGGGCTACTGTCAGGTAGTTGTAAGGCAAAGTATTTTAACTTTTCACAAACAGACCTAAAAAATAAAAATGAAACAATACTTAAATACTGACTCCACCCCCACATTACATTATACTGGTGTGGTGTTCCTACTGTGCAGCATTGATGATGATTGGAATGTCGTCTGACTGGAGAATTTTTGATGTGTGGTATGCAAAAGAATTGTCATAAGCTGCCATGGCAGATGTAGACATTGGGGGAGACACTTGGGTGGTGAATGATAAATTGCCTGTCCCAATGGATATATTTCTCTCAAAAGCCATTATGCTCCATCTAAAAAAGATTTCAATATTTTTTTAAAAATAAAATATTAAAAGCCCTTACAAAGATATGTCCTAGATGCCAATTTAATATTTTCCTAAACTTACCTGTCTAGCATTTTGGTACAGGCCTTTTCATACTGCTCTAACAGTTGAGTCAGGAGGGTCTCATCATCACAGGAGGAACCCCAACCCAAAACCCTGGCTAGGTCATTCCCTGTGCCCAAGGGCAGAACTCCAACTTGGCATTGTTTCTGAAAAACAGACAGACGAAATAAATTCACTTGAAGAGTAGAATAAATAAAGAGGGGCAAAGAAAGAGAACCCGGAAGCTCACATGCATGTTGAGACGATCGATCTCAGACAGAACCCAGCCGACAGATCCATCACCGCTGCAAATAAGGATCCGGAAGGGGTCGAAATGCCGGAAGAGACGCAAGCTGCGCAGACAAACGCAAAACGCCCCGCGTCAGAGAGTCTTAATTCCATTTTCAAAGTTGGGGCCCTATTTTCGGCCCACGCGGTACTGACCCTAGCCCCGGTCCGGTGCCGATGAGGTCAAACACCTGCGCCGGGTTGAGCAGCTGCTTGAAGCGGCGCAGGAAACGCACGCCCTGGTTGTCGCCGGACTTGGAGTTGACGAACACCAGGAGGGGCGAGCAGCCCTGCGGACGCACCGCCTCCCACGCCTCGTCCGTGCCTGGAACCAAGAACCACGCGGAATGCAATCCCCTTCCCGGATGGAGATGAAAACCAATTAGAAACGAGGAAAAAAGGGGGAAAACAAAATCATTCCATGCTACAGCTTCCGCTTCGCCTTCCTGCGGAGCTCCAACTCGTGCTGCTCCTGCTCAGTGCAAAAAAGTGTCCACAGGGGCAAGCAGGAGTTAAATTGTAATAATGCGAATTTTGATGTGGCGTAAACACATACACCCACACACACAAAAGGATTTTGCACTTAATCGACTGAGGCGACTCGAGAAATACGACAACTTTTTTCCTCCCTTTCTTTCGGTCCGAGAAGAAAGACAACAACTTTGGACGGGGCGCTGGCCGATTACACCCACCCCCCACCCCCCGGTGCGTCATCTCGATTGTTTGCCCCCTTCTTCCCGAGCAGGAAAAGAGGGAGAGGGAGGGGAAGAGGAAGAGAGAGAGAGAGAGAGAGAGAGAGAGAGAGAGAGAGAGAGAGAGAGAGAGAGAGAGAGGAACGCTTCACGATTTTGCGTGTCATCCTTGCGCAGGGGCCATGCTAATCTTCTCTGTATCGTTCCAATTTTAGTATATGTACCGCCAGAGAGAGAGAGAGAGAGAGAGAGAGAGAGAGAGAGAGAGAGAGAGAGTGCTCCACATATACACACGATAAATCCCAACGCGCCCGTCGCGCCAGTCGAGACATCGCAAATGGGAAAAATTGGGCGCAGGCAGGACGCGCTCCGCTTGCTCGGCTATATCGTCTGTCTCCGAGGGGAGCGGAGGGGTGGGGGAAGGGGAGAGAGGGGGAAAGAAAGGGGGAAGAGGGAGAGCCCCGCCACTACGGTACTACACGTCACACGCTGCGCCGCCGAGCTGCGGGCGAGAGCGCCTGACGGAGACAGGATACCGTCCCGGAACGCGGGGCTGTTGGGCGGGCCGGCCCACCCCGCAGGCTGACTCTGCTGGCTGCCGTCGTCTGCCGTCCGCTAAAGTGACTGCCTGACGCCGCCCTGCTGCCCTGCAGACTGATTCCGAGAGTCGTCGTCGTCGGAGGAGGACGCAGTCGCCAGAGGACGCCGTCGGCAAACAAGTCCCCAGTTCCAGCACGACGACGGCGCCGGGGCCGGGCCGGGCGGGGCTGCCTTGCAGTGCGGTCGTCTGATCAAGACGGAGCGGGGAGGGGGAGGGGGCGTACACACAAGGGGCGCCCAAGAAAGGTCAGCGCGACCATTGAGTCTGTTGTGTCCGCCCGCCCCGCCCCGCCCCGCCCCGCCCCGCCCCACGCCGCTGGCCTAGTCTGTGTCGCAGCCGGCGCCGTTCCCAGCCCGCGACCCCTCCTGGGGGACCCCCGCGCCCTCCGCGCCCGGCCGGCGGCACCCCTGCCGCCGCTGCCGCCCTGCCGGCGTCCGTCCCAGCGGCCCGCGCGGCCCGCGCGGCGCGCACCGATCAGTCCAGAGCAAATATTTAATCGAATATCGGTGGCCGGGATCGCAGCGATTGCGGCCTTTCACCCAGTTCTTTGTTTGCAAAGGTGCCTTAAGCGAAATGAGGTCCGCCTTGGCCGGTCTGCCTGCACAGCGCAGCGCAGCGCAGCGGTGCGGCAAGTTTGATTGCCATTCCTCCTTCTCTCTGTCTCTCTCTGTCTCTGTCTCTGTCTCTCTCTCTCTCTCTCTCTCTCTCTCTCTCTCTCTCTCTCTCTCTCTCTCTGTCTTTCTCTCATCCAGACGGGGCTAAGCACCGCGCCGGAAGACGCAGATTCAGACGGATTGGAACCGACACTCACCCCAGCTGAGAGGACGACCGTCGGCCAAAGCGACGACCAACTTTTTACTCAAAGCGTTGGCGGGGCTTTGTTTTAAGTTCGGAAAAGCCCTGGCGTTCCCGCGCGTTCCCGGCGCGCTGCTGCCCTCATGCCGTTTTATTCTGACGAAGCTCCCAGCCAGCCGCCTGATGCCGAAGGATGGTCGCTCTGTCTCTGTCGCACTCGTGGGGGCGCCGCGTGAGAGCGAGAGAGGCAGCGCCACGAAGGGATCCTTCGGAATCAGACGGCAGCTGCCTCTCGTCGGAAAGAGGCCTCCACGTCGTTGGCACTCAAATGTTCAACAAGGTCGAAGAGCGCTTTCGTCGCTCTGTCCCTCTCGCACTCACGGGGCTCTCCGTAAAGGTGCGAGAGGGACACAGCGACCAACCGATCTTCTGAATGGCTCGGCTGGACGAGAGACAGTGTACTTACCCACGCTGTGCAGGGCGGTGGGGGGCAGCGTGCTGATCTTGGCGGGGCCCAGCGGACAGCGCTCCCGGTAGGCGGGCCTGCACGCCGTGTGGACGCACGCCCGGCACCAGAGACAGCGCCAGTCCTGCAGCCTGGGTAGGGGGCCAGCCAACACCGTCACTCCACCGTCTCAATGTCAATGGACACGTTGACAAGCGGTACACAGTGGACCAGAAGACCGGCGCAGGCGGCCAAAACTCTACACGCGTTTTGAGCTCCAGAGTTGCTAAATGGGACTCGAACCGAACGTGTGAACCCACCAATGGATTGCTCTCCGAACGAGGAATCCATTGGTGGGGTCACACGCTCAGTTCGAGTCCCATTTAGCGACTCTGGAGCTCAAAACGCTTGTAGAGTTTTGCGCCGGTCTTCTGGCCATGGCCGCGGTAGTTACCTGAGCACGGAGCCGCAGGTCTTGTCGCAGACGGTGCACTTGCTGGACACGGGCAGGTTGCCCTCCACCCACTGGTGTGGCATCACGATATTCTGCCAATCAGAAAGGCGGCAACGCGGCGTTAGAGCAGAGTCAGGCTGGTTTCAAACACTGATGCGGCCTCTCTCGCACTCATGGGTCGTCCCGTAGGTGTTCGACGCTGTTCGAGGTCGACAAGGCACGTTTGCAGCGGCCACAGCGGCAAACTGATCCCCAGAGTCGTTTTCCTCGCTATGTCTCTCGCACCTCTACGGGACGGAAAGAGACTCTCGGAATCGGTCTGCTGCCGGCGCGTCCAGCCCTCCTCGGCCTCGGCTTGCTGGGCTTGCTTCGACCATCAAGGAAGATAACCCCCTCGGGACCGCTTGAGTCCCGGACGGGCCGGGGCTCTGGGACTCTGGGGGCCGCTTGCTGGCACACTGCTGCGCTGCTGGAGGTGGAGGCAGTGGAGGCACACGGCAGAGTCGACGGGCAGCCGACGGTAAGGCCAAGCCAGCAGACTGATTCCGAGTGTCGTTTTCGTCGCTCCGTCTCCCTCCCACTCGCGGGGCGTGCCGTGCAGGTGCGAGAGAGACAGAGCGACGAAAACGACTCTCGGAATCAGTCTGCAGGACGGTGAGCAAGATTAATGCCAGGCAAGCCGGCCTCGCCCGCCCGCCTCGCCCCTCATCTCCCCGGACACTCCGCGCCAAACGTGGCGCGTGGCACGCCACTTAAAAATTATTCGCCTTCTGACACACAGCCCTCGGCCCAGCCCTTTTCCAATTATTTTCCCGGCTGAGAGTTATCCGGGTCGCCGAGGAGGGCAAACTAATTAAACATGAAGAAGAAGCTCCGAAGCTCCGCCAACGACGGCGGCAGCGCGGCGGCGACGACGACACACTTTGCAAGTTTGCAAACATTTTAGCGATTCATCGAGCCGCGGCCGTTTTCCCCGTTTTTCCGCGTTTTTCGCACTTTGGGGAAACGCGGGGTGGCCGCTTGGAGAGCGCAGGGTGGGAACGCCTCAAGTTTCTCCAGTCGAGTATTTTTTGTTCCATTTTATTTTATTTTATCGGGCAGCATATTTTTGCAAAGACTTTAAGTCCCGGGCCGGGCGCCGGGCCGGTCGGCCGCCTGCAATCCATCGGGCTGCTGAAACCTCCAGCCTCGGAGCGCGGCAGACTGATTCCGAGGGTCGTTTTCGTCGCTCTGTCTCTTTCGCACTCATGGGCCGTCCCGAATAGGTGCGAGAGAGACAGAGCGGCGAGAGCGGCTCCCGGAATCAGTCTGCTCCGCTCTGCAGGGCGGCCAGATGCCGCATTACTTATGCATTCGGCCGCGGTTTTGGGTTTAAGTCCGAAGCGACTAGGGTGGCATCGATATAGGGGGGGGGGAGGGAAAGCGTGGGAAACAAATACCCAACCGGGTCCGTGGGGCGCGACTGCAGACTCATTCCGAGAGTCGCTTTCGTCGCTCTGTCTCTCTCGCACTCATGGGGCGTCCCGGTGGGTGCGAGAGGGACAGAGCGACGAAAAACGACTCTCGGAATGAGTCTGCTGCCGCCCTTTGCGTTCCCCCTGTTTGCTTGGTCCAAATGAGTTTCGGCCGGGCCACGCCGGGCCACGCCGGGCCACGCCGGGCCACGCCGGGCCACGCCGGGGCGCAGAAGGAGGGCGCTGTTAACCCCCATCGCGGACTCCCCCAGACGTCACCTCAAAGTAAGTTCGCCTCAAGTAGCCCGCGCTCCTCGGCCTGCCAGGCTGGCAGGCTCGGCAGGCTCGGCGCGCTCAAAGGGACGATTGAAAGACTCCCCCACCCCCTCCCCGTTCAAGGGACTCACGCGGCAGAGTCCACTTCTGCAGACTGATTTCGAACAGTCTCTCTCTCTCTCTCTCTCGCACTCACGGGGCGAGTTCCGTTAAGGTGCGAGAGAGACAGAGCGACGAAGACGCTGTCCGGAATCAGCCTGAGAGCCACGGTGGTGCCTGCAGTCTGATTCCGTAAGTCGCTTTCGTCGCTCTGTCTCTCTCGCACTCATGGGGCGTCCCGTACAGGTGCGAGAGAGAGAGATCGACGAAAACGCCTCTCGGAATCAGTCTGCTGTGCCGCCATCTACCACCCCCGCGCCCCAAGCTCGGCACCAAACGGCTACCCGGACTGAGATCTGCACTCTCGGCGTGCTTAGGCCCAGCACCACCTCTTGATTGAGTTTGAGGGTCGCAGGCGAGCACTCGCCCTTGCCGCCCTGTGCCGCCCGGCCCGGCCCGGCCTCGATGCCTTCCTGTACCGCCATACTCCGACGGGACAGGCGCGCCAAGGCGGGGGCGGGCTCTCGACGTCCCTCGCCCCAATCAAATTACCGCACTGGTAAAAACAAACTGACTAAAACAGCGAGTTTTGATAGTTTTCGCCGCGGATTGGCGAGAATTTGTGCACTGAGTGCTCCGTCGTCGTTCCAAACAAAACTACCGAAAAAAACGTAAAAAAAAAGCTAATTTTCTGAACCAATCCAAAATATTTTTGTGAGCTTCGAATTGGCTTTCGGCGTGCCGTTGGTAATTTGGGGCTACGCTTTTTAATAGTTTGCTAGTGCTACGCTCACCCCATCCTCGTCCTCGATGATGTCCTTGCCGACGGAGGCCAGCGTCGTCCATTTGCAGTTGCTGACCGCCTTGGCGGCACACCGTTTGTGCGCCTTGCATTTGCAGATGCCGCAGCTCAGTCCGTGAGAGGTGACACCTGTAAGGCACGCCAGTCAGACCACGGTCAGACCACGGTCAGGCAGGGCGCCGCCCCGCGAAAGTCGCTCCGTCTCTCTCGCACTCGTGGGGCGTCCTCCCGGACTCCCCGTCGGGCTGGCGCGTGGGAGAGAGACAGAGCGACGACACTTTGCAGGCCGACAATGTTGCCGCTTTATGGCTCCTTCCGAGAGGGAGAGGGGGGAGAGAAATTGAAATTGAAATTGTTTTTATTGAGGGTTCATGTAAAAGGACTAAATAGTCCCACTGTAACATAAACCCGCTCTCATTACAGTAGTTTTAATTTTGAGCAGCAGGTGACTAGAAAAATAATAATAATAATAATACTTATAATAATACTTATAATCACAAAAGAATGTATTGTAGTACAATCACGACATTAGGATGTTAAAAACTGTATTCTTTACAGTCTTGTATGTTCGATGTAACAAGTTATAGAGTTTGAATTGATTCCACAGCATTATTGATTGAATGTGAAAAGAGTTGTTGTACTTAGTTAATCTATGGTTGGGAACAAGGAACATTTGCTTACTTGATCTGGTAGATCTATGGTTTGAGATGGATGTAGAAATATAATTCTCATCTAAGTATGATGGTTGATGAGTTTTAACAATTTTCCACACTAATGTTGAGACAGCTAATTTACGCCTTTCCACAATTTTGAGAATTTTTAGATCTTGTGAAATATGCTCATACTTTTTAGTTCCAGTTATAAATCGAATACAAGCATTCTGGAGCCTCTGTAATTTAATATTATTTATAACAGTCATATCAGTAAATACTACTGATGCATAGTCTAAATGAGGAAAAGCTAGTGAGGTAATAAGCATTTTTCTCACTCTTTGTGGAATGAACGTAAAATTGCGCCTCAACTGGGCAAGAATGCCTAGTATCTTTTGAGCTGTTGAAATGCAGTGGTCATTCCAAGAGAGGGTTGGATCAAATAGAACTCCTAGATTCTTAACAAAATTAGAGTATGGAATAGTACAGCCATTAACAAGGAGGGGGAGAGAGAGAGAGAGAGAGAGAGAGTTGAGAGAGGAGAGAGGGGAGAGAGAGAGAGAGAGGGGGGGGGGGAGGAGAGAGAGAGAGAGACAGAGAGAGAGAGAGAGAGAGAGAGAGAGGAGAGGAGAGAGAGGAGAGGGAGCGTTCCTTACCAGAGAGCGCGTCCCGGCACAGGTTGCAGTAGGTGGGCCGCGCGTGTGAGGTGGCGTACCAGTGGTGCTGGCCGGACAGGAAGTCATGCTGGTCGCCGCTCTGGAGGAAAGAAAGGAAAACAAAAACACGACATTTTATTTCGATTCAAAACACACACTTTGGCAACACTGTGTCAGCAGAACCGGCGGCGCCGCGCGCAGGTGCGTGACTACGCGGGAAATCCAGTCAGCCCCCCACCCCCTCCCCCTCGTGTCCTTTCCGTGTACATACCCAAGCGCTTTTCCGCGCCCTCTGCCCTTTCGGACTGCTCCCCCCCCCACCCTCTCTACCCATTTCGCCCTTTGCCATTCGTGGCTTTACGAGAACCATCAGGCCACTAAGCGTGCCAGTCCACACACACACACACACACACACACACAGCAAATATGGTGATGAGCTGCGCGGCCTGCAGGCGGGGCTAGGGCCTGCTAGGGCCGCGCTGCGCCGCAGAGTCACAGAGTGCCCCTCCGGCCCGGAGGCTCCGGGCGAGGTCGTGCTAGCCGGCGGATCGTGCCGAATCTGCAAGGGCGATTCCGAAGGCCCGTTTCGTGGCCCTGTCTCCCTCGCACACCTACGACACGCCCCCTGGGAGCGACAGAGACAGAGCGACGACACGAAACGAGCCCTCGGAATCGCCACGCTGGCTCGTATCCAGCCCGTGCAGCAGCCCCCGAGCAGACTGACACTGACTCCGAGTCTCTCTCTCTCTCTCTCTCTCTCTCTCTCTCTCTCTCTCTCCCTCGCTCTGGCTTTGCTGGCTTTGCTTTGCATATGCATGTATGCGTTCCCGAGTGCCGCGGCAAGCCATGGCAGCAGACCGATTCCGAGTCGTTTCCGTCGCTCTGTCTCTCTCGCACTCTTGGAGCGGCCGGCACAGGTGCGAGAGAGACAGAGCGACGAAAGCAACTCTCGGAAGCAGTCTGCGGGCGCAGGGTGTGTCTTGCCTCTGCGATCGAGTCGAGGGTTCCGGGCCATAACCGGGCCGGCCGGTCTAGGTCACACACGATCAAGGTCTTTCGACCCGGTCGGGGGACTCGACTCAGTCAGGACCCAGTCATGCAAGGGAGGCACACTGGTAAAGCTAAAGCGTAGTATTACCCACTGTTTTCAAGCGTAATCAGGTTACGCTTGAAACAAGCGTAACAGGCTCTCCGTCAAGATTCCCCCTATCTAAATGCATGGGGAATTTCTAGTCTATGCTTGATTTCAAGCGTAACGTCTTCAAGCGTAACTTTTGCTTACTCAGCACCTACAACCAACTGTCTACTAAGTACACACTTACAATGCGTGCTTGCAATACACACTTACAAACGCATGCTTGGCCAAGTACCACTTACAAATGCATGCTTGCAAGTACACACTTACAAACGCATGCTTGACGCATGGAGTTACGGGCGCAGCGTTGTAAGTGTGTACTTGCAAGCTGCATTTGTAAGTGTGTATGGCTAAGCAGCGTTGAAGTGTGTACTTGCAAGCCGCATTGTAAGTGTGTACTTAGTAGACAGTTAGGTTTGCAGTGCATAGAGTTACGCTTTAGTTACCAGTGCAAGCGAGGCCTAGGTCACGGCCTGTGGGCTTCGTCCGTCGCACAGTGGGCCAGAAGACCGGTGGAGGCGGCCAAAACTCTAGACGCGGGTTGAGCTCCAGAGTCGTTGAGCAGGACTCGAACCGAACGACTGACCCCACCAATGGATTGCTCTCCGAACGAGGAATCCATTGGTGGGGTCACACGTTCGGTTCTAGTGCCATTTAGCGACTCTGGAGCTCGAAACGCGTCTAGAGTTTTGGCCGCCTCCACCGGTCTTCTGGCCCACTGTGCTTCGCTTAGTCCAAGCCGCGGCAGCCGCCGTCCAGTCCGAGAGACCCGCTCTTTCGTCGTCCTGCCCTCTCGCACCCCTTCGGGACGCCCCATGGGTGCGAGGGAGACAGAGAGACGATATGACTCTTCGGAATCCGCCTGCAGGTCTGTGGCGGCCGCGGGCCGCCCCCTTCCCTCCGCGCGCCGAGCCGTCGGGCCCCACACTCTGACAAATCGAGGCGGCCCTGCGCTGCCCCGTCAATCAAAATGGCCGTCATCGGGGACAGCTCTACCGACCCCGCCCCGCCCCGCCCCGCCCCGCCGTCCGCGGCCCGACCATGACCGGGACGAGCTAAGGGGCAAGTTACAGGCGGACGGCGGAAATTGCATTCGTCCGTGTGTGCGTGGTGTGTGTTTGTGTCAGTGAGTGAGTGACTGAGAGAGAGAGAGAGAGAGAGAGAGAGAGAGAGAGAGAGAGAGAGAGAGAGAGAGAGCACCCACCCCTTCCCCGGCTGCCTCTCTGGATGAAGGATAAGACCGCTGCCTTCCTTCCGTCCCGTGCCGGCCGCGCTGGCCGGGGAGAGATCGCACCCCCGATATGGGGACGGGTCCTTATCGAGACGTTTCCGCAGACCGAGTTTCTGGCCCACTCACATACACACATCATGACACACACACACACACACACAAAATAGCTCTCCCTCCCTCCCTTCTCCGACTCTCTCTCTCTCCCCTCTTCCCCCCCCCCCTCTCTCTCTCTTTCATTCACTGACGGCCGTCGAGGCGGACGCCTTGCTGGACGAGGTTGACGCGACTGGTGCGCGAAATCAGGGCGCCGTGGGTCCGGAACGCCGGAACGCCGCGAACGGCCACAGGGGGCCTTCTAGGAAAGGCCGGCCAGGGTGTGGCGGTGGCGGGACGCGTGGATGGCGGGGCGGGGCGGGGCGGGGCGGGGCGGAACCCAAGTCCCCCGCGAGTGAACCCCTCCGCAGCCCCCTGACAGGCCGGGCGTTTTTGGTTGTGTCGGGTCGATGCATGAAAAGGCAAAAAAAGGGAAAAAGTCGTCCGTGCACACCGAGTCGGTATGAGAGATGGCGACCCCACGCCGTGCAAACCACCGCAGCGGCGGCGCGCCGGGCAGGGCAGGGCAGGGCAGGGCGGGGCGGGGCGGGGTGGCAGGGCGAGGCGGGGCAGGGCGGTTCGTCGCTCCGCCCCTCTCGCTCGCACCCGAACGGCACGGCCCGTGAGTGCGAGAGAGACAGAGCGACGCTGTTCGGAATCGCTCTGCAGGCGGAGAAGTACAGCCCAACAAAACACAAACACACAAAGCGGCGCGGAATGATGGAAACAAACACGGCAACGCGGCGAGCAAAACGGGCCGATTAGAACCGCGGCAGCAGACTCATTCCGAGAGTCGCTTTCGGCGCTCTGTCTCTCTCGCACTCACACGGGACGGCCCACGAGTGCGAGAGAGACAGAGCGACGAAACTGACTCGGCGCGGCGGCGTGCCCAGGCGCGCCGCCCCGAGCACGTCAAGGACTGTAAGGCCGCATCCCCTTTTTTAATCAACGACGGCCCGCCATACCGGGACGGCTGGACTCCACCAGAAATAATACGAATCGCGCCACCATCGCCAGCCAACCTCGCCGATAATCACGATGACAGCAACAATAACAGTGAAAGCAACAGCAACAACAAGAGCAGCGACGGCAGCAGGGCGGCCGGGCGCGACGCGGCTTGTCAACGCCACTGCCGATAAAGGCAACGCGCCAAGCGGCCAAACGGCGGCCTCGGGCTATTTGGCCGCGGCCAGTGTGGATGGCTTTATTCGCAGACACACATACACACACAAGGACACAAACATACACACATACACACAAGGGGGGGGGAGAGCGAGAGAGAGAGAGAGAGAGAGAGAGAGAGAGAGAAAGAGAGAGGGAGAGAGAGAGAGAGAGAGAGAGAGAGAGAGAGAGAGAGAGAGAGAGAGAGAGAGAGAGAGAGAGAGACAGGCAGACAGACACCATTCTAGCGGAGCAGAGCGGCAGAGCGCCTGTCAATGTCAGGGTAGGCCAGCCCGCCACGCAGCGGAGTCTTGCGCACTGCCCACCCCGTCCACGCCGGGCGCTCCGTGTCGTCCGTGTCGCTGCACTGCGCCTGTCTGTCTGTCTGTCTGTCCGCTTGCCCGCAGGCGCGGATACAGGGGGGCAATGGGGTTTTTGCCCCCCCCCCTTGACCCTAGATAGCCGCCTGAAAGGTAGGCAAAAAGTGCTACTTTGCCCCCCACCCCCATAAGCCGCCTCTGGATCCGCCACTGCTTGCCCGTCTGCCGGTCTGTTTGTCCCACAGTGTGCGTGGTGCGAGGCAGCGGGCGGACGGCAGCCAAACTTGCTGGCGGTCGAGTCCCCGAGTTCCCTCCCGCCGAGTCCCACGCCGCCAACGACGCCGCGAGGGAAATGCAGCAGGCCGCGACGACGGCAGGGCGAGGAGTTGGCGGCCAGTTCTGCGGGGGAACGCACCCCCGCACAGTGGGCTAGAAGACCGGTGGAGGCGGCCAAAACTCTAGACCGGTCTTCTGGCCCACTGTGCGCCGCCCCGCCAAGCGCGCACCTGGAACCGCGCGGCACAGCTCCAACTCCCGGACGTGTCCCATGTCTACCTACACATCACTCTCTTCACAACGGGCCGGTTCCGAACACGGTCACGCTGTCTCTTTCGCACTCGTGGGGCCTCCCGTAAAGGTGCGAGAGAGACAGAGCGACGTTCAGCATTAGCCTTGAGTGCAGGCGTGAATGCAATCAACCTGACGCCTGTCGCGTGAAGCGCGTCCCCTCTCCACCCACGCGAATCATCTCTCTCTCTCTCTCTCTCTCTCTCTCTCTCTCTCTCTCTCTCTCTCTCTCTCTCTCTCTCTCTCTCTCCCCACAGTGTCAAGTCCCTCCTCATATCCGCTGTCAAACGCAGGACGAGGCAGCGACAGCCGCCTCCTCAATCGACGTCACGCTGCGCGCCTCGGCACGATACCATTATCACGGCCAACAAAACAACAACAAAAACCACATAAAAACAAAAAAAAGGCGATCGGGTGATTGAACGCGCGGCGGCGGTGGCAGCGCCAACATGCTGAAAAAGAAACAAACTTTCGCCCAAAAGATTTGCATGTCGCACAAACTTTACGATACGCATGAGGCCACAACCCCGTTTACAAGTTTACAAACTATAGAAAACGGCCACGCCACTAGAGATGTGCGAACAGGCTGTGTTTGAATCCGAACGAACACGAACAGGAAATTTAAAACTTAATTCGAACCGAACCGAACCGAACACGTCACTATTTTTTTCGAACGAACCGAACCGAACACAATGTTGTTCGAATCCGAACGATCAAGGCTCGAACGAAGGCTCTTAACAAGAAATACTACAATGTGGACTCAAATGTAAATATTGGTTCATTTCAGTTCTCATATGCTTCCGCAAAAAAATCGCTATGATTTGTCTTTATCATTATAATTTTTTTAGAAGGGACACGAAACTTGTCGAGCGACATGCATAGAATCCTGGTTCTGCGCTGCTTGTTCACACGTGTCCGCCCAGGTCTAAAAATCTTGTGTGGTTTGCGGGATCCTGTATCATTTTGCAGGATCCCGTCTAGTTTTACGAGATCTCGTATGGTTTTGCGGGATCCCGTTAGAACACTCAAGATCCCGGGAGGGTCGCACAGGATCCCTTAAGACCTTACGGGATCCGGTAAGGGTCACACAAGATCCCGAGAGGGTCATAAGGGATCTCTTAAGTAGCCGGGATCCCGGGAGGGCTGCACAGGATCCCGAGAGGGTCGTACGGGAACCTGCACTCTGCCGAGATCCCGGGAAGTACGCACGTGATTTCAAATTTAGATATGCTGTAACTCGGAAAGTTTTTAACATTTTAAGCTCAAAATTTGTATGGGGTATATTGGCTAAAATTCACCAGTGCCATTTGAATTTTATTGAAATCTAACAACTTTTTTCTGCTATCTCGAAAACCGCTGGAGCTATCCAAATTTTGACTGCAGATTTGGATAGATCTCGGTTCCAACGCCCTAGATAATACAATCTTTTGATTCTAACTGCAGGAGAAGTTGCATTTTCACGTCTTTATCTGTACTTTACAGGATCCTTTTAGTGGGTAAAGGATTCCTTTCCGGCATACGAGATCCCGTCCTGGCGTACAGGATCCCGTCCCAGCATACGGGATTTTGAAAATTCGTTAAAGGATCCCGTGTGTCCTCACGGGATCCCGTCCAACTCAGGATCCTGTATGGCTCGGGATCTCGTATAGTAGTACGGGAATCCCTTAACGAATTTTCAAATCCCGTATGATCGTACGAGATTTTTAGACCTGGGCGTAGTGTATCGGGTCGTTGTTCAGACTCGAACGCACCTTACAATAATTTTACGAACATTTCGTGTGCGAGCACTAAGTGTTCGTTACCGATCGAACTAATTATGTGTTCGGTTCGTTCGTGTTCGTTCGGAGCCGAACATGTTCGCACATCTCTACACGCCACTTTATTTTTATGGTGATTAATGATCGACGTTTACAACGGAGTCCATCGGAACGGAAGCAGGAAACAAAGCCGGGCACGTCCCGCAAATCACACAGTGGATGTGCCAGACGACCGGGGGCGGCCAAATTCGAGACGCGTTTTGAGCTCCAGAGTCGCTAAATCGGACTCGAACCGATCGTGTGACCCCACCAATGGATTGCTCTCCGAACGAGGAATCCATTGGTGGGGTCACAGGCTCGGTTCGAGCCCCATTTAGCGACTCTGGAGCTCAAAACGCGTCTAGAGTTTTGGCCACCGTGCACTGTATACACGCTACTTGTGTACAGTGGCGGCGCAAGGACTCTTCGGGCAAGGACAGCGCGCTGCCTCCCCGCCACGGCACGCCACACCGGAGTATCGAGCCATCGAGCCCGCGCCGAATATCGACACTCCACGTCGCGCGCAAAACGGCAGCAGCGCCCGTCGAGGGATTCCGAAAAGGCGCGTCGTCGCTCCGTCTCTCTCGCACTCATGGGGCTTGCCGTGCGGGTGCGAGAGAGACAGGGCCGTTCCGGCGGCATCCTGCACGCAGCGCCAGGCAGCGCCGTGCTTCGGGGACGCGCGGCGTTCGTCATGGCGGCGGCGGTTGTTCCCAGGGGAGCCCCCCCTTGCACACTGACTCCGAGAGTCGTTCTCGTCGCCCTGTCTCTCTCGCGCCAAAACGGGACGCCCCATGAGCGTGAGCGAGACAGAGCGACGCGAAACAAAATCTCTGAATCAGTCTTGCTGGCCCTTCCGAGCAAGTCCCCGGGGACCTCCTCCAACCACTCCACCGCCAGCGCCTCGGCCCGGCCCGACCAAGGGCCCAGCAAGGGCCCGGCCGCCCCGCCAGCCGAACGGAAAAGTTATGTGTGCAGCGGGTCGCAAGGTGTGGGGCGTGGCAGGGCGGGGCGGGGCAGGGCGGGGCGGGGCGGGGCGGGGCGGGGCGGGGCGGGGCGGGGCGCGTGGTGTGGCAGGACGGGGCGCGCGAGCACCAAGGGTTATGAAAGCGGGCGGGAATGATAACACCGAACAAAAGCCGCGCTCTCGTGCGAGGACGCGACGGGGGACATCCCCGGGAGGGGGGGGGGAGTGGGAGGGGGAGGGGGAACCACAATGGGGGCCAGGAATGAGGCGGCGGGGATGCAGCATTATGAAGTCACCGAACGAGGTCTAGAAATGAAATTCCAGCCATGGAGACGTGCCAACGAGCCTCCTCACCCTTCCCCGCCCCGCCCCGCCCCGCCCCGCCCCTCGCAGGTGGCTGGCTGGGTTTGGCTCCGCGGGTGAAGAGGGCAGAGGGGGGCTTGGCTGTCTAGTGGCCCGGAACAGAGGTGCGAAACTGGCGAGCTCGGCAGTTCGGCGGCGGGCCTCGGCGCCGTTTCGGCCCGTTTCGGGGTCCGTTTCGGGGTCCGTTTCGGGGGCCATTTGGGCCGGTGCGGCGAAGGGCTGGCTGCTAAGTCAGGATGAAGAGGACGTTGCATTGCCACTGTGGGCCGCAGGCGCGGCCGCAGGCCACAGGGGTCACTCGATTTACTACCTTCCCGCGACGTAGGTGCTGTGTCGGTGTGTCACGCCCCGGAGTGCAACGCAAAAGCCAAAAAAAATTAAAGAAACAAAAAAAAAGATAATTTAATATTTTTCAAAAATTGGCAGATTATTAATTTGACGGCAGTGCGCCAGTCTGCCAGGCCGCTCGTTCCGTTTATAACGGCCCATTCCAACGGTAACGCGCTCTGCGATAATGACCAGCAAAGCGGCGACGCATTCTCTCTCTCTCTCTCTCTCTCTCTCTCTCTCTCCTCTCTCTCTCTCTCTCTCTCTCTCTCTCGTTTTTCTTTCTATTTTAGTTTGGATCCGTACAGGATCAAAAGGAGAGAGCAATTAACCCGCGGCTGGTCGCTGCGCTATGGTGGTGCCCTTTCCGAAGGGCTTTGTACCAGTGTACCCGACTTGGAGACGTGGGGCCCCGCCGCCGCGCCAGCCAATTGACTCCTCGCCAAGGAGATTAATCCGGACCTGCAGGGTCATCCAGGACCCTCCCAACCCCCGGCAGGGCAGGGAATGGATGCGGAATGGATGCCGAAACTCACCTCGAAGTCGTTGCCGAGGCGGGCGCCGCCGGTCCGGTTCGAAGCCGCCTTGAGCGACGACACCCACTCCTCCATCAAACAGCGCGACTCGGCGGCCAACGCCAGGCGCCGGCAGGGGCTGATCACCTGGAAGGTAAACAAGCACATCAGCATCAACGTCAGCAACACTTAAAACCTTACCAAGTACCAACTGGATTCCCTGCCGGCTTGCCGATACCGGACACCGGAGGAGACCGGAGGAAACTCCTGGAGCCGTCCGCCCTGATTGACGCGTCCAGCCGTCGCTCTGTCTCGCTCGCACTCACGGGGCGTCCCGCCTGGGTGCGAGAGAGACAGAGCGAAAGGGCACTGGGCGGAACGCGGAGACGCTCTGCAGGCTGTCTCGCTCGCAACCCGTGCGGGATGCTGCACCTATGCTTGGGGGAGAGAGAGAGAGAGAGAGAGAGAGAGAGAGAGAGAGAGAGAGAGAGAGAGAGATACAGCCCATGGGCCGAGGGGCAAGGCAGCGGAGCGCAGCGAAGGGTTGGCCACTGCAAAGGGCGAAGGGCCGCCCGACCGCTCCATAGCACTGCGTATACAGCAGACTGAGAGTCGCCGCTCTGTCTCTCTCGCACCGAAGACGGACACCCCCATGCGTGCGAGAGAGACAGAGCGACGACTCTGCTGCGTAGCCCCACGCGTCATCCCGGCCAAGATTCAAAGGGCACGCCTGCCGCCGAGTTAACCCCGACGCCTCCCCCCTCCCCCTCCACTTTGATGAGGCTTTTACCTCTTGACGGCGCAGCACACTCGGGGCAGGCGGGCTATGGCCGTGTCTTTTTTGTTTTCTCCGAGGAAGAGAGAGACAGAGCGAGCTGCTCCTTGCCAGCGCTCCAGCCGAGGCTCCAGCCGCTCCAGCCGGGGCTCCAGCCGAGCACGTGGCGCTTGGCGCGCCCAACTTTTAATGGTCAGGCAACAAGTAGTAGCGCTGGGGGAGGGAAGGGCATGATGGCGAGAGAGTGAGAGAGAGAGAGAGAGAGAGAGAGAGAGAGAGAGAGAGAGAGAGAGAGAGAGAGGAGAGAGAGAGGAGAGAGAGAGGAGAGAGAGGAGAGAGAGAGAGGAGAGAGAGGAGAGAGAGCGTTCCTTACCAGAGAGCGCACCCAGGTTCGAAGTCCAATTCGAATGGTTTCTCCTGCTGTGCCAAATCGCGCACAAGTTGCAACTTTCCTTTTTCGGCAGTGCACCGCGCCGTGGTTTGCGGCGTTACGCGGTGGTGCTGCATTCTCCGCCGGCGAGTCGCAGCCTCAAAGGAACTACTCTGCGGTCGCTAAGTATCCCGATTCGCAACTAAATGCCGCCGCTTCCCCCTCCGCCCCTCCACTGTGAGCGGCTTGGCTTCGCAGCTTCGCGCACCGACTCCCTACTCACTCAACCTGGCCACGTCTGCCGCGTCTCCCTGCGTAGCGCTGCGTAGCGGCAGACTGACGCCGAGAGTCGTTCTGTCTCTCTCGCACTCGTGAGGCGTCCCGTACGGGCGCGATAGAGACAGAGCGACGAAAAACGACTCTCGGAATCAGTCTGCAGCAGCGCCGCCGCGTCGTCTCCAAAGTTGCCTCAACTACCCCGTCTACGCCATCCTCCACAAGCCGCCAAGAGTCCCAACCCCGCCCCGCCCCGCCCCGCTCCACCCCACCCCGCGTCGTCGAGTTGGCGTGGAACGTGCGTGCATGGCAAGCGACGACCAAATGACACCCCGGCGGCCATCGGGCACTTTTCCTGTCAAGTCCGTCTTGCACGCACGGACGTAGGCACGCGCGCTCGTCTCTCTCTCTCTCTCTCTCTCTCTCCCCCCCCTTCCCCCTCGGTCTGATGTTACTGCCACAAATCGCGGGGCCGTTATAATTGGAACACAAACACAACACGGCCCGCCATTCTGTGAACTGGGAGCGCCCCAGGGAGAGAGAGAGGGAGAGAGAGAGAGGGAGAGAGGGGGGGGGGAAGAGGGGGGAAATAGGGTGTGGGAGAGAGAAGAAGCGTTTTGATCCGCGAGAGACATTGAGAGGGGGAGGGGAGGGGGGGGGCAAGGGGTGTGTACGACGCCGCTCTTTGCAATTTGTTATTGCGCGACACGTGACACGGTGTGTGAAACGTGTTTCCCTGGCCATGTTTTCGATACAAAGTGGGGGAGAATCCGTCGACCGCAGACACACACACACACACACACACACACACACACACACACTCACACAGAGGCAGCCAGCTGGTGGCGGTTCTTCTCCCCGCCAAGTTGGTGAACAGGGCTCCAATTACCGCTAGTTTATCTTCCATTTGCCGGCGTAGCGACGCGCGGCGTGGCACTGCGTAGCACCCGACCCAATCCCGGCGTCCCAGTGGCTGGAGCCTCATTCCGAGGAGTGCTTCTCGTGGCCGCTCTGTCTCTCTCGCAGCGCGCCGGCACCGCCATGACGCCCGACGAGCGCGAGAGAGACAGAGCGACGACAAAAGCGCTGGTCTGTTGGCAGGCAGCAGGGCTGCGCGCGTGCGGCCTGCCCCCATCCCCTTTCCATCCTCCACGCCTTGCGCAACTTTGCAACAACAAAATTTCGTTTCCACTGCCGTCGCGCTGTCGGCGTGACGCGCGCGAGCCCCCGAGCAGAGTCGCTCTGTCTCTCTCGCGCCCGGACCGAACGCCGCGCGAGTGCGAGAGAGACGGCATGACGTGCGGGCAAGCGTGTGTGTCAAAGTGTCATGCATCGTGTATGCGGTACGAGGTGGGCATGTCGTCCGCAGTGGCGGATCCAGAGGGGGGCCTTTCGCCAACACACAGGGCACAGTGGGCCAGAAGACCCGTGCAGGCGGCCAAAACTCTAGACTCTAGACACCAAACGTGTGACCCCACCAATGGATTCCTCGTTCGGAGAGCAATCCATTGGTGGGGTCACACGTTCGGTTCGAGTCCCATTTAGCGACTCTGGAGCTCAAAACGTGTTCGCGATTTTGATCGCCCCCACCGGTCTTCTGGCCCACTGTGCAGGCGCAAAGTGTTGCTTTTTGCCTGACTTTCAGACGGCTATCCAGGTGTCAGGGGAGAGGAGTGGGGGGCAATTGTCCTGTCGCCCCCTTCTGGATCCGCGCGTCGCGCCGAGTTCGACCCCTTCGACCGGGCGGGCCGGGCGGGCCTGGGCAGGCCGGGCCGTCGCGCGCCGCGGAGGCGCGGCCTAGCGCGGCCATGCCACCCGCGGGGGATCGAAGCCCAAGGTTATGCCTGCAGCGCCGAACTAAAGTTAGATCAAGAGAAAAGAGGGCGAAAAGAAACAAGGTTTGTTTACTTGAAAGGTGTGAGCGACGTTCCTCACGACGAGGTTGGTGACGGTCGAGTCTGACAGGTCGATCTCGTCGAATATCACAGCCTGCAACAGAGGGAGAGAAGAAATAGTCAGCGACGAGCAGTCGGCAGTGCAACAAAGAACGAGGAGGAAACCCTAGAAATTAGTGAGAAACGAGCAGTCGGTGGAGAAACAGACGACGACGACAGTAACAACAACCACCACCACCAAAAAAAAAACCAGCTCGGCATTAATGAGGCGCGGCGAGCAGTCCGGCAGTGTAGGTACACCTGTACACACGTACCGTGCAGCCCTCCCAACTTTAGATGCGTCCGCCTGCATACATGATTCATGCGCCCTTTTCCCCCTCCTTCTCTCTCTCTCTATCTCGCTCATTCTAATGCGCGGCTCCAAAGTATGAAAAAGCAGAGAGGCGGGCGCGCCATCTGTCTCACATGGAAAACTTTTCTACTTAACTCTCGGCGCCCCCGCACTACCGCGGGGCCGCGCCCCCTCCGATGCGCCACCGGGGATACCGGGGGTGCTATGCATACTTCACGCGGCCAGCCCTCGTCGTCGAGGCCCTCGTCCTCGCCCTCGCTTTGGGGCACGTGCGGACTGATTCCGAGAGTCGCGGGCGTCGTCGCTCCGTCTCCCTCGCACCTGTGCGCCACCGCGGCACGCCCCGCGAGTGCGAGAGAGACAGAGCGACGGGGCGCCCCGCTCGGAATCAGCATTAGCATGCCGTCGAGCGAGACACTTTTGCATCGAGTCGCGTCTCTCGTACTACGGGAGCGCGAGTTCGAGTGTGTGTGTTTGTGTGTGTGTGTGTGTGTGTGTGTGAAAGGGGGTGGGGGGTCGATGCAACAATAATGCGTCGCGTGCCACGAGTTCGGAAGCAGACACTTCGCAACACTCGCAAAGGGGGGGGGGGGCAGAGGGCGTAACACGCAAACGACGATGTGGGAAAAGGCGGCGTGCAAATATTACGTCACCCGTTTAGGGGGGGGGAGGGGATCTAACGGAAAGTGATGGTAGATGATGTGGGGAGGGGAGGGGGGTTGAGCAGAGATGACGTAGTTTTCTGCTGAGAGCCGCGTGGCGTCGGCTTCGCGTAGACGACGCTGCGGCCACCCGACCGGCCAAGCCAAGTTCTTATTCTGATTCAATTTTGACCTTTTTTTGCTTCGATTTTAGTGCCATGACTATGATTTTTTCTTACTAGTCTTTACAAATGAAGACTTTTTGTATTAAACTTTGAGATATTGCTAATGTTTTTGCACCTACAGTGTGACTCGCTTGCGAAAACTCAAAAAATAAGAAAACTACGTCATCATAGGGGGAGGGGAGGGGGTTGCGTCAGGGATGACGCTGAGTGATGGTGGGGGGGAGGGGGTATCAAAAAGTGGCCTAAAACAGGTGACGTAATATTTGCACGCCGCCAAAGAAAATCCATGGACACATTTTTCAACCGTGAAAAATACGAAACACGGGGGTCGGTGGTGGGAGAGAGTTTGCGGGCGTGGGGCGTTTGATCACGGAGGCGGTCCCCTCGGTTGGCTTGCCGGCTCGCTTTGCCAGCCAAGAAGGGCGCCAGCAGCAAGACCGATTCCGAGAGTCATCTTCGTCGCTCTGCCCCGCTCGCACGCATGGGGCGTCCCGTGGAGGTGCGAGCGAGACAGAGCGACGAAAACGACCCTCGGAATCAGTCTGCAGGCCGGCGAAGCCGCGAAGCCCAGCGTCTCGCTCACCGCGCCGCCCCCGCCGAGTTTGCAGCCGGAGTATTGGCAGCCTCGGCAGCCCCAACGAGTTGTGGCAGTTTGACGCGGTGGCCGCAGAGCCGTCGCTCTGTCTCTCTCGCACCCGACGCGACGCCCCGGGGGTGCGACAGAGACAGAGCGACGAGGACTCTTCGGAACCAGTCTGCTGGGGGACGGCACCTGGAGTGACGCACTCCGGCCGGGCACAGTGGGCCAGAAGCCGGTGGAGGCGGCCAAAACTCTAGACGCGTTTTGACCTCCAGAGTCGCTAAATGGAACTCGAGCCGAACGTGTGACCCCACCAATGGATTCCTCGTTCGGAGAGCAATCCATTGGTGGGGTCACACGTTCGGTTCGAGTCCTATTTAGCGACAGTGGGGCTCAAAACGCGTCTAGAGTTTTGGCCGCCTCCACTGGTCTTCTGGCCCACTGTGCGACGCTCTGTCTCTCTCGCACCCCTGCGGAGGGCACTAAGGAGTGCGACAGAGACAGAGCGACGAGAGCGCCGCCGTTCGGAAATGAGCTCGCAGTGTACCAGGCGGGCCGCAAAAACCACGTGGTGTGGTGGAAACGGGACGGCGCCGGGGGAACCATGTTTAATGGACGAGGGATGCTGTGGCCCCGAGAAGCAGGCTGACTCCGAGGAGACGACGCTCCGTCGCTCTGTCTCTCTCGCACTCGTGGAGCGTCCCACCACGTCCCGCGAGACGGAGCGATGAGACGCCTCTTCGGAATCGCTCGGCGGTCGAAGCGACTCCTCCAAATTTATCGCATTCCAGAAGACAGCCAGCCAGCCAGCCAGCCAGCCAGCAAGCCAGCCAGCCAGCCAGCCAGCCAGCCAGCAAGCCAGCAAGCCAGCAAGCCAGCCGGCCAGCCAGCCAGCCAGCCCGCCAGCAAGCGAGCCAGCCTCCCGCGGCCTAATTATTCCACAAAGCGTGCTGGAGCCAGCAGCAGCAGCCTCGCGCACAGCGCAGCGTAACGCCACAGCTCAGCACAGCGGGTGGCGTGCATCAGCGTTTCGCTTCAAATTTCCTCCGCCCCGCCGCGCCACGCCGCACGTCTTTGCCCGCGGAGATAGGGGCCCGCCCCGCCCCACCCCGCAAGAACAAAGCCTTCGCGACGACGCCTCCGCGACGCCCGCCGCGCTAATTTCTTTTTCTGCTGGCAATTTCCTCCTCCTTTGCGACCTTCTGCGCGCTTTTTCTCCTCCGGAAGCAAACATCCGAACCTCATCACAGAGATTGCGTCGCCGCAAGGGCAGGCAGATGGGCGGGACGACGGGCAGGCAGGCAGAAGGGCAGATGTGGAGGCGGACAGACAGGCAAACAGACAGACAGACAGACAGACAGACAGACAGACAGGCAGACAAGCAGACAGACAGGCCTTAAGGCAGACAGACAGGCAGATGAGGAGGCTCTCCTCGTTCGGAGAGCAATCCATTGGTGGGGTCACACGTTCGGTTCGAGTCCCATTTAGCGACTCCGGAGCTCAAAACGCGTCTGGGATTTTTGCCGCCTCCACTGGTCTTCTGGCCCACTGTGCGTCGCCTTGCTGTCCCCTCGCCTGTCCCGCGTGCCAAAGCCAAAGTCGTCCATAAGCCCCATCACATCATCCAAGTCGCTCATCCTCTTTCCGCTAATGCGTCTCTATTATCTGGGGCAGCTCTGCGGCTTAGTCCCTGTCTGTCGCTGGTTCGAATCCCCGCAAAAAAGGGCTGTACAAAAAGAGAAGAAGACGAAGAAGAATAGAGGCGATTCAGTACGGTGATTTTTTCCCCGCGAATCCTCACGGCAGGAGCCAACCAACCCGACTCTATTGGGCCAGGCACGATCAGCAGACTGATTCCAAGAGTCGTTTTCGTCGCTCTGTGTTTCCCGCACACTCATGGGGCGTCGCCGTACGGATGCGAGAGACAGAGCGACGAAAACGACTTTCGGAATCAGTCTGTGAGCCAGCCACGTTGGTTTTTGGGGGCAACCTCCATCCAGAGTCAGTCTCGCTCTGTCTCGCGAAGGGGGCCGTGCCCGACGGGGGGGGGGGGGGGGGGGGCTGGGATATCGAGGGGGTCGGCAGATGCCTGAGCGGGCGAGCCAGGGCGCGCGATAGGCAGGTGTGGGAAAGAATCGGCAGACGATTGACAGGGCCGACATAGAGTTGGCAGAAGATTGGCAAAAGGATGACGGAGAAGTTTGAAGACTACAGGCGGCTCGCTTTGACAGCAAGTCGAGCGGCCATCGGCAGATGGGTGTGACAGCATGACGGCTGATATGACGATCGCTTTGATGGATAGTAGTTGGCAGAGACAGTGGACTGGGTTCCGAGGGTCGTTTTCGTCGCTCTGTCTCTCCCGCACCTAAACGGGAGGCCAAAAGAGGCGAGGCCAAAAGAGGCGAGGCCAAAAGAGGCTAGGCCAAAAGAGGCGAGGCCAAAGGAGGCTAGGCCAAAAGAGGCTAGGCCAAAAGAGGCTAGGCCAAAAGAGGCTAGGCCAAAAGAGGCTAGGCCAAAGGAGGCGAGGCCAAAAGAGGCTAGGCCAAAAGAGGCTAGGCCAAAGGAGGCGAGGCCAAAAGAGGCGAGGCCAAAAGAGGCGAGGCCAAAAGAGGCGAGGCCAAAAGAGGCAAGGCCAAAAGAGGCGAGGCCCCTTTGGCCTCGCCTCTTTTGGCCTAGCCTCTTTTGGCCTAGCCTCTTTTGGCCTCGCCTTCTTTGGCCTCGCCTCTTTTGGCCTCGCCTCTTTTGGCCTAGCCTCTTTTGGCCTAGCCTCTTTTGGCCTAGCCTCTTTTGGCCTAGCCTCTTTTGGCCTCGCCTCCTTTGGCCTCGCCTCTTTTGGCCTAGCCTAGGGGGGCCAGGAGGCGAGGCCAAAAGAGGCTAGGCCAAAAGAGGCGAGGCCAAAAGAGGCGAGGCCAAAAGAGGCGAGGCCAAAAGAGGCGAGGCGAGAGAGAGAGGCTTTCTTCTGGTGGGGCCGAAACCACACCCCGGCCGAAACAGCCCGAGACACCCCCGCCGCGCTAGATTGCCTCCAAGCCAGGGGGAGAAATAGTGAAGCGAGGCGGGGCGTGGCGTGGCGTGGTGGTGGAGCGTGGCGGGGCGTGGCGGGGCGTGGCGTGGCGGGGTCCTCGTGAATGCCATCGATGCCGACGAGCAGCACCAGCAGACTAGTTCCCAGAGTCGTTCTCGTCGCTCTGTCTCTCTCGCACCCTGACGGGACGCCCCATGAGTGCGAGAGAGACAGAGCGACGAAAACGACTCTCGGAATCCGTCTGCGGCCGTCTGCGGCGCAGCACGCCGAGGAGGGATAAGTGGATGCGCAGCGTGGCGCAGCGTGGGCCC